GCGAACGAAGCTTCGAGAGAGGACGAACCGATCCGAAAAGTTTCCTGCGGAGGAGGAGGAGGTCATGGTCGGAGGCCCCCGTGATCTCACTCCCGTAGCTGGCGCCCGCCAAGGGGCCAGCCGAAAAAACCTTGATGATGGCGCCCCTCTTGAGCACCTTATTCTGTCTACGGAGCCGCTTGGTGCGCCTACAGGCGGCCGCAAGCCTAGACTTCAGCCTGGCACACCGACCACCGACCCTGAGCGCGCGACCAGCGGTGTAGTCAACACCTAAGTTGACGGCAGAAGACGAGGGTTGGGTCGAGAGCTCGGCCAACTGGGACGACACCTGCTCCCCCACGGCACGCGACGAGGCAACACTACAGGTCTTGTCCAGGGCGAAACTGCAACCCAGAACCTCTTCCACAACACCCTTCAACTGCTGCGCACAGCCAACCACAGAGGCGATGACCTTCGAGGGGGGACCAACGCTCGAGAGGCCAAGATCGTCGATGTAAACATCGAGCTCAAGGATGGGCTGGCGCGTAATCCTGTCATAGCCCTCCATCCCGTGAACACGGATGAAGGTGGTGGCGAAGCTGCATCCCGCCACCACTCCACTCAAAACAAAAAAGGGGCCCTCCACGATGCCTCCCAAGCTGAGGGAGCGCCCGCACCGGTAGGCAAAAAGAGCCACCCTAGCAATGACAGGCGGGAACCCCTGCCGAGCACATCTCTCTTGCAGGGCGGCCAAGGGGATGTGTTCGTAAAATTTACGAAGATCGAAGAGGACACTGCAGGCGGCATCTCCCCTCTTGACGCCAGTTTCGGACCGAACGGCCTGTCTCCACACGACGTCGGCGGCCCCTCGATGTCTGCCAGCGGCCCAGTACCGTCTGGGGTGTTGCTGCTCCCAGGCCAGGGCAAGGGGGCGTCGGAGACGCCCCCAAACCCTGTACCAGGAGCAGAACACCCCAATCGGCCTGTAGCCTCCAGCAGGCTTCGAGAGGAGAGCAAGAAGGACGACCGAAATCTGGGGCGGCAGGCAACCCAGGGCTTCAATGAGAGCAAAAACCATGCTGAGACACTCCAGCGCTTGATCTCCCAGGAGCGAGAAATCGCGACAGTGGAACCCGTCCAGGGACACGGCAGAACCAGGCTTATACCTTTTGGAGGCAGCTCTAATCTCATCGACGCTGAGACGAGGAAGCGGCTCCAAGATTTCCCCCGAAGGCTCAACCCCCGAACCCTGGCCCCACGCAGCACTAAAGCGAGCACCTTCGGCCCGCAACAAAGAGAGGGGGTCAGAAACGGTGCAACCTTTGGCGCTAAGCGTGGTGGTCGGGGTCCACGGGGTGGGATCTCGGGTGATCTGATGGACTCGCCGCGAGCCCGAGGAGACGCCGACGTGCAGCCAGGCAGACCAGTCCTCACGAGCCTGCTTGGCGAAAAACTTGCTGGCGGCCTCGAGTTCTTTTAATTCAACCTCAAACTCCTCAAGATCATCGATCGTCTGGTTAGAGGCGCCAGCAATACGAGCAGCACGGGAAAAAAATTGGGTCCTGGAGCCCACATGCTGCACGATGCGCGTCGGCGGCTGGCAAAGCAGGAGGCCCAGCTTATCCGACAACCGGCGGTCGCCTGCACGGCGAGCAAGAACTAAGGCGTGCCACTGAGCCGCCAGCCAACGAATAGCGCGGTGCTCAGGGTACTTGCTGCGGCCGTCGGCAGTGAGGAGAGAGCGCCAGACCAACTGAGGCCCCGACCCACGACAGCCCTTCTTGGGCAGCTCGGCCCCCCAAATCGGCACAAGGTCGGACTCGGCTCGGTCCGCCCACGCCTGATGCAACGGGCCCAAGAGCTTGTGGGCCCCCCAAAAATCCTGATTTTCAACCTTGTCCAGGGCCTCCTTGGCAAGATCGAACTCTCGGGCCCAGGAGGAACCTTGAGGACGAGGTCCGAAAACCGCCTCCACAGGAAGCGGGGGGGGCTTCCGAAACGACAGCGCCTGCAAAACGGCAAGCTGCGGGAAAAAGGTTAAGTTAACAGGTCGGTGGGGGGTCAAGGACGTAGAGAAATCGACGGCGCACTCTCTCACACCTTTGGCCAGCCCCCCCGAGCAAATAAAACAATCAAAAACAGAAGGCTTCCCCGACGGGAAGTGCGTGCACGAAGCTGGAACCACAAGAACACCTCTCAATTTCCTGACAAACTCGGTATCTTCCAGAAGGGGTGGCTCGAAGTTGTGGTCAGCTCCGGCAACAAAGGGCAAATCGCAACTGGTGAGGAAGAGACCGAGACGAGACAGGATACCAAGGTTGCGATCAGACAACTCTTCAGTGTGGTAGAGGTAAGACGAGACAACAACGATGGGAGAGGTGCCAGGAAGGTGGATGGAGCCCGCAAGACACCTGCCTGGAACAATCTCTCCTCCTTCCACCCCCTGAAGTCCTATCCAATCCTTCACAAAAATGGCAACGCCCGCCGAAGTGTCTGCCTTGGTCTTCTCAGCCTCGGACCAGAGGGACTTCCAGCCCCTCTTGATACACCACGCGTTGGCCGCCTGCACATCTTCCACTCTCAAGCGGTGCTCCTGACAAAGGACGATATGGGCGTGTGAAAAGCTTTCCAGAAGGTCACGCATGGCGCCCCATGAGTTGCAGTTGATGGTCTTAATACAAAGCTCAACACTGTTGGGATCAGGTCTCACTCCTCCATCCTTGACAAGAGCCTGCTTGGGAGAGGAACCAGTCTGCACGGGCTGCCGTGGGGCGTCGGAGCCGACGCCCGCGTTCTGGAACCTTAAATCGAGCCGGCCTGGCAAAAGGTGGGGACGGGCAGACTGGCGAACCAGAGAAGGAGGGCTGACCTTCGGCAGCTCCGATCCAAGCTCAACCTGCCTAGAGACGTGCAATCCTCGCTCATGGAGAAGGGATTCGAATCGATCGTCCACGTCGGCCAAAGGAAGCTGGACCACAGTGACAGAATGGACGCTCTTGCCTACGCCTGCACCGAGCTGAGCAACTGGGTAGAGCAGGGAAGGCCGAGAGAAATCGCAGGCAGCACGAGAACGCGTCTTGCCTGGCCTGGCGTCCAGCTGCAACGACGAGGACGGCGACGCGACCGCATCGGCACGGGCAAGCAGCGACGACCATCGCGACCGAACCGATCTATCCTTCGTCTGGACACCAGGACTTCTTAGAAAACGAGGGAGGCCCCTCCTGCGCCAGAGATCGACACGAGCAAGATGCAGACAGTCAGAGACTACGACATCAGCTGGCCAAGAACCTGGCGGCCAGGCAGGACAGGAGAGGTTGATAGTGTGCTGCAGGGAACCCCCCTGAAGGCTAGCAAGCTGGCAGCTCAGAAGCGGAACTTCATGACTCCATGCGCGTTGCTCCTCCAGGGGGGGCGGCCTGAGACGGTGTCTGGGCGATCCTGTCAGCACGCTGGCGAAGGGCTGCTGCTGCGGCGGCGCCGTCGGCGTCTGCAGCGGCCGCAGGGGTGCCAGGTGCCGCAGCGGCGGGCCCGCTGGCCGCGGCTGTAGCGGCGGACGCACTGCCGGCAGGAGCAGCACCTCCATCGCCTCCAGAAGGTGCTGCGTTGCCCTTGCCAGGGCCGACGACAGGACCCGAAGCGGCTGGGACCGTGACAGCAGCACCTTCGTTGGTCTTCCGCTTCTTCTCGTTCTCGTCTTTGAGGCGCTGCAGGTGGGCCTGGTGTTCCACCTTGATGGCCTCCACCTTGGACTTCGACTCCTTGAACAGGTTGGCGGCCATGGCGGCGATGCCCTCGCGAAGCTGCGTCGCCCTGCTCTGCAGCTCCTGCTGGTCCGACTCGCTGAGCTCGAACTCCAGCTCGCCCATGTGGAAGAGCGACTCTGCAGACAAGTCAAGCCAGGCCTCCAGCTTGGTGTCGTCCAGCATGTCGTCGATGGTGAGCTTGGTCCTCTCAGCGGTCGGCCCGTCGACATATTCCGAGTGCAGGCGGTGGAAGAGGGCGCTGTGCTGCTTCTCGGCGGCCGCCAGCTCCGCACGCAAGGACAGAACATGGGACTTCTGAGCCTCCAGCTGCTCCTCAATCGACTCGAACTTGAGGACCGCCGCCTCCAGCTTCTTTTCGACCGAGCGAGCGTGACCATGAGCGCGAGAGAGCTGGACCTGCAGGGGCTCGTGATGCTGTGGGCGGGGCGCAAGAGCCTGAGCCGCGAGGCGCGCCCTCTTAGCCCCCTCCACGTCGCCGAGCTTCTCGCATAGAGTGGCCATCTGCTGGTACTCTTCCATAGACAGCTTGGGCTCCGACGGTGTGGTCTGGCCAGCTGGTTTGCCTCCTTTGGCGGCAGGGTCGACGTAGCCGAAGCTGTAGCCCTTGACGCCCTTGAGGTCCCCAGGAGGCTGCACCAGACCCTTGCCGTAGCCGCCCTGCCAGACAGAGTTGGGCGGCAACCTCGTGGAGCCGCAGTGCTTGCACCAGGTGAAGTAGCTGGCGCTGCGCTTGCAGCCGCAGACCTCGCACGTCCAGCGCCCCCTGCCAACAACCGGTGGAAGAGCAGAAAGCTGAGGACCAGGAACGAGAGGAGGCCACTGCACGAGGTTGGCGCGATCCTGGGCCCACGGCTTGCCTTTGACGCCGCCGTCGCCGTGCCCAGGCGAACCCTTTCCTCCTTTCGACATGGCAGAGACGAAGCCGTGTCGAGCAAGTGAAATGAAGTGCCCGAGCTGGTGTGTGCCAGCTGGGCGAAGAAGAAGAGCCAATTCGGCCCGCAACAGCACTTGGCCGTTTCGAAGGAGTATGCTGCTGCAAGCTCGAGCTTCACTCAAATCAGCTCGAGCCGAAACGGCTGGAGGAGGAGGAGGAGGAGGAGCAGGAGGAGGAGGAGGAGGATGAAGAGGAGGAGGAAGAGGAGGAGGAGGAGGAGGAGGAGGAGGAGGAGGAGGAGGAGGAGGAGGAGGAGGAGGGGGGGGAAGGAGGGCGAGGAAGAGCTGCGCGAGGGGCAGAGGGCCCTGGCCCTGGCCCCGCTCCTGCTTGAGCGGGCGCAGGCGAAGGCCGTCCAGGCTCGGCGAGCCTGCCGCCGCACGACGACGGGCTGGAGAGGGGGCGCACGGGGGGGAGGTTAGGAGGCAACTGCTGGGAGGTTGCCGTCGGAAATACTAAGGAGGATTAAGCCCCATTTGGGAGCTGGTACGCTGGAGGGGGCCTCGGACTAGGCAGGATTAAGCAAGATTCAGCCGAATTCAGCGGTACTAGGCCGGATTAAGCTGGACTTCGGACCAGGGCAAAATCAGAATTTGACCTCCCAGGAGTTGCATCCGAAGGGGGGGGCCCGTGGCGCAGGACGGAGGGTTGAACGGAGCCTCCGCGAGGTCGCCCTGCATTTCGGCGGTGTGAACCTCGAGATCGTCCGGTGGATCGGCGGCGTAGCCTCGAGGTCGTCCTCTTGTTCGGCGGTGTAACCCAGGGCATCCGTTCGCCGTGGGGGAGGCCCCCAAGAAGCTCAACGAAAAGGCCCCACAACGGGACCATGACGCTTCAAAACTGCCTCCAGGAGGCCCCGCCAGGCTCCCGAACCATGCCCAATACGCCTACGAGTCCCTGGCCAATGCCCCAAGAAGCCCACGCCGCCTCAACCGTGGACTCCCCGCCTCTTCTGGGGGTCGGCGGGATGGCGGAAGCCTCTCGAGTGACATCAGGTCATCCGTTCGCCGTTGGGGGGCGGAGAGGAGGCGCCGGCCGATGACCTGACCTGTGAGCAACCCCACGCAGGGGGGAGGAGGAGGAGGAGGAGGAGGAGGAGGAGGAGGAGGAGGAGGAGGAGGAGGAGGAGGAGGAGGAGGAGGAGGAGGAGGGAGGAGGAGGAGGAGGAGGAGGAGGGAGGAGGAGGAGGAGGAGAGAGGAGGAGCACACCAATACTGCGCGGCCCCAGTGGACCTGCGCAACCGGCAAGGTCGGGTTGTCCGGGAGGGCAGGGGCGCGGAGCAAGCGGGCCCGATGACCTGGGCGACCGCCGGACCCCGAGCAAAATGACACCAGAGAGAAACCCAACCAGTGAATGGTTTGAAATGTCGTGGTATGGATATTGAGATCGGTTGTGAGATCGACTGTGAGAGCGATTGTGAGATCGATCGTACGAACGATAGTAGGGTCGATCGTGAGACCGATCGTGAAGTCGATTCAGTGAGATCGAGAGTGAGATAGATCGTAAGATTGCTCGTGCGATCTGTCGTGGGATCGATTTGTGAAATCAATAGATTGGTGTGTATTGAGATCGATGGTGAGGACGATCGATAAGGAGACAGACCAAGAACCCGGGAACTCAGAAGCCCAAAAATCCCGCCGCCCACCGAAATCGGTCCGGCTCCAGCAACCGGGAACCCGGGAACCCGGACCCAAAAACCCGGGAACCCAGCCGCCCACCGAGATCGGCCCCGCACCTGCGCCAAGTCTGTCGCTCTCCGCCAGGACCCCTGCAGTGCAAGCACTGATTGGGGAAGCACTCTCTCCCGCGAGAGCGGCGACCGTGCATCGTGCCATGGTCGGATGCCCTTTCCAAGAGATCTGAGGTTCCGAGACGATTGGGGCGGCCACTTGCGGCGTCCGAGGACCCTCCACGGGGCCCGAGCCCGTGCCGAAACGAATCAGGATGCAAGGCCCGAACTTGTCCAGACCTTGGAGCGGCGGATGGCCGGGTCGGGACCCGCTCTACCGCGGTCCGGGCAAGACTGTGCACCGTACCGTTCCCGGGTCGCACCCGTCCTGGGTCTCGGGAGCCTCCTCCTCCTCCTCCTCCTCATCCTGCCCTTCTTCCTCCTCCTCCTCCTCCTCCTCATCCTGCTCCTCCACCTGCTCCTCCACCTGCTCCTCCTCCTCCTCCTCCTCCTCGTCCTCCTCCTCCTCCTCCTCATCCTGCTCCACTTCGTCCTCCTTCTCCTCCTCCTGCTCCTCTCGGGGGCGGCCAACGAGGGGGCCATCCAAGAGGGGGAGGGGGGGCGCAAATCATGGCCAGCGGCATGTGCGCGGCCCAGGGGTGCCGAGAACGCATTGAAATAAGAAGAGGCGCCATGAAAGCTGCGGAGATAGTGGCCCCCGCCATGATGCTCCCCCCCCGAGTCGTCACTCCCCTCTTGGCCGCCCCCGATCCTCCTCTTCCCCCTCCTCCCCCTCCTCCTCCGCAGCCTCATGCTGCCCCTTACACATCGCCCCCCCCCTCCAGACGTGTCCGCGTAGACCGGGCGGGGCTTCTCCCCACCACTCGAGGCCCTGGACCTTGGACATTCGCAGGGCAACTTCACGGGTGGAGCACGGGGGCCGTTGTCGAAGAGGACATCGCGCCGGATCGCCGTGCACATTCGTTCTCACAGTGGCAGCAACTTCAAGGGTGGAGGACCGTGTCTTCTCGGCATGCGCCTCTCGCCTCAACGCCGCGCGCATTCGTCGAACAACCCTGCATCCGTTTCACGGATTCGTGGGGCTGGAGTCCGATGAATGGTGTTCTGGCACGGGTTCGGATTCTCAGGGGGCAACAGTCGCGTTGATTCGCGGCGTAGAAATCCAAGGAAGGGCGTTGTGGCATGAACTATGATTCAACAATTCGCCTGGACAGCCAGGATTGCCCGAATCAATTCAACTTACAAAACAAGATTGTTATTTGGTCCTGGCGAAGCATCGCCCCTTTTGGGGGTCTGGGGGTGTGCAATCCTAATTTTCGTTGAATTGTTCGGACGGCTGTCTTCAATGGAAACTTCCTGCAATGAACACGAGGATGGAACTTGGAGGCTGGCTGTAGTCAGCTCAAGACGGCCCATGAGGACTCCATGATGGCCTACGAGGCATCACAGACGGCCCAAAGACGGCCCAAGAGTGGCTCTCGTGGCCATAGCTCACTCAGGTCTATGCTGGCCGTTCGGGACGATCTGGGTTCCCCCGGCACGCCTTCGGCGAGGCGCAGTCACGAGGCATCCCGAGGCCCGACGAAGGCGTTGCAAAAGACTCGAACCCCGAAGATTACCCTTAATGAGGTCGCTTCTCCTGCCTCCAATTTTGATGGGGGTCCGAGTACATGTGGTCGGGTAGTCACGCCACAACGCATCGGCGATGCATCGGCTATAGATCGGCGACGTCGGCAATGCATCGGCAGCGCCGACGTGAACAACTTTAGAAATTCACCTCGGGCAGCATCGCCAACGCATCGGCGAAGCAAAGACATCCTTCGACCTCATCTACTCGGACCCAACTTGGGCGACGATCAAAAACGGGTCCTACGCGAGATGACATCGCGACCTTACGCCACGGCTCACCCGGGCTGCCAGCGCGGCACGCCACAATGGAGAGAGACAAGGGCGCTTGCGCGCGACTTCACGCTGGCAGCTGATGCGCCAATGTCGGCGCAGACGCGTTTTCTCTCGTCCCTCTGTGAGCGACGCAACAAAAGAGGGTTTGCCTTCACTGACAGTGGCGCGAAAGCTGCTCGCGCAAGGTCGCGCGCAAGGTCGCCCTCGTCTTCCGTGCAGCGAGCCGCGCCAGCGGCCCGCGCAAGCCACCGCGTAAGGTCGCTGTGCCATCTCGCGCGCGACCCGTTTTCGATCGTTATGTTGCATCCTCGGGGGACCTTGTCTGTCCCGTCGCGGCCCTGTCCGCGTCGAATCCGTGTCGAATCCATGTCGGACGCGTCGGATCCGTGTCGAATCCGCGTCGACTCCGCGTCAAAATTCCACGCCAAATCCGCGCCGAGTCCGCACCGAGCGCGCGTCGGGCCTCCCAAAAAGACACTAACTTTTGGGACAGGCGAGGCCCCCCGAAGATGCAACAGAACGATCGCCGCTCGAGGCCCACGGAACGATCGCCGCCCGAGGCCCAGACGTTTGCTCGCCGCAGCGCTGGGGCACCCCGCGAGCGGGCGGCCCACCGGCTCTCCCGCGGGGGCGCCGGGGCGGGGCGCGGCGCGCGCCTGCGGTCGCGGAGCGGCTGGGGGGCAGCGGCTGCGACGGCGCCGAGGCCAGGTCCTCTCCAGGAGGCAGGCCAGGGGGCGAGGCAGGGCAGGAACCGCACAGGAGCCACGAGCGACTCCTCGGTGTCCCAAAACCGTATGATGACAGACCCGGCGGTGACCTCGAAGCCCCCAAAGACCTCACCGCGGGGTCCGTCACCACACGGTTGTGGGACCCTGGAGGCCCCGGTCGTCCGAGACATCCTCGGAAAACGACCCAAGTCCCAAAACCGTGCGGTGACCCCGAATCCCTACAGACTCACCACACGGTGTGGTCACCACCCCGTTTGGGGGCCCCCGAGACTCAGGCGTATCGGTGCGCAAGGCACCGGAAACGACGAAGGGCCCGCCCTGCAGGATCGGTTCACGGCACGTCGTGGAGCGGTGCCGCAGCTTCCCCTGACAGCACGGGCCCCCCCTGGAGCCACTGCCAGAACGGTCGAGTTCGCACCCTTGGGCCTTGCAACGCTCTGGGTGCGTTCCGGGCAGAGTGCGGGGAGGAGGACGCGGCAGCACGAACACGACCGATCAAGGGCTACGACTGGGGGGATCTCGCATAGCGGGGGGGGGAAGGGATGCATCGACCTGGAATCGGCGATGCATCGCCGATGGGATCGGCGATCGTCCTGCGATGGCGCAGCTGCAACTTCCTGGGCGGGGTGGGCCTACCAGGCCCCCAGCGGCGGTCAGTGGGCGATCGGGGGTCGCTGCATCCCCCCCCGTAGGCCTGCTCCCCCCCCCCGATCCTCCGGCCGCCTGAGGCCCCGCCCGCCCGCGCCCTGTCTCCCCAATTAGGGCTACCCGCGTCCCGTTTAGCTCTTGACCGGAAGGGGCCCGCTCCCGACCCGCAGACCCAAAAACTGTCCCCCCCGATCCTTGCCCCCGAGCCCGGAGGAAGGCGGGGAGGAGGCCACGGGTCCCAAAAGAGAACCGCAACGGGGGGGCCCCGTGGCCAGCCGACCGGGCGAGCGCCGCGGCACGCCCGAGGGAAGGCGGGGGCAGGAGCGCGCGTCTGGGACGCGCGGGCGTGGACGAGGCCCCAGGAGGTGTGGGGAGGAGGACTGGGGGGGGGGATGGGGGAGGAGGCGGTGGCTAGCGCACGGAGGAGGAGAGGAGGAGGGGCAGGGCTCGAGCAGGAGATCGACTGCAGAACTGGTTTGCCCCAAGACTGCTGATGCGTCGAGTCTACCGAAGTCCGCTGGCCCCCTTTTTGGGGCCACCAGGCTCCGGGGATTCGGCTTGTTGATCCCTGCTCTGCTGATGTGTGCGCGAGGAGGGGGGAGCCGAAACGAGCCCTGGTTACCTTTACTGGGGGGGTTCTCTTGCACATTACGCTACTTTCGCGCCCTCGAAGCCAGAGTAATCGCGTCTCCAAAGCCATAAACCCTGGCAAACGACGGTGTTCCCGATCCCGAGACTATAGTTCCTAGTGACTATATTGAATGACGCAGTACTCGCGTCTCTGAGGCAATACTCTTTCGCACATGACGTAACATGTGCGTCCCTGAATCCACGATCCCTCGTACATTACGCGCGCTTCGCGTCCCCGAAACCATGAACCCATTCGAAGTACACAAGATTCGCGCTTTCGAGGCCACTATCCTTCACAACAACGCCATCGAGACGGGACACGAGGCCTCCGAGACGGCCCAAAAGTGCTCCAAGGCGCCCGAGATGGTCGCAAGGAGGCCCAAGAAGCTCCCAAGAAGCACCCAATAGCGCTCCAAGAGCACCCCAAATAAGGGCCCAAGAGGCCAACATCTGTTTTTTCTTTTGGTTGTTGTTGGGTTTTGGCACGCTCATATCTCCAGTGGTCCCCGTTCGGAGGTCCGACGCTGCTTCACGACGGCGCACGGGCCTCACAAAATAGCTCTTGTATACCCCATTATCAGAGAGAGGGTGCCGGCGGCAGGGGGCGAAACCCTTACGGATTAATTATAATGTTCGTACATCGACCAAACACTCCAATTATTGTTTCTCAGATTCGACGAACATCCATATTTTGGGGTACGTCAATTTTGTAGTCGATCTGCCACTCAAAAAGTGTTGATGGGGGAGGGGATATTCCGGCCCACGCTTGCCACGGGTCACAAGGCGTGTGAGATATGTTGCTTTGCGTTCTTGAACCTGTCTGGGAAACCTATGGCCCATGTTGAGCGCAAATGCTTGAAAACCCAAGACCACGATAACAATCCACAAAAAACAACAGGAAGTCACAATGTGTTCCTCCAAGGGCCCTCTTGGATGCTTTTGGGCCCCCTTGGACCGCCTGGTAGGCTTTTGATACCGTCTTACCGATAAGGCTGGTCGTCTTGGAGCCCTCCTGGGCCAACTCGAAGTTGCTCTGGGCCGTCCTGAAATCCCAAAAGGCCAGCAGTCGCTCAGAATAAATAACAACAGGTCCATTACTGAAACCAGTGATTCCCAGGACCCCTGGACCACCCTCCCAATCGAATTCTTATACTTTTTTGTTGTGCTCTCTTTTTGTATTTCTCTCTCTCTCTCTCTCTCTCTGTCTCTCTCTCTATATATATACATATACATAGCTTCATGTGCGGTGGTGTGTGCGTGCGTGCGTAAGACAACGGATCTGCGCCGACATGTTACCCGGGCAGCCAGGGTGAAAGCGGCACACCAGCACCACCGCCAGGAGAGGTGGCAGGGAGCACGGCTCGGAGCGCCAACACTGAAGCGGCCCTGAAACACACAAATAGATAGACACAAATAACAGGAGCCCCTATATTTTTCAATATTTTCTGGGTTTTCGTCTTCCCCCCCACTTCCAATATTTTCCTATATTTTCTGGAGAATCGACGATGAATTGTGTCTGTGTGTTTTTTCCTCCTGAAATACCGAGTCCTGCCTCAGGCGATGTGTTGCCTCTTCTCCGAAGCGTTGACTGGCCATCGCTCGGACGTCGACTCCCTGTGTTTTTATTCGGTTTCGTGCGTGGCCTTTTCGCCACAGGATCAAGGATGCTCCTCGATGGTCCTCGCCCCAGGAACATAACGCACACGTCCGAGCGATGCCAAGTGGAACGGACCACTTGTCAGGCACAGGCGGGCGCGCTGGCACACACTGCGCGAGCACAGGCGTGTGCTGCTGTGCTGTGCACAGGGCAGGTGCGAGCACGGGGGCAGACACTCAAACGAGCGCACGTGCAACGGACCTGCCATCGTCGGGGCATCGGCTGCGGCGGGTGTCCTCCCCCAAAGGCGCCGGGAGCCAGCAGAGCGGAAGAAGAGCCGCGTTGGCGCGCGCCATGCGCGCGCCGCCGTGCGGCAGATGCTCGTCATCCCTGGGACGGTTCGTGCGAGAACTTCTCGGACACCGCCCTCATTCGCTGGCCTCTTGTCGCGGCTGGCCCTCTCGGTGTCTCTCCCTTCCTGCCCTTGTCCTGGCCTTCGCACGCGTCACCGTCCCCCATATTCGTCGTCCTCAACCGTCCGTCTCTCCTCCCACCCTCCCCTCCACCTCCTCGTCCGTCATCCTTCCCTCCTTCCGCTGTCCTCCCGCCTTCCTTCTTCCGACCTCCTCCACTTAGTCCCTCCTTATAAAGAAGTCATCCCTGTCGCACCCACAGGCGTATTAGTAGGGCGGGCCGGACATTTCGCCTGAGACTTCATCGACATGTATGATCCTGAAAATTACCACTTGAAACATCTTCAACAATGAAAGGCGGTCGTTCTAAAAATATGACTCTCGCCTGAGCGCCGCGTGCATGCGGCGTAAGAGTGTGCAACAGTTTCAAGCATGGAGAGCGGCTGGATTACAAAATGTGTCTCTCGCAGGAGCACCGCGCACATTCGTCTTACGGATTAGTAGGATTGATGTTCCAGGAATGCTGTTCTGGCACGGCTCTGGGTTGTTAGAAGGTATCAGCTACGTCGATTCGCGGTGTTGGTAAGTCCCAGGAAAAGAATGTCGTGGCGCGGTGTAGGACTAACAGGAAGCAACGGTCACGTTGATTCGTGGTGTTGATAAGTCACAGGAGCGGCTTTCTGGCACAATTGAGGATTATCAGGACGCAGCAGTCACGTTGATTCGCGGCGTTGGCGTCCCAGAAATGGTGTTGTGGCGCGATTGATATTTCTCAGACGGTTGCCGTTGAATTGGGCACTCCCCGCTATGAACATAATTTTGCGCAGGGGCCTGCGAAGAAAGAACTTGGAGGGAGGGTGTATTGCAACATCGGTGATGCGTCTTGGGTCTGCAATAGTCCTGCCTTCTTTTCCTCGTCCGCCATCCTCCCTTCATCGAAGAAACGTAAAAGGTAACCGTAAACGTTTGGCGTTCCGCGCGGATTCCTTGGATCTGCGCTGGGCCCCCTCCCTGGCGGGGCGGCGCCGGAGATGCCCCACAGGGGGCCCCAGCCCAGATCCAAGAAGTCCGCGCGGAACGGCAAAATCTGTATGTGTATGGCTTCCTCTTCGAGTGCAGTGGCCCCGTCTCCCAGGCTCCTCGTCGTCCATGATCTCCGCGAACGCGGGGTCCCCCTTCTTCAAGATGTCCTGCCAACGGGGCTGCCGTGGCCACACTGCGAGGGCCGCCCACCTCTTCTCCCCTCTGGTCCACCCTCCCTCTCGTCTTCTCCCCTCTTGCATCTCAGCCTCTTACCTTCGTACCTTCTCTCCCTGTTCCATCTCGCCGCTCCTCGCTGCACCCCCATGGAAAACCCGTAGGTGGAGTGGCAGCAGAAAGATGTGGGAAGGGGCAGGATGATCATGAGAAGCAAGGGCACCAACAGAAAGGACAGAGGGAGTGAACCGACGGAACTGACCTGAGCCCCCCTGGAAACCCTCGACCAAGCCCTTCAGAAAATCCCAACAGCCTTCTGGGCGAAGGTGGTTTAACGAGTTTCGTCATTGTTTTTCCATAACCCCTTCTCCCCCTGCTCAATCCCCTCCCATATGCCGCCCCGCGAGGTGTCAGACGGTGCGCGTCGGTAGAAGATGGCTCCAAGAGGGCCTCAGAGCCCAAGATGGCCTCCGAGATGGCCCAAGATGCTGCAACATGGCTCAAGATAGCCTCTGACATGCCCCCAAGACGCCCCAAGACGGCCCCACGACGCTTCCGAGTGGCCCTCGAGCTTTCCAAGGCACCCTCCATGAGGCCTAAAACCCTTCAAACACCGCACGAAATCAATGTTGTTTGCCTTCTAGCTTCCTCGCTTCCGATGAGCTGGAGGCTTCATGATGGCCCCAGAGGAGCCCAAGAGAGCTCCAACAGGGGCCCAAGAGGGCGCCAGGAGCTCCCAAGAGCGCTCCTAGAACCTCCCCGGAGGGCCCCAAGATGCCTTATTTGGGCCTCCGAAGGGGGAACCTGAATTGAGGACCCTCCCTCCCTTTTTGAGCCATGGTGCCCAAGATCGCACTAAGGTCTCCAGGACTCCCACTCTACAGGATCGCCGTTGGGCTTTGCAGGGCCCACCCCCCTGCAAAGACCCTTCAACTACCCTGCAAAGAGGGGATTCCTCCGTTGCTGGTTACGGAGCCTGTATCCTATCAGTCTCAAAAAAAGTGGTACGAAATTCAGGCAGCACCCCCTCGAAAGGTCAAAGCTCAAGCCGCGTTCCTACTCCTCCGCCTCCTCCTCTTCTTTATCATCCTCTCCCTTTCCCCTTTTTTATTATCCTCCTTCTCCTCCTCCTCCTACCGCCAAGATGGTCCCAGGGGCTTGTAGAAGGTTCATAAGACAAATCGCGGAGACATCAACGAAGCCGCCAACGCATGGAGACGTGTGTTGACGCACTAAGCAAAACCATCCCGCTGTTCTCTGCGCCCCCTCTGACACACTCCCAAGGCGCCTGTGCATCTTCGGTCTGCGTGCTTCCACGCGTCCCTGATTATGCAACTCGTCTGGCATTTTTTTCTGGATGGGCTGGTGAAGTTAGCGCATCCACCCCACACTCCACACGCTCCGCCCTCGCTCTTAACCTCCTGCCTCTTGGGGGTGCGGTGTAGGAGGATGGTGGGTCAGAGATGATGAGAAGCCATGCGGGGAGGATGGACTAAGACAACGCTTGCTTTCCGTCCGCACCAACGCGTGGCTAATCGAGGCATCCGCAAGGCGAATTGGCCTTGGCCGGCGTGCAGGGATGGAAGAAGCGAGCGGCCGCGCGGGGGGCGACGAAGAGGACACGCGCACACTCAAACCCTCGGAGGCCGCACCGACGGCGCACCTCCAACGGTGCACGGCCCAGCTCCCCTCGGGGATCTTCTGACCCGGATCAACTATGAACCAAAAACTGCCTTGCAGGAAAAAAAAAACTGCAACGCAGATCCTCGCAAACCCGGGTCAGCCAATACGCGCGGCTGCCTCGCGGCCACGAGCGGCTCGCTGACCCGGGTCAGCCAGAGGGGGTCTTTGCAGGATCCTGCAGGATCCGACGCCCTGGCTGACCCCCGTTTGCACTGACCTCCGTCTCAGGCTTCGATCCCCGTGTCCGGCGCGCCGGGTGCTGCGCCGAAGACCCCTCCCAGGGGCTCTCGGGGAGGGGGCAAGCGGCGCCCTGCGCGGGCGCGGGAAGCGCCTGCAGCGGAGTGGCCTCCAGGCCCTCTTCGGGAGCGGCCAATAGGGGGGTGTCCAAGAGGGGGGTGTGCAAATCATGACCGGCGGCATGTGCGCGGCCCAGCGGGGGGGCCAGGGACGTAATGAAATAAGAAGAGGCGCCATGAAATCTGGGGAGATATCATGGCCCCCGCCATGATATCCCCCCCCCTTGTCATCACCCCCCTCTTTTCCACCCCCGACCTCAGGGTGGAGGAGGCGCCCTCGGGAGGAGCGGAGGGGGCCCTCCTCCGGGTGGCGGGGGGTGCCCTGGCAGAGGGCGGCGGTCGGTCGGCGAAGAGGGGGGGGGGGGGACGGCGGGAGACCCAAAACGGGGCGGGTGGCGAAACGGGGCCCCGAGGGGTCCCTCCAGCGCCCCCGATGGGGGGGGGGCCCTGAGTGGCCCGCTCGGGGCGCCTCTCTGCACCCCCCCTTTCCTCCCCCGCCCCCCCCCCCCCCCCGTGCCCATCATCGGGGCCGTCCGAGAGGGGAGGCGTCCGCGAGGGGGGCTCGCAAATCATGGCCCGAGGCACGCGCGCGGCCCCGAGGGGGGGGGGTCCAAGGGACGCACCGGAAAGAAGGAGGGGGGCAGTGGAATCCGGGGAGATGTCGTGGCCCTGGCCATGACATCTTGGCCGTCGTCGTCCTCCTCCTCCTCCTCCTCCTCCTCCTCCTCCTGGTCCTCCTGGTCCTCCTGGTCCTCCTGGTCCTCGTCCTCGTCCTCGTCCTCGTCCTCGTCCGCGTCCTCCTCCTCCTCCTCCTCCTCCTCCTCCTCCTCCTCCTCCTTCTCCTCCTCCTCCCCCTCCTCCTAATTCACGGCGGGAGGTCCACGGATGGCCAAGGACTCGGGTCCCCACGGCACGAGGGAGATCCTGGTGAAACACCGCCGGAACCCTGCGAGAAGCCTCCCTGGCACCCTCCGGGGAGGGTTTTGCGGCGGGTCCTGGCAAGGCTGCGGTCGTGTTCTTTTGTGGGGGGACGCCTGTCCGCCGAGGCCCTTCAAAACGACGCCAGCTGTGTGCTGCAGGCCGACACGGGCTGCGGTGCTGTCGGTGGGGCGGAGGGGGCTGCGGTGCTGTCGGGATGGGCCAACACACGTCCTCAGGATCGTAGGGCAGGGCCCCGCGCACCACGGCAACACCGACGACGCCGACGCCGACGACGATGGAGATGCGCGCGGACGATCCGCACAAGGGGGGGAGGAGAAACTGTCCTGGGGTGTCCAGGAGGAGGAGGCAGACGAGGGGTGGAGATACAGAGAGAGAGAGAGAGAAAGACAGAAAACGACTCCGACGACGATGGCGAGGCGCGCGGGCAATCCGCACAAGGGGGGGAGGAGGAACTGTCCTGGGGTGTCCAGGAGGAAGCGGGGCGCGTTATCGTTATCACCGTCGTCATCGTCATCGCTGTGATCCTAGATCGGTGAGAGCGTTGTGCGTTGTGATCGTTGACCGTCGTGATCGTTGCCCGAGGGGAGAGAGAGAGAGAGAGAGAGAGAGAGAGAAAGAGAGAGAGAGAGAGAGAGAAAGAGAGAGCGACAGAGAGAGAGAGAGAGAGAGAGAAATAACAAAATAACAAAACGCTGCGATCTGGTGAAGGTAGCCCGAGCACGGCGCAGGAAGAGGGAGAGAGAGAGAGAGAGAGCCGATGCGGAGGGGCGACGGCGGGGAGGGCGAGGGGCTCCCCTCGCCTGCCGGGGGCGGGCGGGAGGGACCCGGGCACGGTCTGGCCGAGACCGCCTTATGTCAGGCAGAGCCGGTGGCCTACGGCAGGCTCGCGCGGCGTCGGCGCGTGCAAAGGTCTCTTGCACCGCGTCGATCGCTCCCAAATCGAGGCCCAAATCGTTTAAATCGAGGCCCAAATCGTTTAAATCGAGGCCCAAATCGTTTAAATCGAAGCCCAAATCTTGAACCGATCGAGGCCCAAATCGTTTAAAATTGAACTCCGTCGGGCCCAATAGCGTTACCGTGTCCCTCGGTGCGTCCGCGTCGCAGAATTCAACCTTGAACGCCTTCGCCGGCAATGCCGGCGCGCCCTCACCGCATGAACCTGCCGCAAGGCATCTGCAGAAAAGCCTAGGGTTCTGAATCACGCCTGGGAGCAAAGAAGGAAGACAGGTCTCACGGCCTGGCATATCTCCTCAACTGAGGATCACCCAAGAAACTGCACGACATACAAATCCACACACGATGCGTCACTGTGCACAAGTGTGTGCGATTCTTGAACCCATCCTCCCCCTATGTGACGCGAGCTCCCCTGGGTGGTCGGAAGACGCCCCCTCCCTCCGCGGCAACCTCGAGGGCGGTGCAAGGAGCTCCGAGCCACGAGGACGAGAAGGGAGAGAGGTGCAGAGGGTGCGGGAAGAGGAAGCCCTTCTGGAGCCGTAGTCGGCAGACATGTCCGTGTCCACGGCCTCGCGGGCTGGGCCACTGGGCCGCGACCCCGAGGATGCGGGGGGGGGGGGGGTGCTCCTGGGTGCCCCGCGCGGAACGGATCCGTGCGGCCGCGCATCCGCGGGATCGCGCCCCGAAATCCAGACCGAGGGCGTGGATATGGATAGGTTCGCCGCTTGCGAGCTCCAAATGTCCCGACCCCGTTTTTGGGTGCTGTTTTCCGCCCCAGATTCCTTTTGATGGTCCCTGGGCCTGAAACGGTGAAACGGCGATCAGGGGCCGAAATCGAAGATAAAAGAGAGAATCAACCCGATTGAAGACAAAAAATCGTCGGAGATCAGGGTATCTGGGACCTGGGATCATCGGAGGCCCCTCCAAAATGGGGGGGGGGGGGGGGCGATCATCCTAAGAACACGTGTTGTGGCGGACGCGTGCTGGCCCTTCGAAGCCCGCCTAACTATGCGACCCAGGCAGCGTACTGAAGGCCGACATAGGCTGTGTGATATCGGCGGAGCAGGACCGGGCAACACACACACACACACACATTTGGCTAACACACGTCTCGCCATCGCTCGGAAGTGCATTCCCCGTGCATAGCTCGGTTGCGCGCGTGCCTTTTTCGCACCACGATCTAAGTTTCGGGGTTGTCCAAGAGGGGGGCGTCCAAGAGGGGGGGGCGCAAATCATGGCCGGCGGCATGTGCGTGGCCTAGGAAGAGGCCGGGGACGCATTGAGACAAGAAGAGGCGCCATGAAATCTGGGGAGATACCATGGCCCCCGCCATGATATCCACACACACACACCTAGTCACCACCCCCATCTTGGCCGCTCCCGACAGTCGCTCCTCGATGGCCCTCGCCGAGAAAAATGCACACGCCCGAGCGATGCCAAGGCGCCCTGGAGATCGTCGAGGGAGGCGCCTTGCCCTCGTTGAGGAGCTGCAGGACCCGGCGCCGCGCCCTCTCGTCGCCCAACCGCCTGCCCCGGGCACGGCGCCAGGCATTGACCTCATGCTCGTCCTCAGCATCACCACCACCATCATCATCACCAACAACGTCAACACAAGCATCGTCCTCATCAGCACCGCCACCATCACCATCACCATCACCATCACCATCACCATCACCATCACCATCACCATCACCATCACCATCACCATCAACATCATCACCGCCACCATCATCCTCAGCACCATCACCATCATCGCAAGAATCACAGTCATCGTCAGCGTCGTCATCAGAATCGGCGTCATCATCAACAGCCAAAGCATCATCGACACCATCATCACCGTCACCATCATAGTTAGTTACATCATCAACACCACCACCACGCAACATCATCACACCAACCATCATAATCCTCATCAGCACCCGCAAAACATACGCATCATCATCCACATCGCCATGTTTATCACCATCGTGATCCACCTCTCCATCTCAATATTCACCTTCGTCATATTATCGCCACCAAATTAAGATTCATCCTCATCCGGATCATCATCATCAGCATCATCATCATCAACATTTTCATTACCGTTACCATCATCACCACAGTTATCATCAGCATCGGCAACATCATACTTGCAATCATCACCAGCACCACCATAGTCAGCATCAGCCTCGTCCGCACCACCACCGCCATGCCCAACATCGTCGTCGCACACCCCCCTCGAGATCCCCCTGGCACGTCCGTGGCCCCCGCTCTTTCTGTGCGACCCCGCCCTCGCCCAGCCCCCCACCACACCCCTTCCCCCCCTCTCAGACCACTCGTGGGCCTCAAGCCCGATCGTCGCCCCCCCCCCCGGCGGAACCTCCACTCTACAGCCCAGGAGCTGACGCTGCGGGAGGTGCGCCACAGGAGCTGTGTGCTGTCGCGAGCACACCCGCATGACATCCGGAAGCACCGAGCATCCGAACGTGTGAGCAGCTGGCTGCGACCGCGGGCCGGACACAATCAGTCAATACGCTGTAGATATGCAATCTGTGTGGTGAGCAGAGTGGTGGGAGCTGTGAGGGCACGCTAGCACAAGCTGTGTCGTGAAGCGTTGTGGTGCAAGCTACGTGGCCGCCCCAATGTGGTTAGATGTAGGTGGTGCAAGCTATGTGGTGGAAGCATTGTGGCGCGACCGCTGCGACCAAAGCTGCGTAATGGTAGTAGTTGCATGTGTAGAATATGCGTTAACACTCAGGCCTTGCTATAGCAATAGTATGAGCAAAAATCGCAGTTGCAATACTTATAATAGAATAGTCGCAATCTGTCGCGAGATCAAGTGATTTAGCCGTCATAATCTGAATAATGTGGTATTGTAGCGGTCGTCTCAATAGTGTTCGGAATCGTGGTAATAGTATGCATCGCAAAAAAAAAACATACAATAATGATCGAAGCTTTCACGGCCTGGCAGCACCCGAACGCCTGGCACACCGAAGGCTTTCATTACACGGCTCTTACGAAGCAGAGGGTGCAGCTGTATGGGGAATGAGATGGAAGAGCAGGGCGAAGGAATGTTTGAGATCAACGTGTGTGCGTGTGTGTGCGTGTGGTGTTTCTGGAACGCATGCACTACGAAACACGTATGTGCTCTGCGCGTCTCACAAAGCACGCACCTGGTGGTCAAACATCAGAATGAAGGGGCCGATCGGTATGATGCCGTCCCCACGTGCGTGGCCGAAGGGTCGCTCCACCGGGCCGACTATGCCTGTGGTTGTTGATGTGCTGCTCACATTGGTGAATTCGCACTGCTCAAACATAATTATTGTTGTTCCCCCCCTCCTGTAACAACTGTGTTGTTTAAAGTGCAGTGCCCTTCACGGGCCTAGCACCCTGTTTTTCGTAAGACGAGGAATCTTGCGCGTCCGACTGGGCCCCTGGCTCAGGGTTTACAACAACAACAACGGCTCCCGCTTGATACGTCCTCACGAATTATTGAAGAATCGCGCTCTCGCGAGGGAATTCCTCGCAACCGATTCAGGCGCCGCGCCCTCGACACTCAGGAATCACGCTCTCGCCCTGGATGCTTGACAATCTACTTGGGATTCGCTCTATCGCTCGAGACTTCCTCGCAATCCATGCTGTACTGACGCGCTCCAGCGACCCGCCCGCTCGACCGGACCATCTGGGTTTGCCCACCCGATCCGCCCGTGAGGGTGTGCCTGCCCGACCCGCCCGTCAAGTTCGGTCGCTTGTTCTCCTGCTCGTCCAAGCGCCCCCCCGCTAATCTCTCTCGTGCTCCATCGTTCTCCTTCCCCCATTGCCCCCTCCCTCCTCTCCCCCCTCCGTCCGACACTCCGTTCCTCCTCGCTATACTGTCTGTTCTGTCTCCCTCATCCTATTGTTTTAGGGGCTGCGCGAAGTACACGTGGCATATAAACATGCTATACCTCCAAACTGGGGCACGATCGGATACGAGAAGGGCGGAAGATAAGGCAGAACGGTCTCGAAATGATTGTCTCTGTTGTCGTCGTCACTCCCGCGACCCACCGCGCGACACACCCACGCTGCTCCGGCGAGACCAACGAAAGCGCCACCTGCGGCGGGCTCAGAGCAGCGTGTAAAAACTTGGCGACGACCGACGCTCCCACCGCTCCTTACTGTTATCCTCAAGTGCGGGGGGGTATGGTGTACCCCGAATGGAATACAGTCGGGGCGTTGACCTAAGGAACCCTAAGTAAGGAACGAGGCCCCTTTTTTCCATAAGTTAAACTTCGATTTCCCAACGAGAACATAAGGAAAAACTGAGGCAAGCTGTGCAACACTTAAGGAACGCGGAGTTTCTCCCTGACGAGAAGGGTTCCTTTTTAAGGGCCCCGACTGTAGTTTAACAATGGCGATACGCCAATTCGTAACTAGCCTGCCGACCACCCTGCAGATGAACCGCACCGCCTTCGGCGCTCCTGCGGTCGCTTCGTCTGCCAACGCTCCGATTACCAGCGACCTCAACCCGTTCATGTGCGATCGCCCAAGTTCTTCTATTCTGGGTTTCACAATTTCGGCGATGGACAAACCTCCCCTTAGTAAACCTTCCCTGAATGAAAATGGCCTGGGACCGAAACCGACGGACCTAGCCCCGCAAAAATAACGGCCGTGACGCCCTCTCGCGAACCGGACACGGCCAATACACTAGTCGACGTGTCAGGGTAGGAGGTCTATCAACCTCCGACAATGTGGCCGAAAAGTAAGAAGGGGGTCTCTGGGCCTAGGCAGGTGCTCCTTCGATCTGCTTCAAGGCCTGCGCCTTCTACGACGCAGGGGTGCTTCTGAGAAGCCTTGCCCCCTCCCCCAGCGCGTCGCCGAACACACATCAAACTCAGCACTCTGCTTACAGTCGTTCCCACTGCGCTGTGGAGAACCGAAATGGGCACGAAGAAATGGGTACGATGCCCAAGAGCACATGTGATCCGAAACCGACAGCGGCCGCTGTTGAGCGATCGACTTCGTCTTCAAGGGACAACGCCCGCGGTGGCGCGGACAGCGAGTCATGTTCCAAGATGAACAAGAACTGCTAGTGGGCATCGCACCCAATAGCTAATTCGATCGCCCCCAACTCCGCTTGCAACCGCCCTTGCGCTCACGCCCGCGCCCAGGCCCTGGCCCCAGCACCCTGTGGAGGGCTCCCGCCCCCCCCCCCCGACTGGCCCAAGAAAGAAGCCCGCTCGACCACGGCCCTCCTGCTCTGGCGTCCAGAAAAGAAAATGATGGTAAGCAGGAGGCGGCACCCCAACAATTCCTCGCCCGGAACTTGGGAGTCGCTCAGTGGGGGGCGAGAAATGGGGGGGGAGAAAGAAAGATGCACTTCTCGGGCCCTAAAGGCCCCCTCTTGTGCCCCAGAGGGCCCCTTTTGGCCCTCGCTGCCCTTCCAATCATCAACCCCCCATTACGCGACGCCCAAGGAGCCCCGACAAGCTCCCGCCCAGAGCCCGCCCCCGACCCCGTCCAGGTTGGACGTCCCCCATCGGCCTGGGACCTCCGTTCTCGGGCTCCCGCGCACAGCTCTCGCCCGGAAGAGTCGAGTACGGGGTCGACCACAGGATTGGCTTCTCCCCAAAGACATGAACTTGTGGAAACTTGTTCGTCAGTTCGACTCACACAGCCCAGGTTGTGGGGCAAGCCAATCCTGTAATCGATCTCCTACTCGAAGGAAGGGGGATGGGACGAAGCAGGAGGAGCCCCTCTCTCGGCTCCCTGTGCCCTTCCCCTCGGAAGGCCTCTCCACAGCGCAGCCTGCCGTCGAGGTGGACTGCGACACGAGGGCGTCTGCCGGGCGGCGTTCACGCAAAGAGGGGCACGAATGAAGGGAAGGGGCACGCCACGCTGCAACGAACAGCAAAGGGCGCGTGAACCTGGGTCCTGGCAAGGTGGGCTCGGTAGGGTACCGGGTGGGGTCCTGGCAGGATCATGGCGAACTCCCGGTGAGATCAACTGCAGAGCAGAAGCGGGCAGGCTGGCATGGATAACATAGCGATCTGGTGAGAGGGACCTGTGCCGATCGACTCTTGAAAACAACTCACGGAAGCTCTTGGTCGTCCCTCATGGCGCCCAACAACGAGACGGCTTGCGCGCGAGATGGACGGAATGTATATCCTTCGCATGGCGCGATCGGTAGCTATCGGTCGCTATTGGGAGCTATTCACCGATCTGCACTTATCTAGAGACGAGCGAAGCTTCTAGGATTTACTGTTTAATCGACGCGCCATGCTGACTCGCGCACGCCCGAGCAAAGGAGGCACACGCGGCCCGGCCCGAGTTGCGCACGCCGTCGGCCTTGATTGAAACCTCGAATGCTGAAGCATCGTGCCAGCACTGTCGCTCCACTGGAAACCGAAGCGAGCGGTTTATCCATTCATGGCGATACCGGGCATCACAATGGGCGCGTAGGCAACGCGACGCTCCCCCCCCCCGGGCAGCGGACCCCGGCGCCAACGGAGCGCTCGCGCACCCCTCTTTGGGCCTTCCCCTGCCAGGGGGCCCCGGCGCCCTCGGAGGTCTCGTGCGCACCTTGGCCTTGTCGCGCGAAGACGACGACGACGACGACCACGACGACGACTGGACGACGACGACGACTGGACGACGACGACAACGACTGCACGGCTGCACGACGGGACCAATACGATGACGGCTGGGAGACGACTACGGCACAGATGACAACGACGACGATCATCGTGCGAGCATGTGATCTAACAAACTGCGTTGACCTTTATTTGAGTCTCCGTCCCTTGTACACGTCAACTTCGCATATGAACTCAACCTCCTTCTTGGGCGGATTTCATTCACGCAAGCTCCTGTGAGAAACATTCGGCTGTGCCCTCTGTGTGAGCACCGCGCCGACATGGCCGTCATGCGAGCTCACCCGCCCGCGAGGAACTCACGAACTTGGTAGAAAGCGCCGTTTTTCAACTTGGGGGTCTCCAGGGCGTCTCCCAATAAACTGCGAGGAAAGATTCCAGCTGGAGCCGTTGTCGTCTTAGCTGAAGACGTGTCGGACGCGAGAGCCGTTCCTGCGTGATAATGCTTACGCCAGGGCGCACGTAAACAAATTATTACGATGAAGTGTGGAGCGGGAGCCGTTGTAGTCGCAGTTGGGCCTTCACCAGCTAGGATGCATTGCGAGGATGTCTCCAGCGAGAGGCCGTTTCTGTGTTAGGGGGCCCCTCTGGCCAGCGCTTCTCGGGGTAAAGCGCGAGGAGATATCAAACGTGGTCGGGTGTCTTGCCAGCTGGGCCGTCTCCAACTTCGGTGAATTGGGGGGACATCTCAGCGAGAGCGCCGTCCCTGATGTCGGGGCCTCTCTCTCTGGACAGGGCTTCTCGGGGTAAACGGGGAGGAACTAGTGAAGATTGTCGCTGCTGTTAGGGCCTCAAAAACCGGGATTAGGAAGCATGCCCGCGCTTGAGCGGAAGCGATACTTTCAGAGAAAATGGAACAGGCGTCGAGGCGAAACCACCAGGAACTGTTACCATACATCAATATCCACGTATCAACAACCATTGTGCTCAAAACGGAGTATCCAATGACGACGAATAAACGTCGACGACGACTGAGGACGACTGCATAACTGGACGACGACGACGACGACAACGAGGACGGCATAGACGCAGACGACGACGACTAGGCGACGAGTAGGCGACGACGACGATGAAAACGAAGACGTTGACAACGACGCAGACGACGACGACGACGGCGACAACGAATGAGGACGACTACGACTGGGCGACGGCGACGACAGCGATAACGACTGGGCGACGACGACCACGACGAAGACGACGACCTGCGGCACCTTCATCCTTCTCATCGTCGTCCTTCCTTTCCTTCTCGTTGTTGTTCTTCTTCTTCGTCCTTCCTTTCCTCCTCTTCTTTGTTGCTCGTTGTCCTCCTCCTTTCCTTCCTTCCCTCCTCGTTGTTCCCTCTTTGTCCTTCTTTCCTTTCCTCCTCTCCCCTCTGTGTGCGGCGCTTTGGAGCACGACCATCGACACAAGAGACGCGTGCGTATGCGCGACGACTGGCACGGACACTGACAACGATCTGCACCGACACGATCCAGCGACACCTCGGTTATCTTCTGTTGCATCCTCGGGGGACCTTGTCTGTCCCGTCGCGGCCCTATCCGCGTCGCATCCGTGTCGAATCCGTGTCGGACTCGTCGAATCCGTGTCGAATCCGTGTCGAATCCCCGTCGAATCCATGCCAAGTCTGCGCCGAGTCCGCATCGAGCCCGCATCGTGCACAAGAAAAGACACCAATTTTTGGGACGGGCATAGTCCCCAAAAGATGCGACGTAAGTCATCGTGTCTCTTCCCCCGACTCCCTGATGTAAGACGAAGCCGAAACGAGGGCAGGATCGGGCAAGGGCAAATCGTGAATCTCTGAGACCGTGCGGCTCTGGAGGATGCCTCGGGCTCTGAGAGCGTTACTGGACGCTCTGGAACAGACTTATTCTCGTCCTACCCCCGCCTGACATTGTGTCTCTTCCCCCGAGGGGGTCCCGAAAACGTGTGGTGACAGACCCCGCGGTGACCTCGAAACCCGCAAAGACCTCACCGCAGGGTCGTCACCACATCTTTTTGGGACCCCTGAGGCCCCAGTCGCCGGAAACATCCTCGGAGAACGGCCCGAGTCCCAAAACCGCGCGGCGAACCCGACTCCCCACCGACTCACCACGCGGCGTGGTCACCACCGCTCCCTGACAGCAAAAACTGATGGCAAAAGCGAGCGCTCCTTCAGAGCCGTCCGTAAAGAGCGTGCTGGCTCGGCGCGTCCGGGAGGCGGCGTGCTGGGGCGGCGCGGCCGTCGTACGGGGGGGGGGGGGGGGCAGGCACAAGGCACGCACCGTGCTCGTACACTCGGCACCACTCGTCGCCTCCCCCCCTTCCGTCCTTCCGCCTCTGCCCCTCCATGCCCAGAAGAAGGAACAACCATCGCTCGGACGTCCATTCCCTGTGCGTTTTTCGGCGTCGTGCGCGGTTTTTTTTCGCCAAATGAGGAAGGATATGCTCCTCGATGGTCCTCGCCGAGGGAGAAAAAAAAACGCACACGCCCGAGGGATGCCAAGAGAAACTTGTGGCGCCCCGCGCAGATTTCCTTGGCCCTTGCGCTGGACCCCCCCCCCCCCGTAGCAGGCGCGCGGAGCGCGCCAAAAGGGGCGGCGCCAGAGGCGCCGCCGGGGGGGGGGGGGGGGCTGAAACGACGCGGAGATCGGGACAAAATCCGATCGGGATAACTCGAAATCTCTGAGAATCGGCGGGTTTGGAGGATGTATTTGAAGGGGCCCCAGGACACACAAAGAAATACACACAAATAAAACGATTCCCCATATTTTCCTATATTTTCTGGGTTTTTGTCTTCCCCCCCACTTCCCATATTTCCCAATATTTTCTGGGGAATCGACGATTAATTGTGTCTATGTGTTTTTCCTCTCCTGAGTATTGGGCGCCGCGGCCGCTCCAGAGCGTTCCGGAACGCTCCGAGAGCGCTCCGGAACGCTCTGGAGCGACTTATCCCGATCCTATAGCCCTGTTTTAGGGGCCCAGGCGCGGCTCCAAGGAATCCGCGCGGAGCGCCAGAAGTTTATGCTTGTGCAGGTGTTTCTTCTGCGAAGGTCCCTTTAGCCACGCCGGCCTCCCGCGCGCGTGCGCAGAGCTCGTTGCCACTCCATGTGCAGGCACCGCCTCCGAGAAGTGCTCCTCGTGGCACGTGCGCCTCGCCGCTGCGGAGAGCACGGTCCCGTTGGCGTCTGCCTCGAGGGTGAAGCTCTCGAGCTGTGGCTTGTGCAGAACGTGTGCATGCCACTTCGCCTTCTTGCGACTCGGCTCGGGCCCCGCGCGCGCCGCCCGCTCCTCGGACTCTCTCGCGTGCACTGCGCCGCGGCCGCACGGGGGAGAAGGGAATGCACCCGACTGGCCCTTGCGCTGTCCCTCGCATCCACCGGCTGCCCAGCCCTTGCATCCAGTCCAGTGCGAGGGCAGCTTCCCTTCCAGCTCCATCACGGGGGGAAGCGATGCTGGCGGAGCAGGGACCCACAACACGTCCACTGTGACCGATTCCAGTGCGTCGGTGTTGTGTAGCCCGCTCCCCCTCGTCCAGGCAGCCAGAGGCACGAGACTTGCAAAATGCGTCTCCTACGAGGGAGGATGTAGACGGCAGGATGATGAAGGGACAACAGAAGGATGCGCGGGCGACAGCATGAGGAGGATCAGGCGGGAAACAGCACGACTGGAAGAGAGGACTTGGAGGACGTTGGGTGGAGGGAAGAGGCCATGTCCGAATACCACCACCCTGCAATCGTGAATTCCAAATCTCCTGACGCCCAGGATGCCGCACGCACACACACACACACTCACACACACACACACACAGTGTCCATTTCGTGTTTTATCAGAAAAAAACAAAACTTGTCCAAACAAGCCCTCGTTCACTGAAGAACGCGGCGCAGATCTATTGTAAATTGGGATTCGATGACAGCCTTGCATGTTACCAACAATGAATAGAACGCGTGTGCTATCAGAGATACAGCTGCTCCAACACGTCGGCCGCCTTCGCCTCTTTCTGAACAGGACTGCCGCCTTTCCCCAACCCGCCCACACGAACGGGTGCCAACAACCTGACGAACACGCTTTCCAAAGCGACATAATATGTTGGATGGGCGGCGCTTGTCGTTGGCAGGATCACAAAGGTACGCTTCACACGAACGGGCATGATCCACCCCATGAACGGCAATGTTGCACATGAGTTGTGGACCACAGGATGCAGCACATCATCCTCCCCATCTCCACGGCTCCGCCTCCCTCCTCCTCTCCCCCCTCCCTCCTCCTGCTCCTCCTCCTCCTCCTCCTCCCCCCTCCCCCCTCCCCCAGTCTCCCTCCTCGCCTCGCCGCGTCCCACTTATCCCCCTCTCCCCTTCCCCGTCTCTCGCTGCGGGGGCCTCGACGGCATCCAGCGACAACAGGGAGGCCCGGGTCGACATCCTGCCGGCGCCACTGCCGGGGAGACCACACGGTGCAGACACCGCTACTCCCATGACCACCCCTGATCTCTCCCAGGGTGCGCTCTGACCGGAGTGTCGACGCGAAGCCAGCGGTGGTGACGAGGGCATCCGAGGAGGCCCGAAGAGGGGGAAACCGAGAAATGTGTTATCGGCATGGATGCATGTTCATCCCTGGAGCTACCGCCGCGCCAAGGGACTGCCCCCCGCGAGCTGCCCTCATCAGACAACCGCAGATCCACTTTTCGCAAAGCCGCTACTCGCAACTGGCCTGGATTCGACACGGGCGGCTCACGATGCAACACCTCGGAGCAAACCTGTGTGGCTTCGGACGTTTGCAGGCAGGCACTTTGCGAGACGTGGCACTCGATCGGTAACAGATTCTCTGGCCGCCTAGGGTTAAGTCGGGCGTGTCCCCCTACAGGAGGATTTTCGATGAAAAATAAAAAAAATACCCCCAAAATAGTCCAACAATAGTCTGGGGACTATGTTTCGAGTATTTGTTGGCCTTTTTGGGACATTGCTTTTTTTGTTCGTCGAGGAATCCCCCTGTAGGGGGTCAGGCCCGACTTAAGCCTAGGGTCTCCCGCCTGCGATCCCCGCTGCCCCCCCCCCCCCCTCGTGCCGACGACCCTCCGCAACAGGCCGCTGCAGTACCGCTCCGTCCGGCTCGGCGAGCAGTCTTCGGAGCTTCCTGCATTCTTCGCTGCGGCGCTCGGCCTCAACTGACGAACCAACAACACACACCCATATCCATAGGGGGGTCGGAGAGGGCTATGGGTGCGTGTTGTCGGATGGGGGTCCCCGCTCGAATGGGAGCGTTCCCCAGGGTCCGACAACCCGCACCCATACCCATAGCCAGTCCTCCTCCCAACGACCCCCTTATGGGTATGGGTGTGTGTGTTGTTCGTTCGTCATCAACGTCGTGGTGTCCGTGGCGCTCAAGGGAGTAAGACGAGGCCAGGACAGAGGTAAAATCAGATGGGGATGAACCGGGAATCTCTGAGATCCAGCGGCTCAGGAGGATGCCTCGGGCGCCGCGGCCTCCTCAGCGCGCTGCGGAAAGCTCTGAGAACGTTCCGGAACGCTCTGGAACGGACTCATCCTCGTCCAAGCCCCGCCCGAGGAAGGCTTGCACCTCTTGCGTGGCATTGTCATTTGGCCATTCCTGTGTGTTCCCCTCGCTGCCTTCCGTACCTCCCGCTCCCTCCAGCGTCCCCCCGTCCCCTCCCTCGGGCGCGGCCTGACCGTCCCCTAGCAGACCCATCCCCTTCCGTGACGTCATCCTCGCCCTTCGAGCTCCCCGTCGGTCGCCTCGTCGTCGGCGGCGTCGTCGTCGTCGTCCCGTCCTTTCCTCCTCCCCGTCCTGGTCTTCGTCGTCCCTGTTCTGGCCGTCGTCGTCGTCGTCGTCGTCGTCGTCGTCGTCGTCGTCCACTTCACCATCCTCCTCATCCTCCTCCTCAACATAATCCTCTTCCTTCGCCATATCTAAGAAAAACGGTGTTAGCAAGCGTGGACCCTAAACAGTCTTTTTTCTGGCAAAACATGTCATGCTACCTGTGTGGAGAAATCGCTGTGGTGCAATACGTGCGGTGCAATATGTAATGTGTCATCTGTGTCGAACCATCTGGGATGCGCAATACATGTTGTGCAATGACGGTGGTGCAATCGACGTGGTGCAATCTTCGTGGTGCAATGCATTTGCCGTGCAGTCTACATGTAGATGTAGATATACATAAAGACATGTATATACGTATGCGCATTTGTATATATATATATATATATGTAACTATATCGGTTGGGCAATAAATGTATTGGAAGCCCCAAGCGGCCCCCTCGAGGCTCCCAAGCGGCCCCCACGAGGCTCCCAAGAGGCCCCCAAACTACCCCCAAGAGGTCCCCGAGAGCGCTCGTCGTCCTCGTCGTCATTGTCGTCGTCGTCGTCGCCGCCGCCGCCGTCGTCGGTGTCGTCGTCGTCGTCGTCGTCGTCGTCGTCGTCGTCGTCGTCGGTGTCGTCGCGGTAGTCGTCGTCGTTCAGGGTCGGCGGCACCGGCCGTAAGGCCTCCTCACTAAGAAACCCTAGGTGCAAACAATGCTTGAGGAACAAACGTGAACTTTCGCAGGTCCGCGGGAATTCCGTGCATCGTCGCTGCCCCTGCCTCCCTGGCGCGGGGAGCGCCCCAAGGTCAGCGCCAGAGGCGTACCACGGGGGACTGTTAAAGATCAGAGACATTCGCGCGGACCTCTGACAGTTTATGTTTTTGCCACTCCTTGTTCCTCGAGTGCCCCTCCCTCGCCCTCCCTAGCCCTCCTCCAAGGGAAACCACAAGGTAACACATACTGCTACTACTCCCTGGGCCTCTGCCGCGGTGCGCTCTGACCTGAATTTCGAGGCGAACGCAGCCTTGGCGACGAGGGCCTCCCAGGAGGCCCAAAAGTGCGAACACGAGGCAAGGGTAGCGGCGGCGGTATGGGTACCTTTTTGGAGGCTTCCCAGATGCGCTCCGAGCAGATGGGGTCGGAGACTTGCGCGACATCGCCGATTCTTCGGCGACACATCGGCGTCGTCGGCGCAGCATCGGCGCCGTCGGCGTGGAACAAGCCGGTCTCCATATCGAGCCGCATCGCCGGCACATCGGCGATGCGGCGCGATCCTCCGACCCCATCTACAGTGGGGGCCAGTCCACAAGAAACCTTCCACAAGAAACCCAACTCTGAGACCCGAGGACGTCCATTGACTCCTGGCGAGGGAACGTCGTCACGCTTTCCATCGCAAAACGCTCGAGAAGCCCTAGAAACCCACGGCACCCTGGAGGCACGCAGGATGTCTCATGGCATGGGTCTCCACTCCACTCAGACCCCGCTTGAGAGCCCTAGGACTGTTCCTCCTCTAATGAAGGGGCCCACGAACACACAGATAAATACACACAAATAAAAAGATTGCCCATAGTCTCCTATATTTTCTGGGTTTCTGTCTTCCCCACCCCCTTCCCATATGTTCTTATGTTTCCTGGGGCATCGACGATGAAATGGTGTCTGTGTGTTTTTTCCCCTCCTGATGCTCCTCCTCTGAGCAGGGGCCACCCCCCCGGGCAGGTGCGCGACGCGCCGGGCCGCCGCGCGAGGCTCCGGGCCTCGGCCTGCGAGAGCGCCGTGCCCACGGGCAGCGGCCGGCGCCGGCCCCGAGGAGGGCGGCATCCGCCAAGATCGGTGCCCTGTCGGGCGTGGCCAAAAGCGCCCCGGGCCCGAGGTGCCCCCAGGCTCTCCAGGGGGGCCCCCGCGGGCTCCAGAGCACCCCTCACGAGGCCCCAGGGCTTATATAGTGGGCCCTGGAAGCGACAGGGCCGTCTTTGTTACCGGTTCCGTCCTGCCGCTTTTGTTGCCGGTTCCGTTTTGCCGTTTTTGTTACCGGCTCCGTCGCCGTTCTTTTGACAGGTTCCGGCTCCAGTTCCAATCCTGGAGCCGTTTTTTGTTGTTGTTCCGGTCGCCTTTTTGTTCGCCGTTTCCATGGTCAAGGGACATTTTTTTGGAAACGGTGACAAAACGGCCCTGCCGTTTCCGGGGCCCAGAAAGGCCAGAATTCTGGCCCGAGGTGCCCCCAGGCTCTCCAAGGGGGCCCCCGCGGGCTCCAGAGCACCCCTCACGAGGCCCTCACGGGGCCCCGGAGCGCAAAGCTGGGGGAAACCTTGGGCCAGGCGCACCTTTAGCAACCCCAGACCCTTTCCTCTCGATGATCCTCAGAACGTGTTGAAGGGGCCCTGAGACACACAGATAAATACACACACATAAGAAGGTTCCCCATATTTTCCCATATGTTATGGGTTTTTGTCTTGCCGCCCAATTCCCATATTGTCCTATATTGTCTTGGGGATCGACGATTAATTGTGTCTGTGTTTTTTTCCCTCCTGACGTGTGTTCGCCGCGACGGTGTGCTTGTCGACCGAAGCCCTCCGATGCGACGCCGGCGCTGCAAACGAGGGCCGACACGGAGGTGATTAGCGGAGCTGAACGAGGTAACCACACAGTGGGCGAACACACGACCAGAGGATCACCGATCCTCCTCCGCCTCCAACCTTCGCTCTCCCCAGACCCCCGACGTCGTGATTTTTTCATGACGTCGCCCCCCAGAAGTCTGGACCCCTTCCCCGGGACCAGTTTTTCGTCCTGCATCGTTTTCTGACGGTCCCGAGGCCCGGGAAGGGCCCCCCGAGGGCGAAAATAGCGAAAAACCTCCCGTCGTGATTTTTTCACGACGCGAGGGGGTCTGGGAACCTTCGCTCTCCCTCCTCGCCCGGCGGCGCCTCTTGCTCACGGGCTCGAAGCTGCCCTGCTTGCCGAAAGGCAGCGCGCCGCCGGCCTCTCCCGCGCGCGCAGAGGGCGCGCCCGCGGGGGGGCCCCCGGCGGCGCCCTCCTGCGACGGGGCCCTCCCCCCACGGGGTGCGGCCCCGGGAGTCCGGCTCTGATGCTGACGCGCTTGGCCCTTGGCCGCGGGACTCCTGAGGTTACTCGTCGCGGCATTTCGGGAGCGGCCAAGAGGGGGGCGTCCAAGAGGGGGGGGTATGAATCATGGCCGGCGGCATGTGCGCGGCCCAGCGGGGGGGCCAGGGACGTAATGAAATAAGAAGAGGCGCCATGAAATCTGGGGAAAAATCCTGGCCCACGCCATGATATCCACCCCCCCTAGTCATCACCCCCCTCTTTTCCGCCCCCGACTGCTGCTGACTTGCCTGGCCCCTGGCCGCGGCCATCCCGACGCTGCTCGTCGCGGCCGTCTCCGTTCCTCGTTTCCGTGGTCCGGGCTCTGTCGTCGGACGGCTCCCTGCTCCATGGCTCGCTCGCTCGCCAGATGGTCTCCGCCCCCCCCCCCCCCTCCGTGAGGAGGAGGAGGAGGAGGAGGAGGAGGGGGAGGGGGAGGAGGAGGAGGAGGAGGAGGAGGGGGAGGGGGAGGGGAAGGAGGAGGTCGACGACGTCGAAAACGATTGAGGTTTATGCGTGTTTTTTGTCCAGCTTGAGCTGGTCTTCCTTCTCACCAGTCCTCCTGGCGCTCCCCGCCTTCCGGATTGGGTGGCCTCCCCGCCTCCCCGCCCCCCCGCCTGGTCTCCCCCCCCCCGCCACGAGGTCCGAGCCCACCCCCACCCCCACCCCGCCGTCCTCGCCAGATCCGTGGACCTGGCGCGTGGGCGCCAGACCCTCGGGAGACTCTCCATGGGGGGGGATCCCATGGGGGGGCAGGAGGGGATCCTCCTCATGGGATCCCCAGGGGATTCTGTGGGATCCCCCCCCCCTGGGATCCTATCCCCCCATGGGATCCCCCCCCCATGAAGAGTCTCCCGAGACCCGTGCGTCGGGGATGGCACCCCAGCGCCGCCTACGTTGGCGACGACGCGTGCCGATCTTGCACGGAGACGGGACCCGTCGCTAGTCCACGCGCCTTCATCGATGTTGGCGTGCCCTCGACCCCTGCCCGCCAGCTGAAGTCCCCCCCCCCAAAAAGTTGGGACCGACCGTCCCGGCATTCCTCGAGATCCAACCAATGCTCTAACAACTGCAACAACAGCAACAGCATCACCACTAACAACAACGCAACAGCAACACCAACAACGACAACCAATATTCTTAGATCATAGATCATAAACCCAATGTGTTCAAACGAGGCAGTCTCAGCCAAACATGTTCTAATCACATTTGGTGCAGACCACGATCCACATAACATTATGTAGGACACTCTTTGGTGGGCCTATAGGCTAGCCAGGACGCTTCGCCACTGCTTGACAGAGAAGTGGACCTGCTCCCCTCTGGCGGCTGGTGCCCCCCTTCCCCTGGATCCCTTGGCCCTCCGGCTCTCCCCGCGCCCGGCCTCGTGCCGGCAGCACTTCCAGGCCTCCCCCCGTAGTATTTGGACGCCCGAATTGAGGGGAGAATGGGGACGATTACCAGCAACAAGCGCTGTCCAAAACCGGCCGCGGCCGCCAATGGGCAGACGGCCTCCTGTCTCAAGTGGGCAACGACCGCGCCACGCCGACAGAGAACCCTGTGCAGAATGAGCAAGAACTGCTGTTCAACTTTGTACCTGTTGTTTCCGTATCCATTTCGATCGTCTCGATCGTAGGAGGAGCGGGCAGGACGGGAGGGAGAGGAAGCGAGGCGAAGCGAACGCTGGAGTGGTGCGCGCTCACTTGGGAAGTCCGCCCGTGCCCATTAGGCCATGGCGTGGAGGCAGTGGTCTCAAATTTGATATGTTGACGGGCTCACGTCGTAGCCACCATTCAGTGACCCCGGCGGCTGATAATGCGAGGGGGGGAAGTGCGAGGGGGACCAGCAGCGATCCCTAAACGTCCCCAGGTCATCCTGTTCTCAGGCTATACATGGGAGCCTCCCATGTCAACCTTGCTGGATCTTGCAATTCAGCGCTGCCCGACGCTAACCGACGGAAATCGATGGTCCTCGACCCTGCGCACTGCGCCCCGTCACCAGTGCCCTACGGACCGCCGAGACGCGCAGATTACAGCCTCTTGACCGTCTCCCCCGATCAAGATCTCCCTCCGCGGCGGAAACATATGCACACCTCCTCTGCGATAACGAGGGCACCGGGGCCTTTGCGCGCTTCTGCTGCTGGTGGACCTTGGAGCCCGACGTCCACCTGCTGACACCGGCCTGCGGGGTCTGACGCTTGCGGGGGCTTGGGAAGAAAAGAAGCGACAGCAGGAAGACCGCAAGGAAAGCCAATCGGCAAGTCACACACACACACACACACACACACACACACACACACACGCACACACACACACACACGACCACTCCCCAGCGACCACCCCCAGAGCTTGGCCCACCCTCCTCCTTCCTCCACATCCGCCTCCTCGTCCTCCTCCCGCTTGTCCTACTCCCTCCCCCTTCCACCCCCGTAATTGTTTACCACCTCCGTCCCCTCATCCCCTCATTATCGTCATCTTCCTCTCCCTGATCCCCGATCCCCTTCGATTGGTGCTTTGTCCTCATCCACCCTATCCTCATCCTCCTCGTCCTGATCCTCCTCGTCTGCCTCATCCTCCTCATCTTCCTCCTCTCCTCATCCTCATCTCCTGGTCCTCCTCATCTTCCTCATCTTCCATCGCTTGAGGAGGGGACCGAGCGTAGATAAGATTTCGTGTCCTCCTTATCCTCCTGCGCCTCATCCGCCAACTATTGCACGACCTCCTGACTTTCCACATCCTACTCCCTGAGTGCGGATCCCTTACGATGGATTCCTCAATGAGATTCACAGGATTCAATACTGAGAACTCCTTACTGTGGGATCATTGTTAAGGCTGCCAGAGTAAGGATCCATGACTAAACACTCATTGATGAGGATTTCTTATCGTCTCCCTCCCTACTACGAAGTGTTCAATCATACGTCCTTATGTTTTAAAGACCTTACTCTCGATTCCTTACGAAAGCTGCCCAGATAAGCATTCCTTACTATAAGTCAGGACCAATAATTCCAGCATAATGATTCCTTACCGAGAGCTCCATCTTGAAGATCTCTTACTACATTTTCCTCACCAAAGATCCGCACTGAGAAAACAGGCTGATGCATCCAATGCTGAACTCATCTGGTCAAATTCATCGGGTCAAACTCATCCTATGCCTACTCATCCGCGCCTAACTCATCTGGTGTCTATCTCATCTTGGTTGTAATTCATCCGATGCCTATCTCATCCGGTGGCTAATCAATCTGGTCAAACTCATCTGGTAACTGACTTATCCGGTGCCTGACTAAATCACTCATGACCTACCTCATTCGGTCAAACTCATCCGGAAACTAACTCACTCGATGCCCTAACTCATCTGGTGCCAAACTAATACGCGGTGACAAACTCATGCGGTGCCCTGTGCCATTCCCGGTCACTAATTCATCCAATTGCCTAACTCATTCATGCCCTAACTCACCTGGTGTCCTCACTCACCGGGTGCCTTACAATTTCCCGTGCCCTAACGCATCCAGTGGCAAACTCATCGTTTACGAACTCATCCGGTGCCCTGCCTCACCCAGTGCCCTAAGTCTTCCGGTATCCGAACTCTTCCGCCCTGTAACTCATCCAATACCCTCACTCATCCAGTGCCGAATTCATCCACTCCGCCACTCATCGATACCCCAAATTCATCCAACCTCACTCATCCAGCATCTTGACGGACGTGCCCGAAAATGCTTGACTTCAAACCCTTTTGCAGTCAAGCAGATTGTCACCCCTATCTTCCCCAGGATACCCCCACGAAACCCTCCAACAGCAGCGAGCTCCCAACGTCGCCTGGAAAGACATCCACAGATAACCCCAAAGTAATTCTAAATTTGCTTGACCACAACACGTCTTGTAGTCAAGCAAATTCCAGCCCCCCCATCTGCCCCAGACCCCATGAAACCCCCCAGAACGTGACCTTCAAAGCGTCCAACAATGCCTCGAAAGGAGCTCGAAATTTGCTTGACTACAAATCGTTTGGTAGTCAAGCAAATTCTGCCCACCCATCTGCCTCAGGATACCTGCGAGAAGCCCTCCAGCAGAACGTCGAGAGGCAGAAAACCCCGAACGTCGCCTTAAAACGCACCCATCAAGAAAACAATAATAACTCAACATGTGCTTGACTATGAACCGTTTTACAGTCAAGCAAATTATGACCTCTCTTCTGCCTCGAAACGCACCCATAAAGCACTTCATGATAGCTTCTTGAAACAACGATCTCCAACGTTGGCTTTGACAACATCCGAGCCGAACTCATCCAGCATCCAGTGCCTAAATTCGGGGATGGACAGAACCCCCTTTAGTAAAACGTGACTTAGTGGAAACGACCTCGGGCCCAAACCTGGCGGGCGCAAGCTTGGACAACGACGGCTGCGGCGTCCTCTCGAGAACAGAAAACGGACAATTCACTAATCGACGTGTAAGGGTGGAGGTTCTGTCCACCCCCGATAACTCATCGGGGCGCCAAACTCATCCAGAGCCCTAACTCCTCTGGTGCCAAATTCATCCGGCGCCAAACTAATCCGAAACACTAACTCATCCGTTGCCTAACTCATCCGGTGACTGACTCACCCGATGAACTACCTCATCCAGCGCTGAAATCAGTCGGTGTCGTAACTCATCCAAGCGCCCGAATTCATCGGGTGCGAAACTCATCCTGTGACTACCTCATCCGGTGCCCTAGCTCATCCGGTGCCCTAACTCATCCAGTGCCCTAGCTCATCGCCCGCCCCCGTGGGCTGGAACCTGCAAGCTTGTGGCCCCGAATGGGGCGGAAACCTAGAGCCCTGCATACTCCGCGAACCCGAGTTCGACATCCCTCTGCCCCCGCAATTGAAATCCGAGACGAGGGGGTCCGAGAGGATATGGTGGGAGGGTCCCGCCGCATCGCCAACGGCATCCCCGATGCACGGGCAACGTCGACCATGCATCGGCGACGTCAGTGTGGAGGAAATCGAGCTCCACATCGAGACGCACCGATGGCACCCCTGAAGGGGTGGTGTCGCTTTTCTGTCCTCCCACCCCTATGGCACGCCCGTTGTGGACACGACAATGAGCGCAACGAAACCCGACAACAAACGTTATCCACAACCGACAACGGCCACTGCTGGGCACCAGCTTCCTCTACGGAATTGTCAAGGTTCGCGGAGACAAAACAAAACGAACCGTGTTCAAAATGAATGAGAACTGCTGTCGGGTGTTGTCCACCGTCTATCCGTGCTCAATTGCTTGGGGGCAGCAATTACATATAACCCTACTCCACGGCCCTCTCCAGGTGTGTTTCCTGACCGAGATTCAAAAGAAATATCTGTTTCACATTCCCCACACATTGCTAGCACCTAAGGGTTCTTACAGACATGCTAAGGAAGTGGGCTTGACGCTAGGGCCTGATAGTCGTTTTGGCGGCTACGTTGTCGCCGTCGCATCCCTGTCGCCGCCCGTCGTCTGAGCCATGCGTTGTCGCCGTCGCCGCCCCGTCGCCGCCCGTCGTCTGTGCCTGATGATCGGTGTGGCGGCCGTGTTGTCGCCGTCGCCGCCTCGGCGACGCCCGTCGTCTGGGCCTGACGGTCTGTCCAGCGGCTATCTTGTCGCCGCCGCCGCCCCGTCGCCGCCACGCATAAAATGCACCGCGTTGAGCACACCGCATAGAGTCTCCTCTCAAAGAAAAAAATCTGTCATACCCCCCCCGGACTTATCGGTTCCCCCTGGGATAATATGATTTTCTATATATATACACATATGATATATGATATATATATATATATGTAAATAAATAAATATTGCACACGCGTCCATCCTAAAAATGAAATCGTACCATCCCAGCTAGGCGGGTTTCCCCCCTGAGGCTCCCGAGTAAAAAACGCAGCGACATGCTTTGTTCTAACATAGCACTTGTTTTCACGAATCCTTTGCAAAAAACGGGACGAAGTGCACACGCGCGCGTCGTCGCGCGCGCATGCCGAAATCCTTCAGAAACCTTCGGTGCGGGAAAGATTTCGCAATCGAGTTTCCAAAACACATACAAAAACACAAGGTTTCGCAACACAGAGTTGCTAAAAAACTTCCGCGAAAGCTCTTGCGAAATCTTACGGAAACCATAGGTGTTTCAAAATTTTCACAAAATGCTACCAAACGGGCTTCGCGCGCGCTCATGTCGAACGCCCTTGCGCGTGTGCCGTCGCGAAAATCCCCTGCAAAAAATGGGACGAAGTGCAGACGCGCGCGTCGTCGCGCGCGTATGCCGAAAACCTTCAAAACCCATCGGTTTCGGAAGGATTTCAAAATCGTGTGCCCAATGAAACTACAAAAACACAAGGTTTCGCAACACGGATGTTCAACAAAAGCGTGCGCGCGCGCTCTTGAAGCGTCGTCGTCGTCGTCGCCGTCCTCCCTCCTGCCGCGTCGTTGTCGTCGTCGTCGTCGTCGCCTACGTCGTCCTCTGTCTTTCCTCGTGTTCGTCGGCGTCGTCCTCTTTTGCGTCGTGGTCGTTTCCGTCGTCGTTGTCGCCGTGGTCGTCCTTCCTCCTCCTCCCTCGTCGTCGTCGTCGTCCGTCGTCGGCGTCTCGTCGTCGTCCCTCCTATTTCGTCGCCGTCGTCGTCGTCGTCGTCGTTGTCGTCGTCGTCGTCTTCCCTCCTCCCTCGTCGGTGCCGTCGTCGGCGTCGCCGTCCTTCCTCCTTCTTCGTTGTTCGCGTCGTCGCCGTCCTCCCTCCTCCCTCGTCGTTGTCGTCGTTGTCGCCGTCGTCGTCCTCCCCCCTTCCTCGTTGTCTTCGTTGGCGACGTCGTCGTCTTCGTCGTCGAGGTCGGCGTCGGCGCCGTTGTCGTCTTCGTCGTCGTCGACGTCGGCGTCGTCGTCGTCGCCGCCGTCGTCGTCGTCGGCGTCATCGTCGTCGTCGTCGTCGTTGACGTCGTCGTCGTCGGTGTCGTCGTTATCGTCGTCGTCATCGTCGTCGTCGTTGTCATCGTCGTCGTCGTCGGCGTCGGTGTCGTCGTCGTCGGTGTCGGCGTCGACGTCGTCGTTGTCGGCGTCGTCGAAGTCGTTGGAGACGTCGTCGGTGTCGTCATAGTCGTTGTCGGCGGCGTCGTCATCGTCGTTGTCGCTGTCGTCGTCGGCGTCGCTGTTATTGCCAAGTGCCATGTGGTACCCACCGTCACGGTCTTAAGAGATTGTGCAAACCAAGTTGCGGGTGGGTGGGTGGGATGTTTGCGCGAGCAGTGGAGTGGACAACTCACTGCGAACAGAAATTAATTGCACAACATATTTTGCACCACGTAGCACAACAACTATTGAACAACACACGTGGCACACCATGAATCGCACTACGAATATTGCACCACGAAGATCGCGCCATATCGAATTCTCTCGAAGGCGGAATTCTGATCGACCGCCCCCCCCCCCGAAATATTGACAATTCCACCTGGGGGTGCAATGTACGTAGGCGCCTGCCCCATCGTCCATTCGAAACGTGAAGTCATTAGATCCCAACCAAGAACTGTATCGACCCCTCCTTTCATCCGTTGCAACAGATACAGCGCGCGCGCAATTCCTCATTCCCGAACATTTGTTTCAAGAACTCCATGCAACAAACACAAATGCACACGCGCGCGTCGTCGCACGCACATCGGGATGTTCGTCAAACACCGTAATTGTCGCTGGGATGTCGAAGTCGGATGTCCAAAAACAAACAACAACCAATGGTATCGCAACGATTCTGATTCAAAAAAACCTGCACTCGCGCAATTGTTAACTCCGATGCCAAAGGAAACCCGCTTCGGAACACGATCATAAATGCGATCAAACGCGCCCCTCGCGCGCATGTCGGAATCAGTCGAACGTTTTTTTGTTGCGCGCGTGCTGTCGCAATAATCCCCTGCAATAAATGAGATGGAGTGCAAACGCGTGCGTCCTCGCGCGCGCGTGCCGACATCATTAAAGAACCATTGCTGGGTAGTCGAAACCAATCTGGCGCCAATCTGGCAGGCCCTATCTGGCAAACGGGGGCAATCTGGCGAGGGAGCCAACGCGAATCCAGTCTGGCGAATAACTCAAATCATCCAGTTTGGCCAGGCCAGATTGGCCCTTGGGGCCCAATCCAGTCTGACAGTCTGGCCTTCGACTACCCAGCATTTTGATCCGTAAGGATGTCAAAACCGAGGGCCCCAAACACATATAGAAGCCAATGGTCACGCAGCAAGAACTGTCAAGAGAAACCTGCTATCGCAATCTGGCACATACGAAAAGAAACGGGACATTGCTCAATAGTTAGATCAACTGAGACCAAATGGGCCTCTCGCGCGCGTGCTGGGGGGAGGCGATCCCAGTCAAATGACACCCTGCGGGCCACTCGCGCGCGTCGGCCGCGCATGTACACCATCATCGCGTGATCATCGCCGGCTCCATCATTGCCCTTGCCGTCGTCATTGTCACCATAGTCGCCAACATCGCTAATATCATTATCGCGTCTGCCGCTGTCGACACAACCGTGATACCGCGCCCGCCCGAGTCACCGACTTGCACTGATGTGCTCGCGCGCCAGCGCGCCCTGCGAGACGCGCTGGGAAATTCTCAGGGTGGGATGATTGTGCGAACACGGGAGGTGGTCGCGCGTGAGAGAGTAAAAGTCAATTGCATCACACCGAATGAACCACATAGGGTGCGCCTGAATAATTGCACCACAGAAAGTGCTCCACATATATTGCGCTCGCATAAAATACTAGAACGCACATGCACTCTGCTTGGGAACCCGCAGCAAATTCTGCTAGAACGCACACTGTCAGGGGGTCCACGCTGACTGAGATATGTAATTCGACGCTCGTCTGTCCGTCGCAAATCCGATCCTACACACCTCCCGAAGACGAAACCAGGACCCGCACAACATCGGGCTGGGACACATGGGGGATCTCTGAGATCCCGCGGATCTGGAAGAGGTCTGGCCGTGCCAGTTCCAGAGCGCTCCCGAGCGCTCCGGAATAGTCCGCCGAAGCCTATGCCGGGATTCCCCCCCGCCCCAAAGGCGCCTCCCAGACCCAGTAGAGCGGCATCGCGAACACGAACGTGAAGAGGGCTGCCACGGCGGTGCCTCCCTCGCCCGCTGGGCTTGGAGGTGACCGGGGGGGTCTGAAATGGCTAGGACCCCAGGCAATTGGTCAAGAGGGGGTGGTGACGCCAGAGGCCTCCTAGATGGGGTCGAAATAGGTGGGGTCGGAGATTCGCGCTGCATCACCGATACATCGGCGATACATCGGCGATTCATTGGCGATTCATCGGCGATGCATCGGCGATGCATCGGCGCCGTCGGCGATGCATCGGCGACTTCGACGTGAACCAAGTCGGCTGCACATCGAGACTCATCGGCGACGCACCTGCGATGCGGCGCGATCCTCCGACCCCATCTGGAATTAGATCGGGCATGTCCTCCTGCAGGCGAATCTGGGACGAAACACGGAACAACAAAAATCCCACAGACATTGAAAAAAGAACCCAAGCAGAATCGAAACAACGTCCCCAGATTATTTTTGGAGGCCTGGGGACGCCAATTGGCGGTGCGCAAAAAGGGGTGGAAGGAGGGGGGAGGGCTTCTTAGAAGGAGGCTGCTCCTTAGAAGGCGCCAGCCTTGCATCTATGGATAAGGCCCGCGCCCTCTGAGAAGCAGGGGTGCTCCTAAGAAGCCCTCCCCCCTCCCCCAACCCCCCTCTGCGCGTGGTTGAGCCCACATGCGAACCCTCCCCCTCAGAAATCGTGTGGGGGTAGGGGTAGGCTTGGCATGTGGCCCCCTATCGGAGGCCTGGGGACGCCAAGTCCGCTCAAAAGGAGGCCTGGGGACGCCAAGTCCGCTCAAAAGCCGTCCCCCGACCCCTTCCCGGGGCCCCTCGGGTGCAGTTAGTTCTCCACCCTGGCTCCGTAATTATATCTCCGACGGCCCCGCGGCCCGAGAGAGAACGGCCCGGGGGCGCCGCGCGAAGAGCAGCAGAAGACGCCAGCCCGAACCCAGCACCTCGAACAGTTGAGACGACGCCAGGCTCAAGTCGGGCCTGTCCCCCTACAGGGGGATTTCGGACGAACCATAAAAAATTGGCAAAACATGCCCTGAACACCAAGAATGACAATCCCCTAACTATTGTTTCACAATTTTTGAATATTCCTCCTGTAGAGGGACAGGCCCGACGTAACGTCAGGAGGAGGGGGAGGAGGAGAAGGGGGAGGAGAAGGGGGAGCCGGCCAGCTCCAGAGGTCAGGTCTCTCGGGCGCAGCGGCCTTCTCGGAGCGCTCCGGAACGCTCCGAGAGCGTGCCGGAGCGCTCTGGGACGGATCCCTCCTCGTCCCAGCCCCGTCCGAGAGCCCCCCCCAGCTTCACCTCGCCGCTGGCTTTGCACACGCTCTCCCGCCGAGCGTCCCATCTCCGCGGGGGAAGTACCGGTCAGCATCCCGTCCCTGGATACAGCGGAGGCCAGTCCAGAAGAACCCTTCCACAGAAAACCCAACCCTGAGACACCAGGACGTCCATGGATATTAGGTGTGGGTGCGTCCCGCCTTCCATAGCAAAACCGTCGAAACCCAAGGAACCCAGGGCACCCTGGAGGCAAGCAGGGTGTCTCTCGGCATGGGCCCCCGCTGCACATGAGGCGAGCGGGACTCGGGGGCCCGGGCCGGCCCTGCCTGCCAGAGACCTCTCCGAACCCAGCACCTCGAACCTGCGCGCCCTTCCTGCTGGCCCTGATACTCTTGGAGGGGACCCGAGTTAGGAGGGCCAGGAGTACTGGGAATAGGGCGTCTTTTCTGCAGGTGCACCTCGAACCAAACCGCCCAGAACTATCGTCCATGATGCGAGCACGGGGGCCTCAGTGAGGACACGGCCCCATCGTGTTTTTGTTGGCTTAGGGGTCCTTTTATCCTCAATGACATGCTGGGACTCGGGGATGCACAGAAATCCCCTTCAGTAAAACGTGGTTCAGTGAAAAATCAACATCGGGCCCCAACCATGGCGGGCGCAGGCCTGGAAAACGACGGCCGCGGCGCCCCCTCGAGAACCGAAAACGAACCATATTCCCTCCTCGACGTGTCGGGGTGGGTTGGCCACACGCAGACGGGGGCAGGGGGAGGGGGGAGGGCTTCTTAGAAGGAGGCCGCTCCTCAGAAGGCGCCGGCCTCACATCTGCATATATATATATATATATATATGTATATAGGAGGCCCGCGCCTTCTGAGAAGCAGGGGTGCTTTTAAGAAGCCCTCCCCCCTCCCCCTGCCCCCCTCTCCGCGTGGCTGAGTGGGGGCTCCGCCCACCCCCTCGGCGCAGGCTGGACGAGGCCGACGTGGGTTCGACACGGCGTCGGCGCGGACCGTGAGGCAACGGGGCAGACGGGGTCCGCCGCAGCTGCCACATAGCAGACAGACATGTGCATGCCGTTCGTTCCTCTTCTCTTTTCGGCAGCGTGCCGGGGGGAGGAGAGTGAGAAGGAGAAGTGCGAAGGAGAAGGCCTTCTCGGAAAGCGGCGGGACTCCTCCGAAGCTCCCTCGCCCCTTCCGAAAAGGGTTTTTTTGGTTTGTCTGCGGGGAAGGACTCGAAAACTTCTCAGACGTCCAGGGGAGACTTCCGAGCCTTCTGGGAAGGCCCGCCCCTCCTCACCTCCCCCCCTCGCCTGCCGCCGACCTGCAAGCCTCGTCAAAAATTCGTTGGAAGGCCGTTGTGCGGGCACCTCTGAGAAAACCCATCCTTCAATGTTGCGAAGCCACTGAAAGATTTCGAGCACTAAAACAAGGCTAGGATCGAGAAAAATCGCTCCAGAGCGTTCCGGAGCGCTCTCAGAGCGTTCCGGAACGCTCTGGAGCGGCCGCGGCGCCCAATACATCCTCCAAACCCGCCGATTCTCAGAGATTTCTAGTTATCCCGATCCGATTTTGTCCCGATCTTCGCGTCGTTTTAAGCACCCCTGCGCCTGGGCCAAACGCCCCATGCGAGCATGGAAGGAGCGCCGACCGCACGAGCGCCGAAAACAACAACCGGCAATTACCTTTGACGAATCCTGTGTGTAAGGCATCCCCTGCAACCTGGGCGCTTGATTTTGCTGCGAGCCGGGCGTCCTCGCCTGTGGTTCGGGCCTCGGAGCCCCTATCAATCTCGGCGACTCCGAAGGGTGTGGTTTGCAAGGGGTGCGGTTTGCAATCAGCACCCTGGGGGGCACCCTGGGGGGCGGGCGGGGACCTCGACGGAGCTCTCCGCCGCACCCCGAAGAGGCCCGAGGAGGACAGCGTCGTGGCACCCCAGGCCCCATAGGCGCCGATCGCAAACCACACCCCGGCGTAACCACACCCTTTGCAGTCGCCGACAATCGATCAGGCTCGAAGAGATGGGGTGGCGGGTCCTGGGCGGGAGTTTTGCAAGATGTTGAAGCTTTGTTCGCTGCGTCGGACCTCGCGGTGGTGAGGCTCCCCAGAGATCCAGCGCATTCGAAACATCAGAGCGGAGGTTGCTCACCGCCTTCGGCCTCTTGGGGCCCTCGCCGGTCCCAGGGACAGTCAGAAACCGATCGTCTGCTGACGGTCCCGGGGCGAGCCGAGGACCGTCAGAAAACAATCGTTTTCATCCCGAGTCGACTCACGATGGGAATCCGGTCCCGGGAATGGGTCGAAACTTCCACGGACCCTGCGTGGACAAAAAAACGACGTCGGATCTATTGGTTCGGGCAGCGCTCAGACAGCCCTGGGCTCGACTCCACGGGACCCCCGAGCCTCACCGATGTTGGTCAACAGCGATGTTGGTCAACGTCGATGTTGGTAATATGTTGTTTGCGACGCCGGACTCGCTCAAAACTAATTGGAGGAAAACGCGCACAAGCCTTTCTTACAACTGGGTTGGCCACGAGCCACCCCCACCTACAGCACCGAAACCCACATCGCCGTTGTCTACATCAAAGCTCAAAGCTAACATAACTACAGAGCTTGCCACAACAAGCACCCGAATAGCCAGGGGAAGGCTTTGCACCCCAGCGCCGCCGCGCCCCAAGCGTGGGGTGTTGAGACACGCTAAGGTCCGCGCGGGGGTGCTGTTGAGGTCCTCGTTTGCGAGCAAACGCGCACGTCCGAACGATGCACAAACAATTCCACCGTAGGTTGGCCAGGGCGCGCCGAAAAATGTCTGGAAAAGGCAATCGCGTTCCCTCGCCCTTTTTGAATGTCGCCCTGCAAGAAACCCGGAACTGTATCGTCCATGCGTCGCGCCAGGCACAATGCCCACCTCCATCCCGCTCATCCTCGCTCGTTCCTTCTCCACGTCCATCCTTCCTCGCCGTCCCCCGTCCCCCGTTCCCTCTCAGGTCTGGGGCGGCGGTGGCGGAAGTGGTACTCGCGCCACTACGCCCGTTTGCTCGCTTGGAGTTCAACGTTGGTTTGTTACGATACAGGGGTCGTGAAGCAAACGTTGAAACACCGAATCCACCCATTCGGGCAACACGACGCATGCTTAGGAACGTCGTGGTCTCGAATGTTTCGCCTGAACGTACGCTGCGCACGACGACCGTGATAACGTCATTTTGGGCCCGTCGCTTCTGTCCTAAGGTGTTGCACGGGCGCGCCAAAGACCGCCCAGACGAGCACTCGTTTGCGCCCGCCTCGCTCCCATGCGCCAATCCCGTGCTCCTCCCCACACCCTTCCCCCTTCGCCCGATCCTCCTCATTTGAGGGATGAGAAAACGACCCTACCCTGGATTACAAGTGCGCGGTCTGTACACCTCCTGGGAACCCCCAAGGCATGGAGCCGCCAGGACGCAGCACACGGCGCAGGGTTTACCCTGTCAGCCCACAGGAAATTTCAGCGCACGGCGCCTCGTAAACCAGGGCAGGGGCGTTTTTTCTGCCCTTGACTCATGGCCATCCGATCCCATGCATGCCCTCATCATGCCCCTCCTCCTCGTCCTTTTCATACCCCTCTCTGCCCGTGCACGGTGCCCCTCCTCGCCCTCATCCGCCCGACGAAGCCCACCTTTTCTTGTCCGGGCCCTCGGCATCCCCCCCCTTCCCCCTACGGCCATGCGAGATACGCCCCCCCTCGTTTGTGCTGCCCCCCCCCGCCGCTTCCCCCTGTGCTCGTGATGCTGACACCGGTGCTGCAGGTCCTCCTGGGCCCATGCCATCCCTTCTCTTGCTCCCCCTTTCATCCCAAAGCCCCGTCAGAGCCCCTTCTCTCGCACCGTTGCCCTCCCCTAGCGCATCATCCTCTAAACGCCCGCGCCTGTCGCCCTGCCAAACTACGGCCCCCTCTGTGACCAGACGGGAGATTCGCGGAACCACCCAGTGACTGCTCCATCGAGTATACAACGCGCAGCACGTTCACAATTGGACACGCGACTTGTGTATTTCGCCCGTGTGCAATGCCCCCCCCGTGAAAGGGCCAAGAGAAACGCGAAAGTCCCCGCCCAATCACCGCCGTTCGACAGAAGCACGCTCCAAATACACAGATAGAAGCACGATCTGTGTAGACAGACCGCGCAGCGCCCCCCCGTAAACGGTGGAACCAGACGCGCGAATACAATTTTGAAGACACGAGCTGCGCACACAGATCACACTCTGACCTGTGTATCTCGAGAAAACAGAAGCTCGCCACCTGGAAGGCACCCCTACGTCGACAAACCAGAACCGACGTCGACGTCCCCAGTTGGGGGGGAGCGCGAAGACACACTTCCCTGGCCCAGGGCGTCCCCCAAGGACTGCAAACGCACGCATCCCGGGCATAAGGCGGCCACCGCGGAACGCGGCGCTCATGCTGCCCCCAACGGCCCCAAGACGTCCCACGAGGGCCCCGAAGGACCACCCCAGAAATGCCCGACACCACTCCGACAACAAGACAGATGTCACATGTCACGGACGGCCGAGCACACAAAGCTCGAAACGTCGCCGTACAACCTTATGTTGCATCCTTGGGGGACCTTGTCTGTCCCGTCGCTGTCCTATCCGCGTCGAATCCGTGTCGAATCCATGTCGGACTCGTCGGATCCGTGTTCAATCCGTGTCGAATCCGGGTCGAATCCATGCCAAGTCCGCGTCGAGTCCGCGTCAAGCATGCGTCGGACACAAGAAAAGACACCAATTTTGGGGACAGGCGAGGTCCCCCGAAGATGCAACGTAAACAGCCCGCTGCATTGGCACGGTGGCGGGCCTTGCCGCAAGCACCACACGCTTCACATCTTAGCTCCACGACTGCATTGGCGGCCGGCGCCGCCCGCGCTTGGAGTGCGGCCCGGACGTTCGCCATGGCCACGCCCTCCACTTGGCTGGCTTGCTGTGCTCAGGTATCGAACGGACGGCATAAGGCGAATGCTGGCGCGCGGCCCCATCACCTGCCTTTTCTTGGAGCAAGGGAAGGGGGGACAAGGTGGGCCGACGGATGGTTGAGCAGGGACTTAAAGGGGCCCCAGGACACACACATAAATACACACAAAGAAAAATATTCTACATATTTTCCTATATCTTCTGGGTTTTTGTCTTCCCCCCCACTTCCCATATTTTCCAATATTTTCCTGGGAGTCGACGATTAATTGTGTCTGTGTGTTTTTTCCTCTTCCTGAGGGACGTAAAAAAAGAGGAGCGAGGAATAAGAGGGAGGAGGGAAGGGGCGCTCCCCCGCTGGAACCGTGACCCCCTTCGACCTCATCTAGGCGTAGAACAAAAAAAACTGAAAGCAACATATGGTAAGAGGATGGCGGACAGCAAGATGTCAGCGGCCCGCGTATGTACCAACTGCTTGCGATTCGGGTGGGAGCGTTTTCTTCGAGGCATTTCCTTCCCGAGCCCTGCTGAATTCACGACTTCCTCCACACTTTATGAAACCGTACCCTCGGCACCCCCTTCAAAACAACTGCCTCACAAATGAGGAGCAGTGGATTCCAACTGTTTGCGACAACATCGAGACGCTTAGCTCGACGTTCGCCAACCCTCCCTCGTCCTCTCTCCTCCATCTCCTCCTCCTACTCCCTCCTACTCCTTCTCTTCCCTCCTCTTCAATTTCTAGGCGGCGGCGGCAGGCAGCTGTTCCTCCTCTTCCATCTCTTTCCCTTATTCACAACTCCTCCGGCCGCTTCCAAAATGTGCATTTCGCCTCAGCGCAGTCCACATTCGCTTTCGACATTGGCAGAAGTTGCAAGAGCTTCACGGATAGAGAGCTGGCAATTTTCAAAACGAGGCTCTCGCCTGAGCGCCGCGTACATTATTCTGACATGTCCGCATGGTGTTCGTCGATGGAGGTCGGTCCCTGTTTAAAATGAAACTCCCGCCTCAGCGTGGCACACTGCCGTATGAACACTGTACAACATTTTCACGGAGTCATGCGGTTGAGGTTATCCGAAATGTTGTTTCGGCAAGATGCAGGAAGGAGTGTCAGAGCGCAACAAGAACCGTCGATTTCCAGCGTTGGTGTCCCAAGAACTGTGTTCTGGCACGCTTCGAAGTCGTCAGGACGCAGCAGTCGCGTGGATTCGCAGCGTTGGAGTCCCAAGAATAGTAAGTATTGGTCAAGACTGTCGGACGGTTGTCTTCCAATGGGGCACCCTCCCCGATGAAAACAACTCCTTGCAAGGACCTGTGAAGAGGGAACTTGGAGCGAGGGCTTACTGCAGCATCGCTGACGAGTCTCATGCACTGGCCCTCCCTGCTCATCCTCCTCCCTCCAAATTTGAGCAGGGACCGACCGTCCCGGCATTCCTAGAGTCATGCCACGACATGTTCTTAGAACCCGAAAATGTTCTAAAAACAGAAACTATGTTCTTAGAGCACAAACCCGATGTGTCAAAACAAGACAGTCCCAGACAGAAATGTTCCACAAAAGGTTCTTAGAACAATGTTCGGTAGGGCTATAGGCGAGCCAGGACGCTTCACCACTGCTTGACACATCCTCCTGCCTCTTCCCTCGTCCTCGGACGGCGTGGCCGCGCGACCCTGGTCTGCCGGTCTGCCCGATGCCCCCGCGGCGCCGCCCTCCCCCGCGCCGCGCCCCTCCTGCGCAGAGGAAGGGCAACAGCAGCCCGCGCGTGCACCGGCGGAGCCCGTCCACCTTCTCCCCGATGCAGCTCCTCGCGGGAGCAGGGCAACGCGACACCACGCGCAGCGCCAGCATGGAGCAACTCGGGATTCTCTGGGTTTTGCAACGAGCGTGGGGGGGCGGGGAACCCCCCGACGGGGGTCGACCTCACCACGTCGTCGCGCCGCGGCGGGAGTCGGAGCGCCTTCGGCGCGCGCTTGGCTGCCCGCGACGGGGGTCGATGTGCGGCTGTCGGCGGGGGCCACGCCCCGCATGACGCCCATGAAGCAGCTCGGGGTGCACATCGAGCCGCACCGACGATGCGTCGGCGATGCGGCCCGATCCACCGGCCAACCTTACTGTGGCCCCGCTCGGGTGGCCTGGGCCCTCCCCCCCCCTCTGTGGAAGCAGCGGAAAAAAAGGGCACCCCCACCGCCACCGCGAGGAGCCAAGGGGAGCCCTTTGAATGGTGTGGCCCGCTCGTGGTGTCCGCTGTCCCCGGGCCCCGGGAAGCATTCCCGGCCTCCTCCTCGCGGGAAGTGGCAGCCCTGGAGGTCGTGGCGGTCCCGCTTCTCTTGCCATCGCTCGGACGTCCAATCCCAGGGCCCGTTCGGCTTCGCGCGTCTCTTGTCTCGCGGGGTGAGGACGAACCTGCGAAGCAAGGAGCAAGCAACGAGGAGCATTTTGGATGTTGAATCCGAAATGCTCCTAGATATCCATCGCCTGGCGGCTAGGCGCGATATCCATCACCTGCGATGGCTTCTGCCACTAGTGGCCTGCCCCTGGCGAGCGGTCGCCCGCATGCTGGCAGGGGGGCATACTGACAAGGAGAAAGTGCAGTGGATTTGAATTAAGGGGGGAGGGGGTGGGGTAAAGGGGGGAAAGGGGGCGGGGGCAGAAGAGGGGAACAGGGGTGCGCAGGGTAGAGGAACAGAGGGGGGCAGATGAGAGGAACGGGGATCAAGGGTGGGGGGGGAGGGGGAGAACGAGGTCGGGACGTGCGCGCGGACGAGGACGTTAGGGACGTTAGGACGAGGACGATAGGACGTTAAGGCATCGAAAGACAACAACAGATAAAAACGTCAGAGAAATGGGTATATATCTATGAGCATTAAAACCATATATAGATGTATATGTGGAGCTACGCATGCAGACACCATACAGCGAAAGTGGGAGCTCGAGATAGACAAAAAGATAGAGAGAGAGAGAGAGAGAACGAGGCATACAGACAGGGGGATCGCGAAAGGAATAGCGAAGAAAGAGAGATGAATAGGGAAGAGGGAGCGCAAGATAATCAGAGAGAGAGAGAGAGAGAGCGAGAGAGAGACAGAGAGCAAGAGAGAGAGAGAGAACAAACAAAGAGGAAAGAGAAAGAGAGAGGGAGAGAGTACACACCCATGACGTGCGAAAACGAAAGGACGATGAAACTTTGGCAACTCTTGCAAAGACGTCGGCAGGCTCCAATACGCTTCCCCGAGCCAGAGCGTTGGGATCAGCACGTGGTACCGCGCGAAGTCCCAGCCACTCTGCAGGTCCTCTCTGAAGCAGGCGCCGACAAAGGCCCCCCCTTTTCCTCCTCATCCACCCGTTCGCGCTCCCGCCGAGGACGACAACGAGGGAGGAAGAGCAGCAAGGATAATGTAAAAGAAGAACAGCAAATCACGGAGGCTTTTGGTCGTACCCATGGCGCCCACTGGCGCGTCCAATAGCGCGCAACGCGGACGTACCGCATCTCTCCCAGATGGCGCCATCTGGTGCTAGCTGGCGCTATTCGGCGCTCATTGGGCGCTGTTGCGCACTACTGAACGATATTCGGGTCTATTTGGAGCTTTTGCGCACTATTGGGCGTTAATCGCCGATGCACGTTCTGTTCCAGACGAGCGGCGACTTCCGATTATTACCGTCTCAGAGGAGGGGGGGGGGGAGGAGGAGGAGGAGGAGGAGGAGGAGGAGGAGGAGGAGGAGGAGGAGGAGGAGGAGGAGGAGGAGGAGGAGGAGGAGGAGGAGGAGGAGGAGGAGGAGGAGAACGGTAAGTGGCGGCCGGAACGCGCGGTGCGGCGCCCAGACGCTCGCCGGGCCGCGGGACTGCGCGTCGCCTGGAGCCTGGGCTGCCGATGGTGATGCTGTGTTCTTCCAGTGCGCTCGGCTGCACGCCCCGGCGACGGGTAAGGTGCAAGCTCGGGCGGCACTCGCCCACACCGCTCAGTAGCCGCGCCTGGGAAGCGCGCTCGAGCTCCAATTGTCATGGGAGCCACCCCTGAGAATCATGAGAACTGCTGCCGCCTGTGAGACATGAGAATTGCAAAAATTATGAGAATTTGGGAAATCATGAGAAGTATGAGAAGAATGTCAATCATGCGATGTAAGGATTGTGAAAATTGTGAGAATGATTTGACTTTTTGAATATATAAGAATCAGGAGAATTATGATAATTATAGGCGACGTGGCAATTATGGGAATTGTCAAGGTTAGAGGAGCTATCATAATTATGAAACGTAAGAAAATCATGGTGGGAAGTATGGGAATCATGAAAATGATGAGAATAATGCAACTAATGTAAATTAGCCGAAATATGAGAAATAGCAGATTTATAAGACTTGATCCAAGAATTGTGAAGAGTAAACTAATTATGAGAAGTATGACATTTAGAAGAAGGGTGAGATTTATGAGTGGTAATTGTGCGAATGATGCGAACTATGAGAATTAGGCGAACTATGACAATTCTGTGAATTTTGAAGATTGTGTGAGTCATTCGAATTATGAAGCTGATGCGAATTAAAAGAAATATGAAATTTATGCGAATGAAGAAATATAGGATATAATGGAATTGCGAGGATCATGAGAGTTATAAGGATGATGGGCATTGTGAGAAGTTCGAGAATTATTGGAGTCATGCAAAGTATGAGAAGTAACATGAGAATCAGGAGAATCAAAAGAATCAGGAGAATTATGAAAAGTGTGAAAATTGTGACAAGTATGAGAATTATGACAATTCTGAGAAGCATGACAGTTATGGGAATTGTGGGCATAATGAGAATTCTGGGATGATGCGAATTATGAGAATTACTCCCGAATCAGAGCTTGGGGGTCCTAGCGGATTCATTTTGTTAGATGAGGTCGGTCGGGGTGCCCAAGTGCCCCGGTGCCGGGGGGTGCCCGGAGGTGCCCGGGAGTGCCCGGAGATGCCCAAGGGTGCCCCGGCGCCCGGGTGCCAGAGTGCTCTCTCGCCCTACAGCCCTATAGCGCTATAGCATTGTAGCCCTATAGCCACATATCCCTATAGCCCAAAAGCCCCATAGCCCAGGAGCCCTATAGCTCCATAGCCCTAATGCCCTATAGCTCTTTAGCCCTATAGCCCTATAGCTTCTTAGCCCTATAGCCCTTTAGTCCCATAGCTCTATAGCCCAATTGCCCGATAGCCGATATAGTCTATCGCCCATAGCCCCATAGCCCTACAGCCCTATAGCCTTATAGCCCACTAGCCCTAACAACAATTCGGATTGGGGTTGTATCTCCGGTATCATGAGATTTGTGAAACTTTTGAGAACTGTGAGACTTACAGGACTTATGGGAAGTGTAATGATGACAACTTTTAAGATTGCCAGAATCGTAAGATTGTGAAACATATGAAAGTTAGAAAGCACAACATAACAATACTTGGAAACTCGGAGTTATACGAGTATGAGATTTGTGAGACGTCTGAAAATTATGAGAATTATGAACATTCTGCCAATTATGAGAATTGTGAGGATTGAAAGAATTGTGGGACTTGTGGCTCTTCAGAAAATTATTGGAATTATAACATCCACGGGAATCATGCGAATTATGAAAATGATTGGAATTACGACGAAACCTGTGGGCGCTCTGAGAATCACGAGAATCATGCGCGAACGCGAACGTGCTCACCCATTCGGGACCTGAGTCTTCACTCTCTTCATGGGACCACCCGTGCTGCCCTCTCCCTGTTTCTTCGCGTGGCTGAGCGTGGTGGCACCCTGCTTCTCCTAGCCTGCGCTGGCATGCAGTTGCACCCCCGCGGCGGGCAACGCGCCCCCCCCCAAGCAGGGGTCCTCGAAAAGATTTCTGGATGCACCGACACCCTTGCAGGCCAAAGACCTCCTCCTCCTCCTGGTCAAAGTATCCTCCCTTCTCCACCCTCCCGCCCGCATTGGGCGCGCGTGCTCGCGCCGGGGACGGGAGGGAGAGCAGGGAGGAGGGAGAGCAGGGAGCACGGCGGAGGAGGAGGAGGAGGAGGAGGAGGAGCAGGAGGAGCAGGAGGAGGAGGAGGAGGAGGAGGAGGAGGAGGAACAGGAGGAGGAGGAGGAGGAGGAACAGGAGGAGATGCAGGAGGAGGGAGGAGGAGCAGGAGGAGGGAGACCGTGTGCCGCAGCGTGCCGCTGCAAGGCACCCTAGTTTGATCGACCCCCCCAGGGCCGGCCGTCCCTGGCAGGGGGGGAGGGCCGCGTTCGACGAACTCCCAGGCCATCAGGAATCAGGCATCGGGGAGCCTCATCCTCCTCCTCCTACTCCTTCTCATAAATTATCCTCCCTTCTCCACGCTCCCGCTCGCATGGGCGCGCTTGGCCGGCCCTGGTCGACGAACTCTCAGGCCATCGGGAATCAGGCACCGGGGAGCCTGGGCATCGGCGCATCGATGCGAACTTGCCCGCAGCCTCGGGGCTTCGAGGAGGCGGAAAGATACAGTCATCGGCCTGACCTAAGGAACGATAAATAAGGAACGAAGCCCCTTGTCGTTCCAAGTGAGTCTACGAAGTGCGAAGGAACACCAGGGGGCTCGCCGCCAAAAAGGTAGCAGAACGCATGCAAACCAAGGAACGACCGAGCCCCTTTTGAAAAGGAAGTGTTCCTTATTCAAGCCGCTCACTGTAGGGGGGGGGAGGAGGAGCTGCCGGTGGCCCCTGCGCAAGGGACGCACGCCCCGCGCGGAGAGGCACGGGCACCACGACCCGCGTCCACGATCCGCGTCCACGACGACGTCGACCCGCGGGCACCGCGCCCCGCGCACAACGACGTCGACGACGAGGCGCGCCCACGATCTGCGTCCAAACATGGACTCGGGATGCATTTTGGGAGAGGGCCCACCCCTTAGTGGGCCCTGGAGGCGACAGGGCCGTTTTTTTACCGGTTCCGTTTTGCCGTTTGTTCGCCAGTTCCGACGCCGTTCTTTTACTGGTTCCGTCGCCGTTTTTTGGCCGGTTCCGGCTCCGGTTCCAATCCTGGAGCAGTTATATTGCCGTTTCCGGTCGCCGTTTTTTTTGTTGCCGTTTCCATTTTCGAGGGACATGTTTTTTGGGAAACGGTGAAAAAACGGCCCTGCCGTTTCCGGGGCCCACAAAGGCTCACCCTGCGAAGTTGCTTGGGTTCGACTCGAGCTCCTGCCACCCACGGGCTGCCGGGCGTGGAGCGAGGGGCCTCCCAAAGATGGCTCCAGGGAGCGTCAGAGGGGGGCTCTGAGAGAGAGGCCTTGCCCTACCTCCGCCCTGCAGTCGGGCCCGACCCTGCGAGGTGGAGGACGAGGAGGACGGGCGGGCCCCCGCCCCACCAATTGGACAGCGCGCTGCTCCCGGGCTCCTCACTCCGAGCCCGACACCCCCGCGGGCCGCGTCCTCGTCGTAGTGCAGCAGCCACGGAGTGCAGGGCAGGATCGGCCCTGCCCGCGCGGTGGGGCTGCGCGGTGGAAGCCCACGGAGAATCACACATGTGCACGGCGAGGAGGATGCTGGGATGAGAGGGGGAGGAGGAAGCAGAGGGGAAGAAGAGGAGAGGAGGGAGGAGGATAGGGAGAAGAGTCGGTGAGGGCTGAGGAGGGGAAGGAGCGCCCAGGGGGAGGAGATGCATGGGGAGGAGGGGAGGTGTTCGAGCAGGAAGGCTATGATGGGGATATGAACGGCCTGGGTAATCGGTCGATAACTTGTCGGAGCACCGCGCTCTGGGCAGCATCACGGGGAAATGAAAGAGAGTGATGTGCAACGAGTGGGAGACGGGGGGGGGGGGGCAAATGTGATGGTGGGGGGCCAAATACCATGGGAAGCGAGATTAACGCAATGATATGAGATGTTGAGCGGAAGTCGGCCACAATATTCGGGACAACGGGAGACATATGCCCTGACCGCCGAGACGACGCTGCAGTGCGAACGCAAAAAGGTACAAGGCCAGCGCGAGGACCCACATGATGCCCCCGTATGTCTTGAGCAGGGACCGACCGTCCTGGCATTTCTATTGGCCTACCACGAAATTTGCTCAGAACACAAAAATGCTCCAATGTAAAACAATGCAACAGGACAGTCCGAGCCAGAAATGTTCTAAGAACATTCCGCGGAAACCACAAAAGGTTCTTAGAGCACAGGACTTGGCAGGCCTGTGGGCACGCCAGGACGCTTCGCCAATGCTTGAACGTCTGTGCATAGAATCCGGCGAGAAGGGCAGTTCGAGAAGCGCGGGCAAAAACGTGAGAAACGAGCGAACGTGCACACCGAGCAGACCCTCCCACGGTTGGCCTTCCTGCGAGCTGGGATGTGGTGAGGGGGGGCACCCGTGTCTGCGGAAAAAAAACGACTTTAGACGAGCCCGTTCCACTACTCGCATAGTAGCTACTCGCACATGGCCTAGATCCCCCGCGGGGTATCTACGATACATTGCATAGAGGCAGACGTTTGTTTTTTTCGGACGTTTGTGAGCAGGCACTTCGCGAGTAGAGGAACGCGCTCGGCGACACTTGGGTGAGCTGGCCCGAAGGCGTTTCACGGTGCACCCACACCTGACTGAAGCCGAAGCCACAACTGAAGCGCGCACAAAACTGGGAAGGGCCCACCCTGCAGGTTCGGTTGGGAGCACATCGTTGAGCGGCGCTGCAGCCTCCCCGAAGATCAAGACCCCCCCAGAGCATCCGCCAAACGGGTCGAGGTTGCACGCTCTGCCGCTGCTGGACTCTGGGCGCGTCTCGGCTCTGCCACTGCCGCAGCAACCCCCTCGTCAGGGCCACCGACGCGCACCCAAAGCGACACGGGACCAGCGAGGCGTGCCAGAGGGCCTCTGGACCGAACCAAGACAGTCTCTGGGATTTGGAGGCGGCCTGAACTGGTCGGGACCCCAGAAGATCTCGGTCAGGAGGGTGATGCGGCCAAATCCATGAAACATCGGTCCCCGGACGCCTCCCAGGGTCCATCTGGTGCAGAGTTTTCCGCCCCGGATCCTGTTGCTGGTGGTCCCGGGGCCCGAAGGCCGTTGGCCGAGGACCTCCCCGAACCAAGAACCTCGAGCATGCCCGCTCTCCCTGCCAGCCAGAACGAGTGGTGGGCCACCTCAGACCCCCTCGCCTTGCCTCGCCTCCTGCCACGTCATCGTCATCGTCATCGTCATCGTCATCGTCATCGTCATCGTCATCATCATCATCATCGTCATCATCATCATCATCATCATCATCATCATCCTCATCCTCATCCTCATCCTCATCATCATCATCATCGTCATCAGCCAACCACAACCTCTGGGGCGCAGGGTCCAAACGGAACCGCCGACGACCAAAAAAGCAGACCGCGGCAGGCCGTCCGGGCCCACAGGCCCGCGCGCACGCACGGGAAGGGCGACGGCGAAGCGGGCGCCAGAAACTGGAGGGGCCCAAGGACACACAAATAAATACACACAAATAAAAAGATCCCCCATATGTTCCCATATTTTCTGGGTTTTTTGTCTTCCCCCCCCACTTCCAATAGTTTCCCATATTTTCTGGGGAATCGACGATTCATTGTGCCTGTGTGATTCTTCCCCTCCCGAAGAACGAGGTAAGGGAGGGGACCCGCCGACGGGCAGAAGCGCCCAGACGGGGCGGCGGACCAGCGAGCCCATCGACGGAGGTGGTTTTTGAATACTTTCCGGTAACAGCTGATAGTATCAGCGGGTATCATACCCGCTGGTGGGGGTGAACCCCGGGCAATGGAAAACGCCTGGGAAGGAGCGAGGCACCTCGGGGAGAGGGTGCGCTGCGATCGCCAGGGTCTGCGCGCGGGCACCAGCATGTGTGGGGTGCGAGCTCAAGCCGCCCCCCTACCATTCATGCTGCCCTCATCGTGCTTCAAGAGCACATGCCAGAAATACTTTCGAGCACCCGGAAAAGTGTCGAAAGAGTGTACAATGAGTGTCGACACAGGGTCTCCCAAGGCCCGACACGTGAGACCCCTCGCATTTTGGGGTGCTTTTCTGGCTCTGGAGGTCAAGGCTCAAGTAGGCTGGAACATCATAACCCTACATATGATGGTTACTGTCACCATGGGGAGAATGGGGGGGACGGGCCACGACCGTTACGCACCAGAGGGTAAAAGCAATCCCGCGGCAAGCGAGCAGGGCCGAGGCAGAGACAGAACAGTGAGCCTGCGACAGAGAGGGCACACACGCACACGCAGACGCACTTCTCGTCCTCCTACGCCGTGACGGCGCACTTGCGGGTCCAATGCAATCGGGGCCCGACCGAACGACATAAACACGACAGTGTGGTGACGTCACGATTCGAGTTTTTTGTTTACCGCGTGGATCGTTCAGCCCTTAGCAAGCGGCGGCTTTTCGAGGGCAGGATCGCTTCACATTGGCGGATGCTGGGCCAATAGCGGCTTTCAGCCTTGAGCGCCCGCGGCGGCTTCGCTGCCGCCTCGGCACGGCACGAACCTAGCGCACACGAGCACATGTTACCACTATCCTCCGCAAAATTGGGCCGGCAGCTGACCGACGGCAGGCGGGTGGCGCCAACGGAGATGCACCCATGCGAAAATCGAGCGCGTTCCAGCCGAGGCCGTCGACTCCCGGGTTGGGGGGAAGGGGCTTCTATATGCAGTCGTCATTTATCAAAGACGCGAGGCGGGACCCAGCCACGCACACACACACACACACACACTCACACACACGCAAGCACATGAACAAACACACGCGCAACGGGTGCGAGAATGTGCAGGAGACGGGATGAGTTACGACTATCGTACCACGGCGGCAATCTAAAAAACTCGCGAACCTGCGAACAACATGAGGATGAACCCTGGGAGTGTAGCCGCAACGACCTTAGCCGCACAGGACTTCGAAGACAACATGACAAAAACAACCGTTGAACATGTAACGTGCTGTGAACGCATGCCGATCCCACCCACCTGGACATACAGCACATGTTGCACGCGCGAGATGCCGATCAAACTTAACTGCCTGCGACATGACTGCACATCGATCAACAAAAGTGGCGATCAAATCCTCCACAAAACCGTCCATCGGTTGAGCTTAATTGTCCCCTCAATGTCCTTGCCTGTTGTTCCAAAAACAAGCGCAGCTTGCATACAATGTTACGTCACCACCTGGTAAATTTGGTTAGGAGCCCTCTGACTGAAAACAATACACCGACGACGAATTCGATGACGAGCCTCGGGCGCTGCGACCGCGGCCCACGAAATCGAAACGAACGCGGCCCACGACATCGCCAAAACACCGCTGGCGGCGCGCAAAAGGGGGTAGGGGGAGGGGGGAAGGCTTCTTAGAAGCACCCTGCTTCTTAGAAGGCCTGGGCCTTACGTCTATAGAGAAGGCCCGCGCCTTCTAAGAAGCAGGGGTGCTTCTAGGAAGCCTTCCCCCCTCCCCCTACCCCCCTCTGCGCGTTGCCGACACCGTTCAGGTCCAGCCCTGGAGTGAGACTCGAGCCCTCCGGTTGGCTCGAATGCTGGCATCCGCCGCCGTCGCTAGCCACGCGCCCTGGGAGCCGCCCCTGCCAGCGGATCCTGGCCCCGTAGCATCAGACGCCGCGACAGAAACCAGCGACGGGGGTCCAGGGCCCAGAGAGTCAGTCCGGCGCCGCGACGAAGTCGCCTTGAGATGCTTGACAACTGAAGGGGCCCTGGGACGCACCAACAAATACACACATATCCCCCTATATTTTCCCATATGTTCTCGGTGTTTGTCTTCCCCCCCCCGCTTCCCAATAGTTTCCCATATTTTCCTGGGGGTGGACGATTCATAGTGTCTGTGTTTTTTCCCTCCTGCACAACTTTATTCAGGAGCAGGGCGTCGGCCACGGCCGGGAACGGCAGAGGGCCCGCCAAAAGGGAGGCCCCCCCCGCCACGTCCGGACGGGGCTCCCGGGCAGCCCACCGAGCTTGGGCCACAACCGCCCGAGAGGAGCGCATCGCGGAGGGGGCGAGGAGGGGATTCCGGGGGGGCACGTCTGGAGCGCCCCCCCCCCCCGTCCCCTTCTCTTCCCCTCTGCCCCTGGGAGTGGACGACTCGTTGTGTCTCTGTGTGTGCGTGCTTTTTTCCGTCCAGACTAATTACTGAGGTGCATGGGCGTCGGCCACGGCCGCGCACGGCAGGGGAACCGGCCAGAAGGGAGGCGCCCCCCCCGCCACGTCCGGACGGGGCATCCCGGGCAGCCCACCGAGCTAGGGGGCCACGACCGCCCGAGAGGAGCGCAGGCCCAGAATCGGGAAAGGATCGGGCCTTCGGGCCCCCTAGTCTCGATCCGCCGCGGGAAAAGGAGGAAGGAGGGAGGAGGGGGCTTCGCCCGCGCAGGCCCCCGTGGCGAGCGCCGCGAGGAGAGGCCTGCCCACTCGGGGGCGGCAGGGGCGTCAGGGCCCAGAGACGCCGAGAAACGGCATCCGATAGATCCAAGGAGCCCCCCAGGATCCCGACTCCCGAAGCCCGAGAACCTCCCTCGAGACCTTCCGGGTCACCGCGGGATCCTTGAACCGATTCGGATACACGCCGAGATCCTTCGAGAAGGCCCTGGATGGTGCCTGCAGCTGGACCCCATGCTTCTTCCTCCTCAGGGCCTGGATAGGCCCCGCTCAGCCTGACGTAAGAGCCTCCCACTCGCTCCTCTCGCCCGTGCAGATCGCCGCCAGCTTCAGCATGTCGCCCTTGCTGATCGAGGCCGGGCGGGAGGCCAGGTCCTGCGGGGTCTTCCCCGTCCACTGGCGCTGCTCGTCGAGCATCTTGGACAAGCCGCTGAAGTTCCGCTCGTTCAAGGATCGTCGCGTGGCCACCGCCGTCTTCGCATCGGCGAGGTCTTGATGCATCTCGAGCACCGCCACGGGGCGACTCGGCGCTTGCTGAGGGGGCGCCTTCGTAGCGGGGACCGGACGGAACTGGTCGGGGCCGCTCCCCCGCCAGCCTTCCCGGGGCCTCGCTTAAAACCTCGGGGCGAAGGAGAGAGAGGAGGGAGGACAACAAAAAATGCATCCGCCTAAACACGAGAGACCGATCGACTCTCTCGGGGCGGCCGGCGAGCCCTACCCGCGGCGGTCCTGGGGCACGAAGCGCGCGCCGAGCAGGCGCGCCCAGATCTCCGGAACGGAGGAAAGTTCTGCGAGACCCTCTGCGCCAGGTCGACCGAGCGGCGTTCGGAAGCGCGCCGCGCGCGGTCGAGGTGGCGGGCCCTCTGGCCCCCGTCCGAGACCGCCACCTCGTCCTCGCGCAGGTCGATGACCGCCTGCGGGCCCGCATGGTGCGTCGCAGAAAGCAGCGGGGAGCACGTGGTTTCACAGCTCAGTGACTCCGCGACCCCACGCCCTCCGATCGCGATGGGTACCCGCGCCCATCCCACGAGGGTCGTCTTGCCGCCGACGCCCGAGGCTGTCGCGCCAGTCGCCGGGCCCCAGTCGAAGGTGGCGCAGAAGCATCGGGCACGAATGGCCTGGTCTAGCTGCTCCACCTCCTTGCGCCCCACAAGGGCCTGGACCGCGGCGGCGCCCGCGAGAGCGCGCGAGCTCAGCTGTCCGAGCGTCGCGACGGTCGGCGTCTCGAGGAGGCGCCGACGAGGTCGCGGGCGCCCTCGATCCGCTCGCTCCAACTCGCTGCCGCGTAGGGGCCGGCGTCCTTGTCACTCGCGCAGGTGAACCCCGTCATCGGCTTGGCGGCCTTCTCCTTCTTCATCCGGTCCTCCTTGGAGACGTAGGGGCCCTTGCAGGCGTCTGCCCTATGTCCTCGCTCACCACAGTTCGCGCGCCGAGACTTTCGGCGCTCATCTCGTTCTCCAATTGTCCTGATGCCTGGACGGGCAGGTCTGGCAGCGCCTGCGTCGGTCGAAAAAATCGCGATCGGTCTTCTTGGCTAGCCTCAAGCGCCTCGATTCAGACCAATTTCGACGACGCTCCTCTCCGTGCAAATACTGCACCACAAGCTTCAATGGCTTCCAACTCTTCTAGATCCTGGGACTCGGAGGGCTGCCAGAAACGCGACCGCGTCATCCTCGGGCATGTCGGTGTCGTCGTCGTCGTCGTCGTCGTCGTCGTCGTCGTCGTCGTCGTCGTCCTCGTACTCAACCAAGGTAGGCCCCGCGTCGTCAGTCGCGGGGGCCTTCACGGTCGGCGGAGGGTCGGAGGGCAGAATTTGCTCCTCAGCCACGTCTACCTGCAGGAGTGCCGCGCGGATGGCACCTGCCGACTTGTCGCCCACGGCCAACGTCTGCATGTTGATCTTGCTCTGGGGAGACAGATTGGTGCCTGCTTCCAAGAACCGAGCTCCGACCAGATCGGGAAGCGGCAGTCCCCTTCCTTCCGCCCCCGCCAGCTGAAGACCCAGTCGGAGTACATAGTCGGTGAGCGTCTCGCCCCTACGGAGCATGTGCTCGAAGAGGGCGTAGCTATGGACGACGCGCTCCGTATCTCCAGGCCGCTGTCCGTTGAGAACTTCACGATGGGCCAAAGGACGAGACACTCCATCGACATGACCTAACGTGGTACAAATCGGGCGAAACTCAGCCTGGAACTCGACGGGGGCAGACTCCACGATCCTGGACGCTCGTGTCTCGGCCGCGTGCCCCGCGCGCCTGGCCCAGGCCTGGACGCTCTGGGAGCACAGCTCGAGATGCTCTATGCCGAGCCACGCCAGGGGCTTGCCAAAGTCCCGGGACCTCTCCGCCCAGGGCTGGGCCCCCCAACCCCCGCCTGCCCACGATTCGGCGACCGCCTCCTGTCATATTTGCCCCTCCCGCCCCCGGGAAACGGATGACACTGTCACCGAATCACATGACACTGTCGCCCCCTGTAGTACACTGGAGCACACATCGCGGATGACAGCGTCGCTGGAAAACGACGACAATTATGACATTGTCTCCCACAAAAGCCCAGGAAAAGGCAGCCACCAAGCAACTCGCAAACCGCACCCCGGCGCAACCGCACCGATTGTGGTCGCCGAAAGGTGTCGACGCCCAGCCGCGGCCCGGGTCCCTGACTTGGCCATCAGAGCCATCCCTGCCACGGGAAGTTCGGGCCGCGCCCTCGGGCTCATGGGGCCTGGGCGGCCTCAGCCAACGCGCGCCAGGGGTCGAACGTCCAGGCCTTGCCATCCGGCCTGTGCCGGCCGTGCTGGGAGGGCCCCGGGCGCGCGGCGCCCACCAGCTGCCAGCCCAGGTCCGCCAAGCGTGGCTCCTGAAGCTCTGGCCCCAGCCCCCCCTTGAGCCAATGCAGGGATCATTCGTCTGAAGGCCAGCGTCGAGGCTGCTGATGGGATCTTTCCCGTCATCGGGGACACGGATGAAACAAAAACTGCGGGGCTCTGCGCGTCACTCGCAGATCCGCAGCCGTGATTTGGAACCTCGATCTCTCGTCCTCCTGTCCGCTCTCAAGCACAAACTGCGCCTACCACTGTCACGGGTTGGACTACCTTCGCTATCGATCAAGGGGCAAGGGAAGAAATAACAAGTTATTTCAATACGCTGGCGTGCGTCCTCGCCTGTACGCGCACAGGCGCCCCAAGCCTAAACGGCTGTGGGAAAGGGAAGCAAGAGGTCGGAGAGCACGAAGGGAGAGAGAGAGAGAGAGAGAGAGAGAGATAGAGAGAGAGAGGGGAACCCCGGTCCCCCACGAAGGTGGGGGACGGTGACAGTACAACCATTCCGCCTCCTCATGGGACAGCATATCGATGTTGGATCTTCCTCGTCCGTCTTCCCCCTCCCCCTGCCTTCCCTCTCGGAGGCCCCCGAGGAGGACAGGGGAAGCTGGGGCGCGCGCCACCAGCAGCGCGGCTGGAAGCACCAGGATGCTCATCAGCAAGGGCGGAGCCTGAGGGCATGGGCAAGCGGGAGTTGGAGCGTAGAAGCATCATGAGCTCTTGCTCCTCTGATTCCCGCCCGGGCGGAACGAGGTCTGGCTTCGGGCCACTGCTAAAGCCCCCGCAGGCCACGCGGGACGATCCGGGAAGCCCCAGAAAGGCCTCGGCGCCTGGCAGCTGATGGAACGCAGCTCGGGGAAAGGCAACGGCGAGGAACCACCGACACCGCCCGAAACCTTTGCCGATCCTCAATCGTTGTGGATGCCACGACAACGGACACCATGATAGTCCTATCATTGAGTGTACGTGTAGCACATGTTCCAGACATCGGGGAATCATTTGGCAACATGCTTCCTCTCCATGGATCGCCCTCCGCCACTCAATCCATCCCCCATTCGTGCCGCCAGCATCGCCCCCGCGCGGGCGATCCTCCGTGCCCCCCCCCCGTCGGCCCTCCGAGCTCCCGCCGCGGGCGCCTCGTGCTCGCGCAGGAACCGGAAGTACTGCACCCGCTTGTGGGCGTCGCGCGGCGCGAAGCACAGCGCCCTCCCGGCAGGGGGGTGAGCCCAGGGAGGAGCGCGGCAGAGGAGCGCGTCCAGGCTGCGGGAGGAGGAGGAGGAGGAGGGGAGGGGGAGCGGGAGGGGGAGGAGGAGGAGGAGGAGGAGGAGGAGGAGGGGAGGAGGAGGAGGAGGAGGAGGAGGAGGAGGAGGCGGAGGCGGAGGAGGAGGGAGGAGGAGGAGGAGGAGAGGAGGAGGAGGAGGGAGGGAGGAGAGAGGGAGGAGGAGAGAGGAGGAGGAGGAGGAGGGAGGAGGAGGACGAGGAGGAGGAGGGAGGAGGAGGAGGAGGGGGAGGAGGAGGAGGAGGGGAGGGAGGAGGGAGGAGGGAGGAGGGAAGAGGGAGAGGGAGGAGGGGGGAGGAGGAGGAGGAGGGAGGAGGAGGAGGAGGAGGAGGAGGAGGAGGAGGAGGAGGAGGAGGAGGAGGGGAGGAGGAGGAGAGGAGGAGAGGAGAGGAGGAGGAGGAGGAGGGAGGAGGGGGAGGAGGAGGAGGAGGAGGGGAGGAGAGGAGGAGGAGGAGGAGGAGGAGGGGGAGGAAAAGGAGGAGGAGGAGAACCAGGAGATGAGTGAAGTGCCGCAGGCAGTTTCCACAGGCGGAAACGGCGTTGCGCGAGAAAGGTCGAAAACGCGGAGTGGGCGGCATGGTGGCCGGAGTCGCCCCGGGAGGAGGGGAAGGAAGAGAACGCAGGGAGGAAGCAGGGGAATGGGTACAGTCGGGGCGTTGACCTAAGGAATCCTAAAGAAGGAACGAGGCCTCTTTTCCAATAAGTCAAACTTCGATTTCCCATCGAAGACCTAAGAAACACCAAAGGCAAGCTGCGAAACAATTCAAGAACACGGAGAACCTCCCCAGTGAGAAGAGTTCCTTCTTCGGAGCCCCGACTGTAGGATTCACGAGTGGTCGCAGAGTGGTGAGACGAGGGCGGGTGGCTGCAGGGGCGGGGGGCAGACGACAGACCATTGCCACGACCATCCTCACGGAGCCTTCTGCAACCGCCTACAATCCCTAAGGGCATCCGGGGACATCCCAGTCCGTTTGAGGGCTTCCCAGGACCTTCAGGGGGCTGCCGAGAGTCCCCAAGACGGCCTACGACGAGACCCCTGAGGGCACTCAGGATGTTCAGGATGACGCCACGATGTTATTGGACTAAGCCTGAGGATTGCAACGACGAGCCCACAAGAGTTTTCACCAAAATTGCCAACCAGCAGCGAATCAGTCAAAATGGTGGGGCACGGAGTCAAAAGTCGAAACGCTTTAAATCCGCCACCGTGCCCCTGGGCACGGAGTGGGCGTGTCCTCAGGTCATGGGCCCGATCCTCTAAGCCTCAATCCTCACTCTTGAAAGATATGGCCTGCACCCCAACTTCCCAAATCTCCTGAGGTTTGGCGCGTGCCCCCAGGGCTCAGGGAAGTGTGGTCACATAAGTTTGTCGCGCCCAAGAAGGCCCCAAGACGGGCCAAGAGGCCCCCAAGAGGCCCCCCAAGGCGTTCCAAGAGGACCACGAGTCGCCGAACGATTGCTCCCTGACGCTCAAGATGGCCCCCAGACAGCGCAAGAGGCCTTCAAAACGCCCAAAGAGGCCTCCGATAGGCCTCCCAAGTGGGCGCCCAAGAGGCCCAAATTATTAATTTTCCGATTGGCGGTTGATAGATGTTGGCGTCGTCGGCTTTTCCACTCCCCGACGCTCCCAGGCAGCCCTAGATGCCCTCAAGACTGCCCCAAGACTGCTAAAGAGGCCTCCAAGAGGGCCCCACAATGGCCCAAAAGGTACCCAGAACGGGCCAAGAAGGCTCCACGACTGCCCTTGAAAAGCCCCAAGACGAACCGAAAATCCGAGCCTTCCGCCCCAAGAGCCCACCAAATGCCCCAAAAGACGCCCAGGAGGCCCCAGGAGCCCGCCAAGAGGCCCACAGAGGCCCCCAAGAATCGCAAAGGTGGCGCCAAACAACTCCGAAACGGCCCCCCAAAAGTGTCCAAAACTGCCTCCAAATGGACCCAGAGAGGCCCCCCATGAGATTCCAACGAACATCCACTAAGCTTCATACCCACAAACCGGGCACGGTGGCGGGATGGGCCGAAGACCTATCGATGCGGCAAACACGGAGAAATGCAACAACTACGACTCTACAATCCACAACCTCTGCCACTGCGTTTGCAATCCCAACCTCTACCTCTCCCACTACCACGATCACTACCGCGATCAAAACCGCTATCCTTTCACTACCGCTTCGTACAACGACCACCTGATGCCTCGAATGACAAGACACCCCCCCAACGCCTGACGGAGGCCACCGCGAAATGCAGGGGCAACAGAACCGTGTAGATAGTGTTGAACGGAGGGGGCAGCGCGTCCATCTCGCAATGCCAAGAATGCGCAAACATGACATGACGGAGCGGAACTTGGGTTGGGCGCCGCCTGCCAGCCACCGCCTCTGGCCTCGCTGGGGGATGCAATGCATCCGAGTGTTCCTGCACCGTGCTTCGCTTTCGCGCAAGGACATAAGGTGCACACCATGTCCCCTCGAATACTCACGGGACTCCTCCGATCCCATGCGAAGATGTCCCCTTTAGTTTGTTCACCTTGTCTTCGAACAACGGAATCCAAATCTCCATCACCACAGTTGGCGTATCCAATCAAGGAATGGGAATTCCACTACGCTGAGCACGAGCGACAGAGGAAGAAGGCGACGACAAGGAAGAGGATTAATGGAAGCCTACTGATGCCCACGAAGGACACGAATATTGCTGGATGTTCCCATAAAAAAACACGTGCTTCCTTCTTGCCCGTCCCAATCCTCCGTGTGCAACCCCTGCTTCCCACAACCTGAATCCCAAGATCCCTAACATACGACTTACGATGAAAAAATACTCGGCCTTCAAGCAACCAATCCAACAGCAAAACATGCAAGGACATTCTCGACTCTGGACTCTGTACAATGGACAAGGCTAGACTCCCGTGGATTCGACAACAAGCACCGCACGGCGGACCGCTGCAGAAGGAGGCCACTCCGCTCAAATCTTCACCTCCCCTAGAACACCATTGCCTGTACGTCTCGGCTCACCGTGCGACGCGCCCCAATGCTTGGGGACACCAACTGGACATCCGCCACGGTGCCCCGTGGCACGTTCGGGCGTGCTAAAAGCTGGGCAGGCACAAGAACGGAAGGAGCGGGATAAAAAAGCTTGCCCGAGATTGTTCATGATACCGCCAACTCGTTGTAACCTCGGTGTTAGGAGCCTTTTGTGGTAAAACACTTACCGCGTTGTCGTTCGCACTGGGAGCCTTGGCGTTCACAGCTCCCTGCATCGTCGGGAACTCTTTAAAACCTTGGCGTTGTTCGAATCTTACGTCACCGACTCGCCTTGAAAAGGAGACTCCGTCACCTGGAGCGTGCTTAAAATGTGTATACATATGTATAGTTGTAGATGTAGATGTAGATGTGTATGTAGATGTAGTTGTGTATCTATAGATTAGAACCATCGCGCGCGCTTTGCGCGCGCTTGGGTTCTAGCTGGTCGAGTGCTGACCGCAGTGGGACAGCAAGCCGGTCATTAATAATGAGGTCAACATTATCTGTTTCCTCCTGCGCCTCCCTCATTCCTCTTCCTCCGCTCTCATCGACCGGTCGACCGGTGATCTGTCGCCAAGCTATGGGCCAAGAACAATGAAGCGCTACAGCGCCATGTTGCACTATGCGATAGAATGCAATGATACACCATGCGACGCTATAAAGTGCAATGTCACTATGCAGCATGCACTGCAATATCATGATCTACTCTACAGTGCGCATTGCATGCCATGCCATGCTGTGCTGTGAAATGCTAAGGTCATGTATGGGATGATACACTGAACTATATCATGCGATGCTTCCTTTGAAGAACGATGCTACCGCGTTAGATGGCATGCCCAGACACGGCATGCCGTGCTATGCAATGCAATGCAATGCCATGCCAGTTATGAGATGCTAGGCCAAATCAACAGGACGACAGTAGGAGCAACAACGGGGGTGAAATGTGCATGGCTTCTGCTCACCGTTGCGAAGAGCAGTACGGTGTTGTTCGATTGATTCATATGCATTGGAATGCCATAGTACGCCACGATGTGCCATGAGATGCAGTGCCATGCTAGGCAATGTTACGTCGTGAAGTGCAGTGCTAGGCTCAGATAGACACTGTTATGTAATGCACTGTCATGACATGCTGAACCATACTGTGATATACAATGCTCTGTCGTGCTGTGTCGTGCCATGTCATGTCATGCAACGCTGCGATACCACGATAGGCTAGGCGGTCCTTTGATATGCACCAGTATGTTTGGGAGGCCCCTTGGGGGCCGGTTGGGGTGCTCTTGGGGCCTCTTTTGGGGCCTCTTTGGGGCCTCGTGGGGCCTCTAGGGGGCCTCTTGGGGGCCTCTTGGGCTCTGTTGGGGGCCACTTGGGGCCTCCTGGAGGCCTCTTGGGCCGGAAGGCTCGAGCAAGCGATTTTGTGTGATGGAAGGGCTGGCAGTGACCCTGGAGCGCGCGAGCCAGGGGAAATGAGAGCGAGAGAGAGAGAGAGAGAACGAGAGAGAAAGAGAAAAGAAGAGAAAGAGAGAGAGAGAGAACAAAACAAAAAGGTAGCGCTCGCCTCCCAGAAGTTGTGGCTTTCGCCGTCCGAGATCGTCTCCAAGAAGGCCTCACAGGGAGCCGCGTCCCCTTGACAAATCGTTCATTCCGACTGGCCTTCTCTGCAAGAGAGATGCCCCCCCCCCTCTACCCCTACTCCTCTCTCCTGGCCCTGCACCCTCTCTCCGCCCCAGGTTGAGAGAAGGCAAAAGGGGATGAGCAAAGGAGAGGAGACAGGAGAGAGGGGAGGACGACGAGCGACGGCAAGGCGGAGGGAGCGGGCCAAGGGCGCTTCGGCAGGTCCCCCTCTGGGAAGCCCTCTGGGTTCCGAGGAGGAGGGAGGCGAGGCATCCGACACGTCGAGCGGACAAGGCCGGGCCCCCTCCTGCCACGAAGGTTGGGAGGGCAGGCTGAGGGGGGCGGAGGCGGAGGAGGAGGAGGGAGGGGGAGGGAGGAGGGAGGAGATGGAGGAGGAGGGAGGAGGGAGGATAAGGGAGGAGGGGGGAGGACGCAGGAGGAGGGAGGAGGGAGGACGCAGGCGGAGGGTGTTCTCCGACGGTGTGGTGACCCTGGGCCCCCGATGACCTCGCCGCACGGCGCGCTGGGGACTGGAGGCCGGGGTCGCCCGAGACGTCCTCGGCGACCAGCCCGAGCTTCAAAGCCATGCGGCCACCCCGAGTCTCCAGACTCACCACACGGTTTGGTCACCGCACCGCTTGGGGGCCTCTGGACCTTCGTGGGCCCTGGAAACGACAGGGCCGTTGTTTTACCGGTTCCGTTTTGCCGTTTTTTTTGCAAGTTCCGACGCAGTTTTTTACCTAACAGCGAAGGCTGATAGGTTTCTAGTTGACTCAAAAGAGCTCACAAATCACTCCACAGGGGGGTCCGGGCAGGTGTTGGGGAGTTGCCGGGCGGCAGGGTGCCGGGCTCGTTTTTCACCAACAGTCACACACTTCGTGCTCTTCGCCTTCCCAGAACTCCATTCCCAGGCCACATTCTGAATACCCGGATGCAACAGTCACACACAAAGTGCTCTTCGAGATCCCAGAACGCCATTCCCGGGCCACATTCTGAATAACCGGATGCAACAGTCACACACTTCGTGCTCTTCGACATCCCAGAACGCCATTCCCGGGCCACATTCTGGAGGGCCGGATGCAACAGTTTCGTGCTCTTCTATGGCCAACTGTAGGCCACTTCGTGCTCTTCGATTTCCCAGAACTCCATTCCCGGGCCACATTTTGAATGCCCGGAGCCAACTGTAGGCCACTTCGTGCTCTTCGAGTTCCCAGAACTCCATTCCCGGGCCACATTTTGAATGCCCGTAGCCAACTGTAGGCAACTTCGTGCTCTTCGACTTCCCAGAACTCCCATTCCTGGGCCACATTTTCAGCAGGGGCAAGAGCACGACGAGGAGGAGGACGAGCAAGACCAGGAGGACGAGGACGAGCAGGAGCAGGACGAGGAGCAGGAGGAGCAGGAGAAGAAGGACGAGCAGGAGGAGGAGGAGGACGAGCAGGAGGAGGAGGACGACCAGGAGGAGGAGGAGAGGAGGAGGAGGAGGAGGAGGGGGGAGGAGTACCAGGAGGAGGAGGAGGAGGAGGAGGAGGAAGAGGAGGAGGAGGAGGAGGAGGAGGACGAGGACGAGGAGGAGGAGGAGGAGGGGGGGGGGGAGAGTACCAGGAGGAGGAGAACGAGGACCACCAGGAGGAGGAGGAGGAGGAGGAGGAGGAGGAGGAGGAGGAGGAGGAGAGAACACCAGGAGGAGGAGGACGAGCAAGACGAGGAGGACGAGAACGAGGACGACCAGGAAGAGGAGGAGGAGGAGGAGGAGGAGGAGGGGGAGGACTACCAGGAGGAGGAGGAGGAGGAGGAGGAGGAGGAGGAGGAGGAGGAGGAGGAGGAGGAGGAGGAGGACGAGGAGGAGGAGGGGGGGGGAGAGCACCAGGAGGAGGAGAACGAGGACCACCAGGAGGAGGAGGAGGAGGAGGAGGAGGAGGAGGAGGAGGAGGAGGAGAGCACCAGGAGGAGGAGGACGAGCAAGACGAGGAGGACGAGAACGAGGACGAGCAGGAGGAAGAGGAGGAGGAGGAGGAGGAGGAGGAGGAGGAGGAGGAGCAGGAGAAAGAGGAGGAGGAGGAGGAGGCAGGCTGAGGCTGAGGCTGTGACTGCGACTGCCGTTGCCGCTGCGACTGTCATCGCGAATGCGACTACGACTGCGAGAACAGCAGAATTCGACAACTGGATTTTCATCTGAATCTTAAGGGGAATGCTTTCAGATATGCTTCTACACATCGCTGTTAGGTTGCTTTGCCGGGATAATTTACCAGTTCCGTCGCCGTTTGTTGACCGGTTCCGGCTCCAATTCCACTCCTGAGGCAGTTTTTTTGCCGTTTCCGGTGGCCGATTTTTTGCCGTTTCCATTTTCAAGGGACATTTTTCTGGAAACGGTAAAAAAACGGCCCTGCCGTTTCCAGGGCCCATTAAGGTGTGGTCACCGCACCGCTTGGGGGCCTCTGGACCACCGCCTCCGAACCACTCGGCGCTCACTCCCCGTCAGGTGGACCCCTGCGCACGGAGACCTCGACGCCATCATGCTCGGGGATGTTTTCTCGACCTGGGATCGGTCTTTGCCGTTTTGTGTTCTCGGCTATCTTGGAAATGCTTGGGCCGACCAGCTTGCTAAGACCGGAGCGCTGCAGCACTCGGTGACCAGCGGTGCGGGCTGTGAGTGTGCTTCGAGGGCAGCTGCGTCAGGTCAAGAACGTGTTTGACTTCCTCACAACAGTGACTCGTTCCGATGCCCGCCAAGCTGAGTCACCATCGATATCCGCGGGCTCCCGTCGACACCTCACGACGGTGCCTGCTCTGCCCCGGCTCGCGCAAAGCCTGAAGCTGTGGGTGAATGAGGGGCTCGGTGTACTTGGTGGCACTGCTCTGCCACGACACCGCTCTCTCGGGCCAAGCTCGAGCAGCCTGGCAAGACTTGCCATCGCTCCGACGTCCATTCCCCGTACGTGTTTCCGCTTTCGTGCGTGATTTTCTTGCCCTCGATGCTTCGGGATGCTCCTCGATGGTTCTCGCCGAGAAAAGGAGCACACGTCCGAGCGATGCCAAAATGAAGTGCGAATCCACGCCGTTGCATTTGCGCCTCACTGCTGTGAGGGCAGATGTCTCCCTCCCAGGGCGCGGAGTGCCGCTGTGACCCAATGCGCTGCAGGAGGTTGGCTTGACGTACGATGGCCTGCAGGTGCAACAGAAGTTCCCCTAATTCTTTGGAGGGGACCGAAGGTAGGAGGGCCGACATCATTAGGGATAAGGTTCTTCTTGGCGGATGTACCCACCCGCATGATTGGGATCAACCTAACACCCGATTACCTACATGAGGCCACGAGCTTAATTGTGTTAAAACGGTTAGGGGTTGTATTCTGCGTCATGCGTCACCCCCCAGAGGTCTCGACCCATTCCCAGGACAAATGTTTCATCCCGGGCCGTTTTTCGACGACCCCGATGCCTGGTGGGGCCCCTGGAGGCCGAAAGTAGCGAAAATCCTCCCGTCGTGATGTTCTCATGACTCTAGGGGGTCTGGGGAGGCCAGAGGACGCCGAGAGGCGCGACAGAGGAAAGCCCGCCCCTACGGTGGCAACTCACGGGAGCCTGCCATACCATCTTCTTGGTTCTTGCGGAGCGACGCTAGTCGACGCCAAGTCGGCCCCAGTCAATGCTAATCGACGCCAGTTCTACCGCAGTCGACGCCAGTCGAGGCCAGATGGCGCAGGGAGGTGGCGAGGCATCCAGGCAGGCATGGGCAGCAGCCGCCCGCCCTGGGGCGCGGAGGCCGCGTCCTCCGAGCGGCGCGTGGCGAGCCCAGATGGAATCGTATCGCGGGCCCAGCGAGCGCGCGGATGGGTCAAGCGGCTCAGGGGCGCTGGGCTTGGCGGCGCGCGCCAGGGGGTATGGGGAGGGGGGGAGGCTTCTTAGGAGGAGGCTGCTGCTTCTCAGAAGGTGAGGGCCATACAGCTACAGATGCGGCCCGCGCCTTCCGAGCAGCAGGTTGCTCCTAAGAAACCTCCCCACCCCCCTCCCCCTGTCACCCCTTCCTGCGCGTGGCTGGTGGGCAGCGAAACGTGCACTGCAAGAGGCATGGAGAAGAGAGGCAGGGAGGCCGCCGAGGGGAGGAGAGGGCGGGGGGGGCAATCTCGGACCACGAACGTCGTCGTCAGCATGCTGCGGCCCAGGCTCGTACGAATCGTGCAGGGAGGGACGCCGCACCAGTGGATCTGGAAGACGGAAGCTTGGTGTCGTGGTGACCCCAGCGCTGGTTTTTCAGACACCGCGTGGATCATTCATCCTTGGCCTATCGTGGGTTTTTCGATCGCCAAATCGTTCCGTATTGGTCGATCCTAGGCTACTGACGACGTCCGCCGTGCCGGCACGAGAGACACACACACACACACACACACACACGCACACGCACACGCACACGCACACGCACACGCACACGCACACACACACACACACACACACACTGTACATGACCTTGCTTCGAGTGCTCCCCACCCGAGAAAGCGAGGCGGGAACCGGGATCCCACGAGAGCACGGCACACTTCGGTGCGGCAGGTGGGTGTCGTGCCGAATTCGGCGTTGGCACCTCAGATCGTTCAATATGGGCGGTTCTGGGTCGCCGGCGGCGTTCAGCGTTGAATGCCGCCGCGAACCTACAGTCGGGCTGCTGACAGAAGGAACGCTACGCAAGGAAGGAGCCAGTTTTTGGCCGCGGGACCACCTGCGTGGACGAGGAGCGCTAAATAGAGAAACAGCCATGGACGCACCCAAGGAACATCGAGCCCCCTCCGAACCCAAAGTGCTTCTCACTGCAGCGTCTTGGCTGTGCTGTCTGTGGGGTGCGCGAGGCGGGTCGGGAGCTCCCATTGGATCCAGCACTCCCAGCCTGTCGTGTGGGGAACCGTCGGGTAATCGCGCGCGCAGGTTCCTGGGGTCGTCGCGCCCGAGGGGGGTCCCCGGCGCAGATCCAGGAGATCCGCGCGGACCAACGAGAGCAGAGGGTCATGCCGCTTGGCGGTTCCAGGAGCAGTCAGAGGACGAAGAAGGGTATAACATGAACTCGTCGGGGACGCCTGCTCGGGAAGATTATACCCTTTCGGTGCCACGTAGGGGTATAAACTTTCCAGCCGCCCAGTGGGCAGGCGTCCCCGACGGCGGAACAGTTCATTATTTCAATTTTTGTTCGCCCGCTAGAACATGGAGATGAGTTCATGATCAGCCACGAGTGTTCTTCAAAAAGCCTGGGGGGTGCAGTCAAAAGCAGCATCCAGGATGCAGGAAGGCTGGCACGCAAGACGCTCGTCCGTACCGAGGCGGTCTTCAGCGGCGGGCAGGCGACAGCATCATGGGCGAGAGGGCCGAGTGTCCACGTCACGGGGGCATGCGCTGGCGAGCCCAAAACGGCACAGCCATGATTCCTCGACGGCGCGCGCGGCACCGGCGCCCGGGCCCCCCTCCCTGGCGCGCCTCCGGCGCCGCCCGAGGCACCACCAAAAAACTCCAACCGCCGATCCGAGAAACCCGCGCGGACCCCCGAATCTTTTATGTTAATGGAAGCGCCCGCCTCCCCAAAGGTGGCAAAAAAAAACATATCACATCATTCGTGGGGGCGCAGCACTACACCACCGCGGGCGGGAAAGGAGCGGCGGCGCGTGCAAGTCATGAGGGGCTCCTTGAAAACGGCCCACTTCTTAGAAGGCGCCGGCCTTACATCTACCGATGAGGCCCGCGCCTTCTCAGGAGCAGGTGTGCCTAAGAGGACATCACCCCACCCCATTATCCTCTTCGCGTGGTCGACCTCATGCACCGACTGCGCAGGTCTTGAGCCCAGGCCGACCGCCTTAGCATCCCTGTAGGCCAACCAGGACACGTCTCTGAAACCCACACAAGTTCCAACAACACTAACAATGTTCTCGAGCGCGAAAGATACCCGTATTCTTACCCGGGCGGGGTGGCAAAGGGCGGGGGGAGCAATAGGCCGCAGCCGACGGCGGTTGCGCAAGTGCAGATGCGACCGCCCATGGAACATTACAGGACGCTGTCTTCTCCGGGCATCCGCTGGCACCGGAGGCGCGCGCGTTCCAATCGTCAGAGTGGCCGCCCACGCATTGGTCGTCCTCGGGCTACAGTAGCTCGTTCGGAGGTGCGCCCACGAAGGCGCACCACCAAGCGTTTGGGGCTCGACGCGCAAAATGCGTCCTGGGTGTCCTGGGCGGGCGCCACTGCAATCCTGCGCTCGCCCCAAGCGCCTGGGGCCCCGAACGCCAGGCGCGGTCGCCAGGGGCTGTTCCCTGGAAAACCCGCCTGGCGTCACCCCAGTTCGGTCCGGGTACGTGTCGGGGGGCGCAGTCGCCGACGCGCGTTGATGGTGCCCCCGGACACGTGCCCGTACCTAGTCGAGGTGGCGCTTGGTCGAGGTCGCTCTCGGGCGCACGCGCGGCCCCCGAGAGCGCTCCCGAACGCCGCCGCAGCGGCCTCCAGGGGAGCGTGAGATGGCAACCACGCGTCCCTGCGACGGCCCACCCGCCTGGAGGACGGCGACCCAGCCCGGCCCAAGCCGCGAAGCAAGGCTTGGATCCGATGCGCCCCGTCTCTCGGGGACGGCCCCAGGAGGGGGGCCTCCAAGAGTGCAGGGGGCCCAGGGACACGCCCAGAAATGCTCACGGATCTCAGGATCCCAAAACTTTCACGAGATGTGTTTGATATTCATCTTCCCCTCCAATTCCCATGCTCTCCCATGGTCTCCTGGGGATCGGCGGTTCTGCATGTCTGTGTGCTTTTGGCTCCCTCCTGAAAGAGAGGGGGAGTCGCAGCAATCGTGGCAGAGGGCATGTGCGCCGCTCATGGGGGGAGGTGAAGGAAAGCCAGGGGGCGTCTTCGGCAAGGGGAAAGGGCGGCCATGAGAGATGGAGGATGTCATGGCCCGCGGCAGCGACATCCACGCGCACCCTCGTCATCACATGAGACGAAGCCAAGAAGAGGATCAAATCGGGTAAGCATACATCGAGCATTTCTGAGATCCCGCGGCTCTGGAGGATGTCTCGGGCGCCGCGGCCTTCTCAGAGCGTTCAGGAACGCTCTGAGAGCGTTCTTGAACGCTCTGGAACGAATTTATCATCGCCTTAGCCTTGTCCGATCACACCCCTCTTGGCCGCCCCCGACTGGGGCCATAGCGGGTATCAGATGCTGCTCGGAACCACGAATTACTCTCGAGAAGGAGTTCTGCACAAGAACGCGCGAACCATACGCACTGCTGCGCCTTCTAGCGACGCCCCTTCGGTCACGTCTGCAGAGCCCGCCTAGGACCAGCCGCATGCACCCTGCGCCCCTCGCGAAGGGGGCCCTGCCGCGCAACCGCGCGCGCCACGCCGGCATCCTTCCGCCGGGCATGGCGCTCCTTCGCCATCGAGGCCTGCCTCTGCAGGAGACACACTCCTCCTCGTTCCCCTGCGCCTGCTCCTGCTCCTCCTCCTCCTCCTCCTCCTCCCTCTCCATCCTCTCCGTCGTCCTACCCTTCCTCGTCTGACAGATTTACCCTATGATTCGTCATCGTGTCTTCCTCGTCCTCCTCGTCATCCTGCTCTCTTCCTCGCCCTCTTCTCTCCAGCACGGCTCGTCAACGCACCCCCTCCCCCCCCGGGTTAAGCGCTCCACCTCTGCCTCCGCCACCTGCTACTTATTGACCTTCACCTCCACCCCCCGCTCCTCAACCACCCCCTCCTCCTCTTGCTCTTTCTCCTCCTCCTTCTCCTCCTCCTCCACCTGCTCCTCCTTCCTATTCGTCTCTCTACCCCTCTCCCTCTCGGCCGCATCCTCGACGTCCGCTTCGCTCAGTCGGCACGGTGCACCGAGCCCTCACAGCCCCACCGCCCCATGGATCGAATATCCGGGCCTTCGCCGACTCTGTATTGCCCCTGGCGCGGACAGACTCGTAAGTCGAGTTCATGATGCTGATTAGGAAATTCAGGAGGAGCACCGCCGCGATCAGCAGAAAGACCACGAAGGCCACCACCTTATCTGGAATTGGCGCGCGAAACCAAGCACCATTCTGCAACAAAAGCAACAACGCTCACTTTGCCTGACAACCGCTCCCCATACTCCACCTTCCCTCCTTTCCAGCCCGCTCGCCCGCCTCCCCTCTCCAGCCTCTGCCACCGCAGTGCAGCCAGGAAGCATCCTGACCTCCAACCCCGGTGTGACAGATGAGTTGGGCTACAGTCGGACTCGATTGGACAGGACACGCGAGAGGACACAAGACCCTTCCAAGGGGCCACATGGCCACAGGAATGTAGGAAGCATGGGCCGCGAGACACAGGACACAAGGGCCCCCTTGATTTGGCAGGGCCGACCTGCTAATCTGGGCCGACTGGAGGAGGGAAGGAGTCTTTTCGGCGGTGGACAAACCTCCCTTTAGTTTTCCTCCCCTTAGTGAAAACGGCCCGGGACCGAAACCGACGGACCTGGACACGCAAAACCGACGGCCGCGACGCCCTCTCGCGAACCGAAAACGGCCCGTTCGCCAATCGACGTGTCAGGGTAGGAGGTCTTGTCCACCTCCGGTCTTTGAAAGAGGGGGGGGGGGGACCTTATTGCAATCTGGGGGTGCCCAATTGCGATTTGGGGGAAAGGGGAGGGTCGACCCTCCTCACGTCGCTCCCCCTCCGCGACTGCACTGGAGCTCCCTGCCTGCCTGCCCTCGGGAGCGGCCAAGAGGGGGGTGTCCAAGAGGGGGGAGTGCAAACCCTGACCAGCGGCATGTGCGCGGCCCAGCGGGGGGGCCAGGGACGTCAAGAACTAAGACGAGGCGCCATAAAATCTGGGGAAATATCATGACCCCCGCCATGATCTCCACCCCCCCCCTAGTCATCACCCACCTCTTTTCCGCCCCCGATGCCCCCCCCCTGCAGCGTCCGGCCTGCGCCCGCCCTCTCTCTTGGGCGCCCGAGTTATCCGGGGTAACTCGGGTCCGGGGCAACTCGGGCCTGGATTCCCGAACAGGGAACCCGAGTTAGCCCCGACCCGAGTTACCCCTGACGATGTGGGGCTCTGGACGCCCGAACTATCCGGGGTAGTCGGGCGGGTGATAATGGGGCGGGGTGGCCGAGATGGGGCGTGAATGAAACGGAGCCCACAGGTTGAGGCCCTGACCCGAGAATGCTGATTCGGGGCTCCGCCCCCCGACGCCCGGCCACGGCCAGCCTCTCGAAAACCAGGGGTGCCGCGGGGAGGGCGGCCCCCGGGGGGCCCCCAGAAGCATACACCCACCACCTCCCTCCCTCCCTCGCGCCGGCAAAGAGGAGAGAGGGGGGCCCACAAAGCATACACCCACCACCTCCCCAGCTCCCTCGCGCCGGCAAAGAGGGGAGAGGAGGAATCGACGTGGCGGTGGTGAGTAGTCTCTTGGGCCAAAAAATAGACACCCACCACCACCTCCCTCCCCACCTCCCCCTCGCCGGAGAGGGGAGAGCGGAGGAATTGACGTGGTGGTGGTGGTGGTATATTCTTTGGGCCACCAGACGGTGCGAGCTCGTCGCGGCGCCCCTCGGATCGAGGCGAGGAGGGAGGAGAGGCCGAGGGGCAAGAGTGGGCGAGGGAGAGGCACGTGGGCGAGGACAGGGAGCGTAGCGACGAGGAGGAGGAGGGGGCACACGAGAAAGGGCAGGAGGAGGGAGGGAGGGAGGGAGAAAGGGAAGGGAGCCTGGTGAGGGGCAAGCTTGGAAGGAAACTGAAGGAGAGGTGTCTGGGGGGGAACCTTGGTGCGCTCGCGCCATCTGGCGTCTTACCCCTCCCTTCCAGCCCTGTCAACGCGTTGGGTCACTATATACTCGCAGTCCGGTGTAGGAGGCCATTCTTCCTAAAGGGCAACCTGGTCAAAGAAGCTCGGACAGCTTTGTGATATGCAAGAGCAGAAATAAAGGGGCATGCACGCAGGCGGACGGGAGGTGGGAGGGCGGGTTGGACTGAGGACGAGGTTTGAGGTGGAGGTTGGACCGAGGACGACGACGATGAAGAGGGTGCAGTGGGGGTTGATTTGAGAGGACACGCGGGAGGACGCGGGACCCTTCCGAGGGCCAACTTGCCAGAGGATGTAGAAAACATGGGTCGCGACACACAGGACACAAGGGCACCCTCGGTTTGTCAGGGCCGACCTACTAATCAACCTCGCCTGTTGGGGGAAGGATGCTGTGAAGGAGAAGGTGCGCTGGCCCCATGGGCCTCACACAAGCAAGACGTGCGAGATACCTCGCAAAAGCGACGCAGCAGGCAGGGTGACTTGCCGGTGCTTCTATCGACCGCTCGTGCGAGGGCGGCCGTGGGGGGGAAGGTCTGCGGATCTCCCTGGGGCCCAAAAGTCGTCCCAGGTCGCCCCAACAGCGCTGGTCTGAGCGTGACAGGCCCCATGCTGGTCCAGAGAGGGTGCCAGTGTGAGCCAAATGTGGCACAACATGGTTCAAGGCAAAACACAGTGGACTGCCACTGCGGCCCATGACGTCAGAATCACTCTCCGCAGGGCACTCCCCGGACGGCAAGGATCAGTCAATGCACACGCGTTTTCTTGGTATGGTGGCTGCCCTGCCTGTGGGGGCTTCAATCAAACTCTCGGGCCCCGAGGTGGCCCCAACAACATGGCCCATGATGGCCTCGAGGTGGCTCCAACATGGTCCAATACCCAAGCCCCCAGGAACACTCAGGAGGCCCCAAGAAGCTCCTCACACGCCCCTGATAGACCCCGGGGATACCCCTGATAACTTTAAGAGGTTCTCAGATGCCACCGGATATGGCCAGAATCACATAAGCAAATGGTGAATTCGATGCGTGTGCGTGTGTGGCATTGCTGCCTCCGCGGGCTTCACTTGGTTCCTCGGCCCCCTTGGTGTCCCCCAAGAGACCTGACAAGGCCCCATCATTACCCAATCCTTCACTGGATAAATGTTCCGCGGGAGTGGCGAACCCCTTCATTTCCTCAAGTGGGTCTTGCATGCTCATGCTGCGCACACCTATGCTGCTGCGTTCCGCTGGGACTTCAAGTGTCTTGTCGCTCAGGCTGCTTTGGGAGGCTTGGAAATGGGCACCAACACCGACACAGGCGAGTTGCCTTCACATGGGGAAGATGATCCTAGATTTCGGTGTTGGTGGTAATATTTCGGTCACCTTGGAGGCCAGAATATTACCACCATCACCGAGATCGGGATCGTCTTCCCTCGGTGGAGGCACACCACCGATCTTGGTGTTGGTGTCAACATCCAGGCCTCTGATGCTTTGCGCTGGGACATCAACTTTGTTGCCGCTCAGGCTGCGCTGCGCTGGGACTTCACGTGTCTCCGAGACGGCTGACATGGAGCCCCAAAGAGGGCCCCGAGACGGTCCACCAGCGGAGGGCCGCAGCCAGCAGGCTCACAATAGAATACAGTCGGGGCGTTGACCTGAGGAACCCAAAATAAGGAACGAGGCCCCTTTTTTCCATGAGTTAAACTTCGATTTCCGATCGAAAGCATGAAACCTGAGGCAAGCTGCGAAACACGTAAGGAACGCGGAGCCCCTCCCCAACGAAAAGGGTTCCTTCTTCAGGGCCCCGACTGTATAGCTCAACGTGGCCCCAGGATGACCGCAAGGTGGGCCAAGATGGTGCAGGACAACCCCCACAGGAACCTCCAAGAGTCCCTGGAGAAAATCCGTGCGACGTACCCGAGGGCCTTCAACACCACCACAGACCCCCAACATTGCAAGGAACACGAAATAAAAACACACACGACGTGTTGTGGTTGTGGCGTTGCTGTCCTTTGGGCTCCAGTGGGCTTCTCGGCCAGTGTGGTGGCCACAAGACCCCCCCTAAAGAGTCTCAAGAAGGCCCGAAGAGAGCTTAGAAAGGACCAAAAAGCGAACCAACAGCATGGACCTCAAGATGACCCCCAAAGCAGGCCCAAAAACACCTGAGGCCCCCAAACCCTTCCCTAGCGCCGCCATGATACCACAGATGTTCCGACAGGCCCACGACAGCGGTTTGAAACATGTATGCTCGCGCCCTCGGCTTCGGATGACAACACCTAGAAAGAACACGTGAGGCCGTGATGTGTTCAGTGTAGCGTTCACTGTGCCAAGCGACCGCTTATCCCCCACGTAAGCTGTGCAAGACAGCTTTGGGAACCTGCACCACCGAGCAACTTCCCAATGCTCGGGGAGCGACCAGTATCAATGGCACGCCGCCGTCTGGAAACCATAGCGTATTACTGTTGAAGAGTCACAAGGCTTTCGGGCAGGAACGAAGGAACGAGACGCAGACGGGCTACCAACGGCAGCGTGACACTGATACTCTTTCTCCCTCCCGAAATGTCCTCGAACACTGGCAACTGGCAGGCATGCTGAGATATAGGCCCGCCTGTTCCGCGAAAAAGGCCGCGCTTGGCGGGGCCCCCTGCGGGATCGGGCCGGCCTTGGCCGGGTTAAACTCTGGCGGTTGGTGAGTGGATGGGCATGTGGGGACATTCGAATCCTACACCCCCCTAAACTTTTTTGGTCGGCGGGTCGGGAGCGGGCCCCTTCCGGTCAAGAGCTAAAGGGGACGCGGGTAGCCCTAATTAGGGAGACAGGGCGCGGGCGGGCGGGGCCTCAGGCGGCCGGAGAGCTCAGAAAACAGGCGGTGCCGAAGACCTTGCACAGGAAAAGGTGCGCCATGGACTACACCCCCTAAACACGGACTCTCCAAATTCGATGGGAGGTGGGGGTTGGGGCTCGGACGTCGCCTCGTGTTCGGCGAATTCCGAACCCTACCCCCGCCGCCTGTCGGCTTGCCTGAATCGGTGATCGGCGAGGGTTAGGGAGCCCACTAAGGACGCACGCGCCCTGCCACGTACATGAATACGGCTCCCCCAATCCGCGAGACCAACCTCGTGATACGCACGTTCGCGCGCGCAATTCTGAAACAAGCGTGTTCTCATGTACGTGTACGTCCCTCTTTCGCTCCTGGAGGGTAGGGTGCGAATTGTGACGACGATTACAAGTTAAAATCATATCCATATCCATATGTTTGGCACCACCTTGCCTCGATGCCGACCTTAAGGATCCCCTCAATTCCTGAGGGCACACCACTGAGAGTGTCATCGCTTCTGTCTTGCAGGGTAAGGCTTGCCGAGGTAAGCGACGACGACGACGACAACGTCGACGAGCATAACGGCGACTACAACGACGATGACGATAACGACGACGACGAGAAGAGAACGACGACGATGACGACGACGTGATCACAACACCACAACGGCGTTGAAAACGACGACGACGACGACGACGACGACGACGACGACGACGACGTGGAGATGGCGTCCGCAGCGGTCGCCGGGAACGCCTCCGCGCACTGCGCCCCGGGAGCCTACCGAGACACGTGCGCCCGCAGGTGCAATCTACGCTCAGGTCTGGCCTGCCCCCCTTCAGGGGGATTTGGAGCGAAGAATGGGAAATACGCAAAACATGCTCCAGACATGCGGAAGAAATTCGCCGGCCCAACGGGCCAGAGGCGTGCTAAGATCTCCGGTAACTTGTTAACAATATTTCTAGTTCGCGCGCGCGGAGCGGCCCCTGGGGGCCCCCGGACGAAAAGTACCCCAGCAAGGTCCCGAGAGAAGCCCGGGAGAAGCCACCAGACCACTCCAGGGGAGGGTATTTTTCGACACCCCTCACGAGGATCGTGGCCTCCGAGGGGGGAGCCGCAATCGACTACCCCCAAGAGCCCCCCAAGAGGCCCTGGGGGCCTCCAAAACGCCGCCAAGGAGCCCCAAGAGACTCCCAAGAGGTCCCCAAGAGGCCCCCAAGAGGCCCTAAAGAGGGCTCCAGGGCCGGCGGCATGAGCGAAGCGATTAAATAATCCCAAAAAATCGTCCCCAGGCTATGTTTTCACCATTTTTGAATCTCCTCCCTGCAGAGGGGCAGGCGCGACTTACATCGGCCGCCCCTCGGCTGCCGGAGCGCCGCACGGGCGCGGGGGCCTGGCGCTCCCAGGCTCACGGGAGGCGCAGAGCTGCGGCGGCCTCGCGCCCCCATCACACTGAGGTCCTGGCGCCCCCATGTTTTCGAGCCGGGCGTCCGCGCCATGGTTCGGGCCCGGGGCCCTCACAGACCGATCTGGCTCGAAGAACGACGCAGGGGGACGGAGTCCAGGGTTTTTGGGAGTGACTGTTTACGAGAATGTGTTGTTTGCTAGGTCGGATTCTAGGGTGTCTTACAAGCAAAACTGGTCGTAGGGATGCGCGGTTAGGATGCAGGCCCCTTTGCGCGCCCATGCTGAAGCTTTTTTGAGCGCGGCGGGCCATCCAAAGTAGTCAAGGACTGACCAGAGAGGCACGGATGCAAGGGTATCTTTGGCAAGGTCACCTGACCTTACCATCTGTTTCAACCATACGAACGTCAATTTGGCACGCCCCGCACGCATGATGCCCGTCGTGAACCGCCAGAGGTGCCTGGATGGCTCCTCGAGACGGCTCCAAGGGACCTCAATCGGAAGCACCTCTCACGCACATCGTGCCACATTGAACCCACAGGAGCACTCGGCTGGTACACCACTACGACCACTAGGAGCCTCAAGTCGGCACACACCTCACTCACTTCCTGTCGCATGGACCCCCAGAGATGCCCAGCCAGCATCTGAACACGGCTCAGGGAGGCTTCAATTCGGCGCACACCTCACGCACTTCGAACCTCACGGATTCTCGAAGACCTATAATAGCTTAAAAGACAGTCCGATTCCCCAAAGGACGCCGATACGATCACAAAAGAACCATTGTAACGATTGGTACATACTCTTATTTGAAACGAGAGCCCCGAACACCAACGGATTGCACGATTCGCGTGCTCGAACCCACATGGGAGGCCGCAGTGACTCCCGCTCTGTCGTGCCAATGTTGGGGGGGGCGGAGAAAGAAAATAAGGAACGCGACGGGAGCGACGCCCAAGACTGGCTCGAGTCGTGAGAGGGCACGGACAATCTCGGGGGCGAGGCGTGACGAGCAGGACGAGGACTCGACGCCACAAGCTCGTTCTTCATGCCTGGCCAACGGCAAAGAATGGGACGAGGAGAGGCAGGGGGGAGCATGCCGCGCACGACGAGAAAACAAACAGGGGGGGGGTGCAGCACCGCTGTGGGCGCAGTGCGGCGCGCCCCTTCGAGAGCAGAGCTGCCTCGGGGCCGCTCGCGCCGACCACCATTACTAACGTTAGGTTGGACATGTCCTCCCACGGGGGGGTTCTGGAAGAAAAGCGACATCAAACATACTCAACAGAGCACGAAAAGCGTGGCATCACTTTTTCTTTACTACTCTGGAAGGTTCCTCCTGTAAAGGGCCATGCGCGACTCAACATTGACTGGGCGCGGCCGACATCAGGGTCTTGTAATTCTTGTATGCAGAAGGCATATACAGAGGACGCAACGCAATGAGAACACGCGTGAGCGTAGGCGGGGGAGACGCAAGCAACATTCAGTGCTGAGGCGAGAGCGCGACTCCGTTGCAAGAGTCCCACGGCGATTCAGATATGCGACCAACGCTGCAGCGGGAGCACCATCTTGCAGGACCGAGGGCGTCCCAGATGTTGGAGACTGGCTGGACACTGTGAGAGGAGGAAGGATAATGGCGCTCATAATGTGCAATTGTGTTGCAGAAAACAAGAGATGCATAAGCATACTTCCTCGGAGGTCACCGCGGATTTCCTGGATCGGAGCGCGATAGGGGCGCGCGGAGCGCGATAGGGGCGGCGTCGGTGGCGCCGCCAAGGAAACCCAACGCATATCCAAGAAATCCGCGAGGACCGTCGAAAGCTTACGCTTATACATTTACTCTTATTCAAAATGTGCAACAGCGTGGGAGGATGATGCGTTTCCTAAAAAGTGACGCCAGCGTCGGGGACTTCTGAGACCGCGGCGTTGCATTTGAGACTTCGAAGTGCGAGTGAAAGCGTCATGCGAGCACCTTGCGGGCGAAGCCGAGCGAACTTGAGACATCGGCATGGCGCCCGTCTCGAAAGTCCCTGTGCCTGGGGTCCCGTGTGACACCACCTGAGAGGAGGTGGACGACGAGGAGGCGGGAGGAAGAGGGAAGAGGAAGAGGGAAGAGGAGGAGGAGGAGGAGGAGGAGGAGGAGGAGGCGGAGAAGGAGGAGGAGGATCAAATCGACGAGGAGGAATAGCACCAGGAGCAGGAGGATTTCGCATGACGAGGGGAACGAGGAGGACTGAGATGAAGGAATACAAGAGGAGGAGGAGGAGGAGGCGGAGGAGGAGGAGGAGGCGGAGACGGAGGCGGAGTGCGAGGGCGAGGCACTCCATCCAGGCCGTCCCCTGGTCGGGAGCCGTGCGGGGGGGGGGCGAGAGACGAGAGAAGGGCGAGGAGGGCCGCCTGGCCCCAGATCAGCCGGTTGGCGTGGGCCTCCACGATCATGTCGCCGAGCTCGAAGTCTGAGCCGCACGGGCTTCCGCCGGCGCAGAGAGGAAGCCCCGGGGCAGAGGAGGGGTGGAGAGGAGGGACGTGATGAAACCAGAGGAGGCGCCATAAAATCTAGGGAAAGATCATGGCCCACCCCCGCCTAGTCATCGCCCCCCTCTTTTCCGCCCCCGATCTCCTCCCCCCCCTCCTCTGCCGGGGAGGAGGCCTCCCAGGAGGGGGGGGGGAATGCCCCGCCTGCGGAGGGAGGCCCCGGAACGGGCGCAGGGAGGACCGGATCCGGGGCGCGGGGAGAGCGCACGGCAGGGGGCAGGAGCTCGCGCCATCGCTCGGACGTCCACTCCCTGTGTCTTTGCTTCGGTTTCGTGCGTTTTTTTTGTTGTTTTTGTTTTTTCTCTCAGGCTGATGCAGGATGCTTCTTGAGAATCCCCGCCGAGAAGAAGAGCACACGTCCGAGCGACACCAAAAGAAGGGGGTGGGAGGAGGACGCGCGCGCCCAGGCACGGCGGGCCGGACACCACGCCCACGGACCCCGACGCCGCTCTGCCAGCGGAGCTTCCCCCCGAGAGGGGCAGGCACGAGAGCAAGTGTGCATGGACAGGCCTCGAGGCAAGAGCAGCTGCAGAATTGAGTGCCATCGTGACGGCGTGTGTGCTGAAGTGGACAAGGGCGATTACCCGGTCACGCGTAGTTGTGTATACGCATTTGCCGCTGCCTTTGCCTGTGTATGTGCGTGTGTCCAGGGGTGCAAATGTTTGTACGCAAATCCAAATACAAGTGCACGGTTAACGCTTTCTTTTTCGACATTGGGCGAAAGGGGGGGAGGGAGGTTGTCTGTCTCTGGACCTTTGCTTAGTGCGACTGTTTGAGGCAGCGCCGAAACATCCAAATCATTTCACATTTGAAGGTGTACATGCACAACGATAGTAAGCCAACAAGTCCGCCGATCCGGCGTGTGAGTTTCAAGGAGTCTCAGCTACAGCCTCGAGGCTGAGCCTCAGCCTCTGGGGGGGTTGCCGGGGTGGCTCTGCCGGGGAAGGGGGGGTGGGGGTGGGGGGGGGGACGAGTTTTCCGGCGGTCGCGGGGGGCTGCTTTTACAGAAGGCTCTAATCTCGAGGATGCGCTGAAAGGGTGGCCGCGGCCGCAAGTCTCTGAGGACGGTCTAAGACAGTCCCGAGACCCCGAAAAATCGCCCGAACACGCCCAAGATGGCCCCAAGACGGCCCAAGAGCCTTCCAAGACGTCTGAAGATGCCTCCAAGAGGCCTCCCACGAGGGCCCCCAAGAGGCAAAAATCGTTGATTTCCATTGTGTTTTTCAATGTTTTTGGGGTTGTCGCGATTTTCTGCTTTCCGACGCTCCAAGACGGCCCAAGAGGCCCCCAAGACCGTTCGAAGACGGCCCAGGAGGCCCCCAGACAGTCCCAAGACGGCCCAAGAGGGCCCCAAGGCGGCCCAAGAGCCGCCCAAGACGGCCCAAGAGGCCCCCAAAACGGCCCCAAGAGGACCCAAAAGAGGGACGAAAAGCGGAACAAATCTAGCCTTCCAGCCCACGAGGCCCCCAGGAGGCCCCAAGAGCCCCCAAGAGGGCCCCCTAAAGACCCCAAGAAGCCCCCACGACCCCCTGACAGGCTCCTGTGCGAGTGTCTGAGTGTGGTGCGTGTTTACGGTGTCTGTGCGTGCTAGTGTCTGGCGTGCGCCTAGTGTGTCTCTGTATGTGTGTCTGCCGTATGTGCATTTGGTCGTGTGCGTGCGTGAGGTGTCCGCGTAATATGTGTATCCGAGCGACCCGGATCGGCGGCACTGGCCGAAGGCCACTACAATATGAATAGCAAACCAACGTGAACATATTAGCAAGCATACTCACACCCAACATAGCATTACACATAAAGAATGTTGCAGAAACGCCGAACCGTAAGCAAGACGACTTTCGCAGAATGAAGAAGGGATTAGTAGAAGGAGATGAATATCAACAACACAAAGCGACAACATCCACATAAGGACAACTTTAGCAGAAGGAAGCGACAATAAGCAGAAGGAGAGACATTGTACCAAACATGTAAATTTCAACCGAAGGAATCCGCCGACCCTGTCGGCGTGTGTGAGGGGCTTGTTTGTTGAAGTCTTCCAAGTCGTCATCTCCGTCATTCGTTGGTCGTCGTCTCTGTCGTCCCCTTTCCCAAACTCCACCCTTTCCCTTGGCTCGTCGAAGCCCCCCTTTTCCCAGGGACTTCCTCAGCGCGGCAGCCGAAAGCGAAGTTGAGCAACGTCGAAAGCGAGTCGAAGGCCCCCTCCCTTCGATCCCTCCCCCGCGGGGGAGGTGGGTGTCCGGGAGGGGTCCCAGGGGGGGGGGCTCAGATACGACGCCCCCCCTGGGAGCCCCAGAGGCCCAAAACAACACAAAGACGGGCCAAGAGTGCCCCAAGAGGCCCCAAAGACAGTCCAAGAGAACCCCGAATCGCCGAACGATCTGTCCAAGACGTCTTGACGGCCTCCAGACGGCCCAAGAGGGCTGCAAAGCGCCCCAAGAAGCCTCCAGGAGCGTTCCCTCGAGAGCCCCAAGAAACAACATTCATGGATGTCCCATACTTGTTTGAAAGATTTTGGCGTTCTTGCCTCTTCCGCTTCCCGTCGCGCCAAAGACGGCCCAACAGGCCCCCAAGATCGCCCCGAGACGGCCCAAGAGGCCCCCAAGAGGGTCCCTAACGGCCGAAGAGGGCCCCAAGACGGCCCAAGACGCCTCCAAGACGGCCCAAGAGGCCCTCAAAACGGGTCCAGGAGAGTGCCCAGACGGGAGACACGAACGGACATTCGGAGCTCTCAGCCCCAAAAGGCCCCCAAGAGACCCCCAAGAGGCCCCAAGAGGCTCCCACGGGGCCCCCTAAACTGCCCCAAGACAACCCAGGGGAGCCCCAAATTGCCCAGGAGGCCTCCGACAAACCGTCGAGACGGCGCAAGAGGAGCCCTGGACGGCCCAAAACGGCCTCAAGAGAGAGCCCCAGGCTGTCCCAAGAAAGCCCCTGGCCTCCTCTTCCTCCTCCCCCTCCTCCTCCTCCTCTTCCTCCTCCTCCTCCTCCCCCGCCCCTCTGTTCCCCCTCATCCTGCTCTCCTATGCCTCTTTCTCCTCCACTAGTTTCTCCTCCACATCCTTCCCCCCCCCTCTTTCCTCATCTACCTCCCCCACCGTTACCCCACCTCCCATTCATCCTCCTCCCTTACTCACACCATCCCACAGCCACAATTTCTACCACGGCTGGGCCTGGGGCTTCATCCCCAACCAGCAACGCAACGAATGCCAACAACATGCTGGCGGATGAGAACTGCAGTGACCTTCTTACTCAAACTCCAAGCCCATTCCCACGACTGCCACTACTGCCCCTGCGCATTCTAATTTAGTGTGGCACTTCTGATGCACATTCTGCCAATTATTCTCCAAGTCCCTCTTCTCCCCGACCTGTTCCTGCTCATCATGTTCCCCCCCACCCTCGCGCCCTCTTCCTCCAGCGGTTGGGGGCCCATCCCCCCCGTGGTCCCGACCCACCACGAAGCGCCCGATTGCACGTAAAGAGGACCCGCTGGGTGCAGGCGTCGGAGCGGGCCTGGAAGGCAGGGCTACACGTGCTTCGCTGCACGACGTGGTGCTCCGATCGCCCCTCTTCCGTCGGCAGGGCGAACGGCGCGCCGTGCCGTGTGTCTTGGCGGCCAGGGGGTCTGAGCTGGTTGGGCCCCAAGGAGAACGGGCCAAGAGGCCGAAGGCAACTCAGTTCAAAACCTGTACCTGGACCCCTTTTCGGGGTCCATCTGGTGCACTGTTTTGGCCCGGATCAGTTGTCGACGGTCCCCGGGCGCGGAATCGGCCCCCGGAGGCCAAAGCACGCAAAAAAAACTTTCCCGAACCCCAGGAACCCAAACTTTTTCCCCCCCTGTCGGCTCGCCAGATCCACGGCTGGGCGCTATGCCTGGCCCCGGACGGCTCCGAGCGCGCCGTGCCTGGTTCTGGAATCGAGAGGATCACTCGGGCGAGCCGTCCGACGGGGACGGAAAAAAGTGGAGCGCGAGGGAGGGCGGGCGCGAGCGCGGCTCTCTTGCTCGCTCGTTCGCTCGCTCTCGCACCGCCCCCCGGTGCGGCCACAGTCAGGTCGAGGCCTGACCGCGATCGCACAGCGCTGCGCCCGCGGGGGCGCGGCAGCCTCACGCCTCTTGCTCGCTGTTGTGTTTGTTTATCTCTCTCTCTTTTTCTCTCTTTCTGTTCCCCCCAGAAGGCACGGCACGGCCCTTTCAGTGGGGGAGGTCAAATCAGCTGCGCAGCCAGGCGTCTGCCCACAAGATGCGAAGGACTGCCGGAGCGATGGAGGAGCAAGAGCTAGTCAGGCATGTCCTCCTACAGGCGGATTTTCAAGGGAGCAATTCAGATAGTCAACTAATGCTTAACAGATACAATAATGATACAACAAATCGTCCCCAGAGTATTCTTTGTTATTTTTGAACATTCCACCTGTAGAGGGACGTGCCCGACTTGACGCAAGGGCCAGGGAGCAGAGGCACTGGGAGGACGAGGGCGCGGACGAGGGATGGAATGAACCAGGCTGCTGTCTCCTATCAGCGAGCCCCGGAACATCGTCACAACCGCGGTGGGCAGGTTGATGTAGTCCGCATCCTGCGATCGGCTGAGGCTTCGTGTTGCGCACTGCCAGCCCCTCCAAGCATTCATGGCTGGCCTCGACGGGCTCCTTGCGAGCACAGTCGAGGCGTTGACCCAAGGAACCCTAAATAAGGAACGAGGCCCCTTTTTTCATAAGTGAACCTTCGACTTCCCATCGACAACTCAACGAAAACTCAAGGACAACCTTGGGCAAGGTGTGTCCTTCTTCAGCGCCCCGACTGTAGCCCGGGGCGGTCCCAGCACCCCGACCCTGGGGCGCTTCGCCGGCGGCGCCAGGCTCTCGAGACCCCCCTGGGCTACTTCAGGGCGCCTCACTTCGCGCTGCGCGGCAGCGCGAACGACCTCGCGCTCTCGCGCCGCCCCCCCCGAGGAGAAGAGGAGGACTGAAGGGGCCCTGGGACACTCAAATAAATGCACACGCAAATCAAACAATTCCTTATATGTTTTCTCATATTTTCTCGGTTTTGGTCTTCCCCCCCACTTCCCATATTTTCCACATTTTCAAGGGAATCGCCGATTAATTGTGTCTGTGTGTTTCTTTCCCTCCTGACCACCGCAGAGCGCGAAGAGCTCCGCGCCCTGTCATTCATTGTGTCTGTGTGTTTCTCTCCCTCCCGACAGGACGAGAGCCCCACCGCGGAGCGCGAAGAGCTCCGCGCCCTCGCGGGGGCCCCCGCTGCTCGGAGAGATCATGCCGAGGCCGGCGACCCTGGGGCTGCCGGGGGGGGGGGGGCGGCTGTCTGTGCGCCGCCCGGGAGACTTCCCAGCCGAGTCCGCCGCTGTACACCCTGCGAAATGCTTAAGAAATCATGGGTTAAGAAATTCATAGTCTCAGAATTGGAATAAAAAACCCAGAATGTCTATTCAAATCTTGGGATTTACATTGAAACATTAAGAATAATCGAGACTCTGGCCGAAAACTTGGGTTTTCTTGAGCATCGCCTAAGGTGTATCGTCAAGTCGGACCTGCCCCTCGACGGGAGGAACACTTTATGGTTCGCGGCTCCAAGGCGACGGTCAGGGAGCGGAAGCGGCGGCCGGGCTTCGGAACGGTGCGAACTTGCGAACAAGGCCGCCAGTGTCGGCGGGCGAGTTCGCACCTGCAAGACGAGCTCGCAGTTGCACATGCACAGGGCAAAATCACCTAAATTCACAAGCAGACGGACAGGAGGAATACGCGAGAATAGTTGAAAAATAGTCCGGGGACCATTTTTGGACTACTTTCAAACATGCTTTGCACATGCTTGAGGTATTTTGAATGTCTCGTCCAAACTCCCCCTGTGGGGGGACAGGCCCGACCTAACTGTATCTCCCAGGCGGACTCGAGGCGGGCACCGGACTTGGGAGGCACGCGGCAGCGCACCCATGAACAAGAAGGTCCTGGCCACGCCCAGGGCCCACGAGGCCCGGGTTCGACGCCCTCTGGCCCCCCGCCATAGAGCTCCCCCCTTTTCCTCCCAGGGCCTTCCCTGAGCCACTCGCAGCACACATGCGTCGATGCTGCGTTGAAGTACGTCGGCTTGAGTCGAACTAGAGCCGATGTTGAGTCGAGTTTGAGTCGAACTGAGACTCGAGATAGAGTCGGCCTTGAGTCGAACAGAGCAGTCAGGTTGTTCCCAGGAAGGTCCCCAAAACGAGCATCCGAGGAGGGAGTCCTTTCCTAGAAGAAACCACTCGCCATTCGGAGGTACCTCAGCGCGGAATGTGCGAGGGACCAGCTCAGGACGCCAGGCGTGTATGCGCTGGCTCATGGAGGACTGGGCCAGGAAGACCCGAAGTAAGCCCCGAACGAACCGTGGAGAGCGGCAACGGACCCAAGGGAAGGGGAAGGAGGGCCAAAGCCCCAGCGGCAAATGTGTGGCTGGGAAGAAGAAGGTTGGACAGCTGAAGCGCGTGCGCTATGGAGCACAAGCTGCGGCAAACAAGCATCGACCTGGAATCGGCGATACATCGCCGATGCAGCGGCGATTGGCTCCAGGAAGCAAATCCGCTCGTTCCTGGGCGGGGCGCGCGTCAGACACGGTGCTGACAGGAGAACGACGGAACCAAATCCATGGCAGGCCCCTAGCGGCGATGACTGGGCGAGTGGGGGTCGAGAAGCCCCCCCCAAATAAGAATAATAATAATAATGATAATCATAATAAGAACAATAATGAAATAATAATAAGAATAAGAATAATAATAAGAATAAGGAATTCAATAACAATAAGGAAGCGGGAGTGGGGGTCGAGAAGCCCCCCCCCGACCTCCCGACGTCATGATTTTTCCACGACGTCGACCCCAGAGGGTCTCGACCCATTCCCTGAGAACGCCGCGTCATCCCAAGTCGTTGTTTGATGGGCCCGAGGCCCGAGAAGGGCCCCCGAGGCCGACCATAGCGTTTGACCTCTCGTCATGGTGTTAACATAACACGAGGGGGTCTGGGAGTTCGGCCCATGAGCCTATTCCCTCCTAGCTTTGCCCCTGATGAGGGGCAACGATCGGGGGGGGACTGGCGCACGGAGGGGAACTTGATCATGGAATCGGCGATACATTGCCGACTTGTCGGCGATGTGCCCCCTGTAGCAAAACCCCACGTTCCTACTCGGGGTGGGTCCTCAATCGGCGATCAATGGGCGATTGGGGGTCGATGCGTGCCCCCTAATGCCTCCACGTCGATCGGCACAAGTATAAAAGCATGACGGAGGAAGGCGGGCAACATAGAGGGGGTCAGAACACAGCCAAACAAGCCAATTATTGAACTAGGAAGGCGCGTAAAACAGACTGGGATCTGAGAGTCCAAACACACCTGCTTTGAACGACCCGCGTGTACCGTTGCCCCTGGCCTGAGCAGCGGCTTCCTCGCCACGGTTGGCATCCTGCGGGGCCTCCCCTCCCCCCCCCGCGCGAGCGGTCTGCATGGCGCAGTGCACACACCCGGCAGCGATGCCCTCTGGCGTCGTGTCGAGCTCCGAGTTCCCCCCCGCGAGCGGGGGGGGGCCCGCGCGAGGGGCTGCCCAGCCGTCCTCCGGCCGCAGGCGCACGAAGAGCATCGCGAAGGCCAGCAGGAACAGGAAGAAGATGACGAGGAAGCTCGACATCTCCTCGGTGGGCGGGCGCAGAACGGCATGGAGACAGACTGCTCCACCGTCGGGGACGCATGGCCCCCGGGCTGCTGCAATACATATATATATATGGATATATATATATATATACATACATATACACAGATATACCCCCACAGTGCTCGGGAGCGGCCAAAGAGGGGGGTGTCCAAGAGGGGGGGGTGCTAATCATGGCCGGCGGCATGTGCGCGGCCCAGCGCGGGGGCCAGGGACGTAATGAAATAAGAAGAGGCGCCATGAAATCTGCGGAGATATCATGGCCCGCGCCATGATATCCACCCCCTCCTAATTATCATCCCCCTCGCTTCCACCCCCGAAGTGCAAAATACGGGTATAAACTTTGCGGCCGCCCGGGGCTGCCACAATCCAGCCGCACACGGTCGGACCTACGACAGACGAGCCGCTGTCAAGACCATGGGACCCCCCGCTAGTCCGAGCGAAAGAGCATCCGAGGGTGCCTTCCGGCAGGATGCACAGGAGCATCCAACAAGCACGAACGGCATGAAGGTACCCTCCCCGAACCAACCTCGATCGTGTACCTGAGGATTCGCGGTAAGGACGCAAGGGCCTTGGAAGGCCATGTTGACCATTCTCGAGCGGGGCTGGCCAGCGAAGGTTGCCAATGATGAACTGGAGATGCAACGATGCAAGGGTAGCCTCTGGAAGTCGCTCATCCTTGCTATGCGGGCTGACTGTAACACAACTGTTACAGTCAAGTCACAAGCCGCACACTAAGAAAGCGGTGAGGATGCAAGGGCCTTGGAAAGCATGGCTTGCCATCGAAAATTGCCAATGATAAGCCGGAGGGGCAAGGACACAAGGGTAACCTTGGAAAGCTCCTCAACCTTACTATGCGACTGATTGTACCTCCCACGGCGAAGCTTTTCTTGAACCAGCCGAAAAGAGCCTACACACAAATCACAGGATGCCCGTTATTTTCTCATATTTTCTGGATTTGTGTCTTCCCCCCCACTTCCTGTATTTTCTCCCATATTTTCTCGGGAATCGACGATTCATTGTGTCTGTGTGTTTTTGTTCCCTCCTGAACTCTCCTTGGCACGACTGGAGGCCTCCTGGAGGGGGTCCGAGCAGATGGGCTCGGAGAATTGCGCCGCATCGCCGATGCATCAGCAGTGCCTCGACGATGTATCAACGACGTCGGCGATGCATCGATGACGTCGGCGCGGGGAAACACGGGCTCCATGTCGAGCCGCATCGTCGATACTTCGGCGATGCGGCGCGATCCTCCGGCCCCTTCTACTCGGGCACCATCCAGGAGGCCTAGACCGACGGGGCTGTCAGTCATGAAAATAACGCAGCCCAATCTGACATTTGACGCGTGCTCCCGCTGCATGCATCCCACGAAAACTGGACCGTCAAAAAGCGCTGGCAAACCCAAGTTCCTGAGTAGTAGAGATTACGGTTCCTCAAAAGAAAAAGTCCTTTGCGGGATCTACAGGCCCCCCTCTGGGGCCTGAAAGGGACCGTCGCTGCACCCCCATTTATCGCCCCGACCCCCCTTGCGTGCCCCCAGCGGGACTTCAACACAACTGTTCCGGCGGCAAGCGAAGGGGGAAAACGAGGAGAAGGCCCTCTCAGAAGGCGGCGTGGCTTCACAGACGCCCGCCAGCCTTCTGAGAGGTCTTCTGTGTCCTCGGGGAAGGCCTAGACAACTCCTCGCAAGGCCAGGGAACCATCCGAAGCTTCTTGGCAGGCCTCCGTCGTCTGACTCCCCCCCTCGCTCGCCCCCGACTGGTAGCTCCCACTCCTGGCCCTCCTCCCCTTCTCACACTGGCCGCGCAGGAGGGCTCGCAGGCCGCTGTGTGCCCCGAAGCGGGCGAGCTCTGCGGGGTCGGTGGAGCGGCCCAAGCGGCCAGCGGGACAGCGAAGTGCGCACCGCAACAGGCAGGGAGGGGCGAGAGGCAGGGCGGCCGCGCAAGGGGAGGAGCGGGCGGCAGAACTTCGGCACACCGATGCAAAGTTCCACGCCTCGTCCCTCATCATCGATGTCGTCCTGTCTGCCCAAGTCTGCCAGGCCCTCCCCCTCCCCATCTTCCGTTACCGTGTGTTCGCCTCCCTGTGCCTTCTCCTCGTGCTCCTCCCTCCAGCCTTCCCTGGGCCTTCCCCCCTCCTCCTCCTCCTCCTCCTCCTCCTCCTCCTCCTCCTCCTCCTCCTCCTCAACCCTCATCCTCTTACAATTACGCCGCCTCGCATTTCTAGTCCATCCCGTTTCTACCCCGTTTGGGGAAGGCCGACTGAACCTGACCAGGTTGCTGCGGCAAACTGCTCACTTACAACGGGGCTGCAAAACAAAACATGTGCGTTCCAAGGCCTCCTCCTTCTCTCCCGCCTCACTCTGCCCCCATCCAGCCTTGTCCTCTTCCGTCTCCTCGTCCTCCTGCGCCTCCCGCTTCCGCATTCTCTTCCGCATATTCCTCATCCTGTCGCTCCGTCCCTCCTCCTCGCCTTGCATTCGACTTTCCGTCTCCCGCCAATTCCTCCTTGCCGTCCTCCTGCTCTCACTTGTCCCTGCTTGCATGGTGACATATCCTCCTCCTACACATCCTGCTTCAGCTTCTCTCCGCGCCCACCTCCACTTCCCCCCCTCCACTTTCCACCTCCTCCACTTTCCCCTCCTCCACTTCCCACCTCCTCCACATCCCCCCTCCTCCATCGTCCCCTCCTTCCACTTCCCACTCCCCCTCTCAGACCTCAATCTCCCCCTCCTCCACTTCCCACCTCCCTCCTGGCTCGCGTCCTCCCCCTCCCCCCTCCTTCCTTCACTCCCGTATCCCCCTCGGGGTTGATGAGGAAGGACGGGGATGAATAATAGAGGCAGGGCTGAATATAAACGGTGCTGTTCGTTTTCGTTTTGGTTTCGTTTGCCCTTGTTTTGTCTTCAATCCACCTCTGCCGCAAAACGAAGTCGAAACGAAAACGGCCCACGAAATCACAAAACAACACCGTGTAGCTCCAGCCCTGGATGGAGGGGAAGCAGGAAAAAGGCTGGGGATCGTGATGGGGAGAGAGGGTCGTGAGACGGAGTGTAATGCAGACTCCAGGAACGGTTGTCCGAAATGACCGACGCAAAGTCTCCAAATGAGATGCTGGAATCCATTCCCTTCTCATCCGCCCCCCTCCTCATCTCATGCTCATCCTTCCAATCCTTCTTCGTCCTCCCCCCCTCCCTCACCTTCATTGAAAAATTAGCCTGGCGAAGGACCCAACCATATGCAGTTGTGAATGCCGCAATTGTGAATATCATCTTCGCCCGCGCTCCCTATGTGGCCACGGCTTCCCGCCGGAGCCCCACATGCTAAGGAACACGTTCGTGGCCGTCTTCGCGGGCGCCGACGACTACAATCACGGCGTCCCTCTGACCGAGAAGCAGAGCCATGAGGGAAGAGGTGACGTTGCACGTCGACAAGGCGGATACGACGCCCAGGCGCGGATGTTGAAGCAACACAACTATCGGGCCACGATCCTCGTGAGGGGTGTGCCGCGATGGCCTGGGGCCGGCATGCGAACCCTGCCACTGGCGCCTTCGGTGGAGCTCCTGTGAGGCCACGATCCTCGTGAGGGGTGGGCCAAATGGCCGGAGGTCGCCATGCGAACTTTGCTACTGGCGCCATCGTTGGAGCTCCCTATGGAGCCACGATCCTCGTGAGGGGTGTGCCGAAATGGCCCGAGGCCGCCATGCAACCTTTGCCACTGGCGCCTTCGGTGGAGCTCCCTATGGGGCCACGATCCTCTTTGGGGGTGTGCCGAAATGGCGCGAGGCCGCCATGCGAACCCTGCCACTGGCGCCTTCGGTGGAGCTCCCTATGGGGCAACGATCCTCGTGAGGGGTGTGCCGAAATGGCCCGAGGCCGCCATCCGAACCCTGCCACTGGGGGCCCCGTGCGAACCCTGCCTATGGCGCCTTTGGTGGAGCTTCCCATGAGGCCACGATCCTCGTGAGGGGTGTGCCGAAATGGCCCGAGGCCGCCATACGAACTTTGTTACTGGCGCCTTCGGTGGAGCTCCCTATGAGGCCACGATCCTCGTGAGGGGTGTGCCAAAATGGCCCGAGGCCGCCATGCGAACACTGCCACTGGGGGCTGTCGGTGGAGCTCCCTATGGGGCCACGATCCTTGTGAAATGTGTACCGAAACGGCCCGAGGCCGCCATGCGAACCCTGCCACTGGCGCCTTTGGTGGAGCTTCCCATGAGGCCACGATCCTTGTCAGGGGTGTGCCGAAATGGCCCGAGGCCGCCATGCGAACTTTGCTACTGGCGCCTTCGGTGGAGCTCCTATGGGGCCACGATCCTCGTGAGGGGTGTGCCGACATGGCCCGAGGCCGCCATGCAAACTTTGCCACTGGCGTCTTCGGTGGAGCTCCCTATGGGGCAACGATATTCGTGAGGGGTGTGCCGAAATGGCCCGAGGTCGCCATCCGAACCCTGCCACTGGGGGCCCCGTGCGAACCCTGCCTACGGCGCCTTTGGTTGAGCTTCCCATGAGGCCACGATCCTCGTGAGGGGTGTGCCGAAATGGCCCGAAGCCGCCATGCGAACCCTGCCACTGGGGGCCCCGTGCGAACCCTGCCTATGGCGCCTTTGGTGGAGCTTCCCATGAGGCCACGATCCTTGTCAGGGGTGTGCCGAAATAGCCCGAGGCCGCCATGCGAACTTTGCTACTGGCGCCTTCGGTGGAGCTCCTATGGGGCCACGATCCTCGTGAGGGGTGTGCCGACATGGCAGAGGCCGCCATGCAAACTTTGCCACTGGTTCCTTCGGTGGAGCTCCCTATGGGGCCACGATCCTAGTGAGGGGTGTGCCGAAATGGCCCGGGGCCGCCATGCAAACTTTGCCACTGGCGCCTTCGGTGGCACTCCCTATGGGGCCACGATCCTCGTGAGGGGTGTGCCGAAATGGCCCGAGGCCGCCATGCGAACCCTGCCACTGCGGACATTCGGTGGAGCTCCCTATGGGCCCACGATCCTCTTGAGGGGTGTGCCGAAATGGCCCGAGGCCGCCATGCGAACCCTGCCATTGGCGCCTTCGGTGGGGTTTCCCATGAGGCCACGATCCTCGTGAGGGGTGTGCCGAAATGGCCCGAGGCCGCCATGCGCAATTTGCTACCGGCGCCTTCGGAAGAGCTCCGATGGGACCACAACCCTCGTGAGGGGTGCGCCGACATGGCCCGAGGCCGCCATGCAAACTTTGCCACTGGCCCCTTCGGTGGAGCTTCCCATGAGGCCACGATCCTCGTGAGGGGTGTGCCGAAATGGCCCGACGCCGCCATGCGAACCCTGCCACTGGCGCCATCGGTGGAGCTTCCCATGAGGCCACGATCCTCGTGAGGGGTGTGCGGAAATGGCCGGAGGTCGCCATGCGAACTTTGCTACTGGCGCCATCGTTGGAGCTCCTACGGGGGCACGATCCTCGTGAGGGGTGTGCCGAAATGGCCCGAGGCCGCCATGCGAACCCTGCCACTGGCGCCTTCGGTGGAGCTCCCTATGGGCCCACGACCCTCATGATGGGTGTGCCGAAATGGCCGGAGGCCGCCATGCGAACTTTGCTACTGGTCCCTTCGGTGGAACAGATATGGGGCCACGATCCTCGTGACCCAAAATGAGGTGCACCAAAATGGGGCGGCGCCGAGATCGGTGATGATGATGATGACGACGACGACGACGGCGACAACGACGACGACGACGATGATGATGATGCGGATAATGATGGTGATGATGATGCTGACGGTGAGGATGATGATGATTGGTATGATTATAAGCATGTTGTTTATTATTTTTTTTGGGCCTGCACACCTTCAGCGATGACAGCGTTGACACTGCGAGCTCAAGTTGTTGCTTCACCTCCTCGCGCATTCGGCTCGCCTTGCCCAGAGCAGGACGATGCTTCCTGCGGACTTCTCTGTTCCCGCGAGCGGCAGCCATGTCAACGGAAACGGGCCTCTATGTTATCGTCCAGCGTGGCCAGTTGTGACCGCAAGGCAACAATATTGCGAAATAGTGAATGCTTGGCCTCACCAAGATTCGAAATCTCACGACCACCTGAAAGCTCACGACCATCAGGGAGCTCACGATCATCAGGAAGCACCCGACCATCTGGAAGAGACTGGTCGTCAGAAGGCTCACGACAAGCAGGAAGCTCATTGCCAACTTGAACAGTTCGACCAGCACCAGAAAGGAACTCCTGTTTATGAGGGAGCTCACAACCACCAGGAAGCGCACGACCAGAACCGCGAGGCTCACGACCATCAGGAAGCTCACGAACATCATGAAACTCACGACCGTCAGGACGCACACGACCACCTGGACACTCAAGAAGTTCACGACCCTCAGGAAGCTCACGACCGCCAGGAGGCTCGCGGACACCAGGAAGCACACGACAATCAGGAAGCTCACGACCATTAGAGGGCACGATAAGCTCAAACTCCTTGCGATGCTCCGAACCGCCAAACGACGGAAGAGCATCCAGTACGCGTTCCAAGGGTACCCACAAAGCAGGAACACCAGCAGGCCACTGCCACAGGCCATCATGAACAGCTGGACCATCACGTACATCAGGAAGTTCGCGACCATCACGGGCGCCACAACCATCAGGAAGCTCACGTCCATAAGGAAGCGCTCGGCAATCGGGAAGCTGGTCGTGACCACCAGGCACTCCGCCCAGCTCCTGAAGCAAAAGCTCAGCACGTACATGAGGACCAGCACGAGAGGGATCAGCACGTACAGGAAGATCAGCACATACGTGATCAGCACGTTCAGGACCAGGACGAGCAGGATCTGCATGTACATGAAGGCCTGCGCGTACAGGAGGATCAGAACGTACAGGATCAGCACGTACAAGAAGATCAGCACGAGCATGGGGATCGACATCAGGATCCGCACGCACGGGAATATCGATATCAAGATCTCCACGTACAGGCAGATCAGCTTCATTCAGCAGCACGTACAGAATCAGCGCATACAGAAAGATCAGCACGCGCCTGGGGATCGACATCAGGATCCGCACGATCGTGCGGACCGACATCAGGATCAGCACGCACAGGTAGATCAGCACTCGCACGAGCCTCCGAAGCGTGAAGAAGATCCGCACAAGCCACAACATGGAGAGGCGCTTCGCGAACAGCTTCGTCATGGAAAGGCTCGGGGGGAACACCTCCAGCACAGAGCACAAGGAACGATGGAACCAAAGGGAGGCCACGGGCCCTAGGCTTCTTGGGCACCGCCGCCACCGCAGCCCAAGGGTCAGCAACTCCATGACAGTGCCAAGGATCAGGAGCCAACCGAGGCGCATCACGATGCCGACGACCAGGGGGGGGCCCACCGCGTCCAGGTTCATCACCGCCGTCATGACCACCCGGGTCTTCACCAGCAGGTTGATCGAAAGCGCGAACAGGAGGAGCGCGCTTCATGGAGACCGATATGTGGGACGCGCCTGTCGACGAGGAGTGCCCATGATCGACCACGACGGCGTCCTGCGGTGAGTGGAGCATGAGCTGGACGAGGTGGTTCGCAAAGCTGTTGAGCATGGTGGGGTCCCAGATCGGCAGGAGGACGAAGTTGAAGGTCACGCGGTCGGAGTACGAGTTGAGGCGAGCACGAACCTGCCTACCTTGAGCGAGTTGGTCGCAAGCCACCTCAGACGAGCAGCGCAGACCATCCAAGCGAGGCGGAGACGCAGCGGGGGGCGCACGGGCACCCGATGGCCCTTGACTCAGCACATGCTTGAGCCAACATGGCTATCATGTTGATTATGATGATGATGATGATGATGATGATGATGATGATGATGATGATGATGATGATGGTGGTGATGATGATGGTGACGATGATGATGATGATGATGATGATGATGATGATGATGATGATGATGATGATGATGATGATGATGATGATGATGATGATTATGACGATGATGCTGATGATGCTGATGCTGATGCTGATGCTGATGATGATGATGATGATGATGATGATGATGATGACGATGATGCGAGGAGGGAGGGGGCAGCGGAAGGAGGAAGGAACGCGGGTCGCTGTCTCTTCAAAACGAGGACACAACACCACAGGATGGTTGGGAAAAAACAGGGGGGGGGAAGGGAAGGACGCTTGCACAGGAGGCCGCGGGTGAGGAGCCTCCTGCTACTCCTCCTGCCCCTCAAGGGAGGGAGGGGGGGAGGAGGTCGAGGGGGAAAAGGGTGGAGGGAGAGTCCTCCTGCTCCTCCAGGGAGGGAGGGGGGGAGGAGGTCGAGGGGGAAGAGGGCGGAGGGAGAGTGAGGAGTTCAGGTGGGAAGGAAAGGAAAGATGGTGAGGGGAGAAGGGCCAGATAAGGCAACGTCAGGATACCTCTCCTTCCTGCCCAGGCCAACGGAGAAGTGGAAGGTTGGGGTAAACGGAGGTGTTGGGGGTAAGAGCAAGGGGGGAAGTGGAAGGGAAGCGGTAGATGAAGGAAGGGGAGGGGTGGTGGAGAGAATGGGGGAAACAGGGCAGGGGAAATGAGCATGGAAGGGGATGTGGGAGTGATAAGATGGGAGCGAGAAGGGACAAGGCGTGGCACGGGATCGTCTGTGAAGCGATGTGCGCACTGCTGGCCCTGAGCACGGCCCCCCGCGCCTGCAACATGTTGGTGATGGTTTTCAGCTGCTCCCCGAACCGCGGGAAGCAAGAAAAGAACTTCAGCCACCGCAGGGTCATGCAACAAACTGGCAGGGGGGAGAGTGGGGGAGGCCAGCCTCGCCATCGCTCGGACGTCCATTCCCTATGTTTTTTTCGGTTTCGTGCGTTGTTTTTTCGGCAAATGGTCAAGGATGCTCCTCGATGGTCCTTGCCGAGGAAAAAAGAAACGCACACGTCCGAGCGATGCCAGGCAGCCGGCAACCGCGCGGAGGGCCTAGGAGAAGAAACAACTGCATGCGCAGAGACTCTCGGAGCTTCGCACAGAAGTCTTGGATCGGCGCTGGACCCGTCTGCCTGGCTCGCGGAGCGCGCCGGGGTGGCTGCCCAAGCGCAAAGCCGAGAGATCCGCGCGGTCCCCAGACAATGAGGGCGCGCCGCTGGATCTCCCCAAGGGGGGGGGAGCACCCCCCCCCCCCCTCCCCCCCTTTCCCCTATCCGTCGTCGGGGACCCCCCCCCCGTACTCCCCTTGCCCGATCCGTCGTCAGGGATCCCCCCCCCCTCCCCTCCTTTCCCGGTCCGCCGTCGGGGAATCCCCCCCCCCTCCCCCCCTTTCAAAAGAGGGGGTGGGGGTTCCGGACCCCGCCCCCCTCCTCCCCTGTGGCCGCCAAATTCGACCTCCCTTCCCCCCTCCCCCCCTTTTCGCCACGGCGCCCCCTGGCTCCAGAACCCGACCCCGACCACCCCCAACGCTACCACCCATACCGCCCCGAACCCGAACCACAAACCCTAACCCTAACCCCAGACAGTATTCACTACTCGCTACTCACTATTCACTACCCACTACTCGCTACTCACTACTCACTTATCCCTAGTCACTACTCGCGACTCACTGCTGACTACCCACCAGCCACTACCCACTACCCACTACTCACTACTCAGTACCCACTACCCCCGACTCACAACTCAACACTCACGACTCACTGCTCACTACCCACCAGTCACGACCCACTACCCACTACTCATTACCCACCACTCAATACGCACTATTCCCAACCCGCTACTCAATTCCCAATACTGAAGACCCCCTACTTACTAAACGCTACTCACTGCCCACTACTGACTACTGACTAAACACTACTCAATACTACTCTCTACTCACTACTCACTACCCGCTACTCTCTACTCGCTACGCACTAGTCCCTACTCACCACTCACTACTGACTACTCGCTACTCCCTACTCGCTCCCCAATACACAATACTGACGACCCACTACGCACTACTCGCTACTCACTAGAACATACTCCCAACTAGCTTGCCACTAGTCGCAAGTCGCTACTCACTACTCACTACTTGCGACTCACAACTCACTACTCTCTATTCGCTACTCCCTATTCAGTACCCACTACTCAATACCCACTTCTCACTTCATACTACTTACTACTCACTACTCCCTAGCCAGTACTCACTATTCTCTACTCGCTACCCGCTACCCTCTACTCGCTACGCGCTAGTCCCTACTCACTACTCACTACTGGCTACTGACTACTCCCTCCTCGCTACTCACTACTCACAACGCCCTACTCGTTATTCACTACTCACTACTCGCTACCCCCTACTCGCTAATCCCTACTCGCTACTTGCTACTCTCTATTGGCTACTCACTACTCGCTGCGAACTACTCATTACTCACTAACTCACTACTCACTACTCACTCCTCGCTACTCGCAACTGTCTACTCACTCCTCGCTAAGCACTACTCACTCCTCATTACCCACAACGCCGAAGCGCAAAGGGGGGGAGGGGGGCTTTCCAGCGCCAAGGAGGGGGAGGGGGGGGGGTCCGGAACCCCCATTTCCTTTCAGGGGGGGGAGAGGGGGGTTCGGACACCCCCCCTTAAGGGGGAGAGGGGGGGGGGGGGCGAAAATCTCACCCTCACCTTTGAAGGGGGGAAAAGGGGGGGGGTTCTTCGAGCACGCCCCCCCTTTTCAATTACAGGGTGATCCAAGGGCGCGCTTTCCAAAACAATGTCTTATGTATGCGCTTTGTTGCTCCTCGACGGCAGCCGTGAGGGGTCACGTGCGGGCCTGCTGCTCTCAGGGAGCCCCCGGCGAGGCCGAAGGAGTGCCGCGGAGGCTCCCGAGAGATGGGCCCAATGCCCTTGCTGGCAGGCGAGCGGGGGGCCCGTTTGGGCTCGTCGGTCGAGGAGGGCCCCACCAGGGGCGAACAAAACCTCCAGGACCCCAACCCGGAAGGAATCTCCGAGACAGAAGCTGCCGGGAAAAGCAATCAGCACATTGACTGCACCTAGTTCCTCTTCCCTCGCGCCCGCATGGAGGCACAAAGGCTCCTGGCACCACGTCCGACGCCCGCGTCCGCGGCGCCCTCTCGGGTCAAGGAGGGCCCCACCCCGGGAGCCCCTCGGAGAAGCTCCGAGGCCCGACCCCTCCTCCTCCTCCTCCTCCTCCTCCTCCTCCTCCTCCTCCTCCTCCTCCTCCTCCTCCTCCTCCTCCTCCTCCTCCTCCCTCACAGAAGCTTTGGTTGTTGATTGTTTTTGTTTCGGAAACCGCCGAGGCAGCCAGCGAGCATTGCAGCGACCCCATACAGCGGTCGTGCCACCATACAGATCGGCCGCGAGCGAGGGGGGGCAGTGCGAAGGAGAAGGCCTCCTCAGAAGGCGGCGGGACCTGCTCAGGAGCCCTCGCGCCTTCTCAGAAGTCTTCTGTGTCTTCGGGGAAGGCTTAGAACACTTCTCAGAAGGCTGGGGGACTTCCGAGCCTTCTGAGATGGCCCGCCCCTTGTCATTTCTCCCCCACGCTCGCCGCTGAAAGTGACGCAAGCAAAAAATGATGCGAGATGGCATAGCGACATTACGTGGCGGCTTACGCGGGCCGCCGGCGCGGCACGCTACATTGGAGATGAGGGCGCTTACACGCGACCTGACGCGGGCAGCTCATGCGCCAATGTCGGCGCAATCGACCCCGTTGTCTTGCGTCGCTCAAATTTGGAACGAAAGGGCTTTTTGGCAACGGCGAACCACGGCCACAAATAAGCCCCATATCGGCTACACGCAGGAGTGGCCCTAGACAAGAGTTTGACTTTTTGTGTGCAGACTGAAAGAGCGCAAGGTTGCCAACGCCAAGCGCGCAAGCAGCCGCTACCACAGCGCGCTCAGCGATCGGGGGGACCCCGATGAGCCCGCACCAAAGGTCACTCTGGCGAAGGGTCGCTCTTGCGAGTAGTCGACCCCATATCTCCACGGGCGTGGCCTGGGCTCCACTGGCCGAGTTCCCCCCCCGGATGGGGATGCAGGCCGATTCCTTCGGGTCCCGAACGGTATACCTCCAATTGGGATGCTGAGGCAGCGGGGGTCTGGATGGGGACGGCAATAGGGAATTAAGGGTCGGTTCAAGAGAGTGTTTCTTCATGTTCGGCGATGACGGGCGTCATGGGGGGGGAACAGGGGGGGGGCGGGGAGGGGGCGTATGACGTAACGCCGTTCTTCTCCCAGCATCGTTGAACGATGCTGGGAGAAGATGGAGGCCTGGAAATGGGCACCAACATCAACTTAGGGGGTTGCCTCCACAGGGTGAAAATGATCTTAGATTTCGGTGTTGGTGGCAATATTTCGGTCACCTTGGAAGCCGTAGTATTACCACCATCACCGAGATCGGGATCTTCTTCCCTCGGTGGAGGCACAACGCCGATATTGGTGTTGGTGTCAACCTCTAGGCCTGCGAAGAAGGGCGCTGCAGGATCAAGGACCCAGGGTCGATGCAGGACCGAAGCTCGAGGGTCGTGGGGGGCCGGGCTCTTGTGCGCGGTGCGCCCACCCCTCGCGAGCCTTCTCTGGGCTCCCCGTGGCCAGGGCTGGAGCCCCTTTGCGGTGCTCTGGCCAGCACGCACTCCAGCTCCCCGTCGCTCGGACGTCCATTCCCTGTGTTTTTTTCGGTTTCGTGCTTCGCAGGATGGTCCAGGATGCTCCTTCACAATCCCCGCCGAGAAAAAGGGCACGCGTCCGAGCGATACCAAGCCAGGGGATGGCCGGAGGTCCGACTGTTGACCCGTGGGGGAGCAGCACACACGGAGGGGAGCCCCAGCGTGTGCTTCTCCCGGAGATCTCCAGGGGGAGAGCAAGCACAGAAACCGTGGATCTGCTAACCCGGGTCAATCCAAACCCGGGCCAAGCAGGCCTTGCAGGATCCTGAAGGATCCTGCGCCCAAACCGGGGCCAATGCGACCCTGGCCCTGCAGCAAACTGCAGCATTATGCGGGATCCTGCTCCCAAGCCCGGGTCAAAGCGACCCTGGCCCTGCAGGATCCTGCAAGATCTGGCGCCCTGCGAGATCCTGCTGCATCCTGCAGGGTCCGGCAAGATCCTGCAGATGTCGTAACCCCCCTTTTTAGGATCCTGCAAGATCCTGCAAGGGGGGGGTGCGAAATCTGCTGCGTGCAGCTGGCTCCAGCCCCACCGAGGGGCCCGTCCTTCGATACGCAGCCGCCTCCAGCGCCGCGCGGCGCCGGGAGAATCAGCTGCGCGAGCTGATTCTCGACCCCCCCCTTTGCTATCCCCCCCCTTTCGCCCGGCCCGAGTGCGGTGTGTGTGCGTGTGCGTGTGCGTGTGCGTGTGTGTGCGTGTGCGTGTGCGTGTTAGTGATGTGCACAAGCAGGTCGTTCAGGTTCGATCGATAAGGGTTGGGGCCCCCCTTGCGTTGAAGGAATCATTCAACGGCGAGGGTTCTAAATTGAAGGCCGCTGGAGTTGGAATGTGATATTCTAATATGATGAAACAATTGGGATGTAGTCACACACTCTATAATAATAAACTACAGCTTATGAATGACGGACGCAGCACACGGTAGAACTTATAAAACGAGAGCGCGATTTCTGATTGTCGAAGGCGCCGCGCCTGAATACATTGCAAGGAAGTATCAGGCGAGAGCGCGATCCTTCAATAAAGTGAGAGGAAGTCCCCAGCCAGAGCGCGATTCTTGAATAAAGTTCAAGGATTGGATTACGTTTTATGTGTTGCAAGGGCGCACAGTACAACCTCAGCACGCGGAACGATGGTCACTCACGAGCTTGTC